TGAAGGCAAACCTTGGCAAGGTTTCCACTGCCGTAGAGGGTGATGAGCTCATCCCAATCTCCATCCTGAATGACCTGGGCTTGCAGTTTGTAGACTTTATTCTTGAGGTTAACCCGGTACAAAAAATGGTGCTTTTACGGTAACATCTTAAAATGTTTATGATGCTCAAAGGCCTACTCAAATTTTGTTCTAGAATTATTATCAGGCATATTAGCATTCATTAAAAGAAGATACCAGATATTTTTTTTTTTTTTTGCAGCTGGAGGAGAGGAGAAATTAAATAGTATTGTGCTTGTCACCATTTCTTAACTGGCAGGACTGAAAGGAGGTGAACTGTGCTGGCTGTGCAGGTCTTTGTAGCTTATTCCTGCCAGCTTCTCTGACAGCATGTTCAGATTTTTATTTTGTATGCAGGTCGAGTTTTTTACCTGGGAGACACTGAAAGAAGATCAAAGTCTAAAATACAAGTTGTTATATGATCTTTTCCTCTTCCAGATGACCCTTTTCCCTGTGCACTTCTGTATGTGTCATGGGACCAATATGTGTTCTAAAATAACCTGTATTCTTAGAAGGGATTGGCCAAATGCTGGGTTCTGAAAACCCAACTAAATACAGCTTTTGAGAAAGGATTGAGGTATTTGTAATAATATTGGGGGTTTTTTCCAATGTCCCCCTAGTTTTCTCTGGAAATAGGAAGCACTGAGGAAAAGAAGAAAAATGAGGGAACATATTTATACCATTTCCCTTTCAGTGGCATATTGGAATAGGGAGGGTGAAGGTGGTGTTTATTTCTGGGAGAAATGTCTGCTGAACCATTATTTAAGGTAAGGGGAGGGTACAAGATACGAAGTTTCTGCTTAGGGAGATTGAAGCCCTAATGTGTTGCTGTTCATGCTTCAGAAAACCAATCTCCTGTACTTTGTTAAAGAATTAATTTTTTTTTTAATCTGTTCTTTATCACCAGTTTCCAATTCAAACAGAAAATTGATCTGCAGATTCTCTCCAGGCTACCACTGCTTTGGCATTATCCATCTATTAATGCTGTGCCTACATTCATAAGTTGATGCTCAGTCAGGATTTTTGCCTTTCAGCACCCCCCAGTAATTAAACCTGTCCATGAGTTAGTGCAAGGGCTCACCAATCCATCCCAAGCTCTTTGCCAGGCCTGTCCTTTAGTTGTCATCTTTGCACGTGATGCAAAAAATCCCAACAACAAAAACTCCCTGTGGGCAAAATGCCACTCCTGCTCACCCAACAGTAAATTTTGTCCCTGTTTGCCTCCTCTTTCACGCTGAAAACGTAACGTCCCAAACCATTGATGGCTTCCTTCCTTTTTGCAGAGACAGATGCCAGTTCAGGATGGTGCTGCTTTTCAGGCAGTTCAGGGCAGCCAAGAAGTGAGACACTACACTCCTTTCATTTTCCCTTCTTTTCAAGTGAATGAACAAGAAGCTGTTTGACTCTGCTCGTCAGGGCAGTGGCTCCCAGATTTGAGCAGCGTTAGCAATTACTAATCATGAGAGTGATTGTAAACCCAGCCTTGCTGCTGCACAAGAGGTGGTTTCACTGTGCTGTGAGTTAGCACAGGAGGAGATGGTGCAATTAGAGTAATTGAGGGTTGCTTACAGCACATGGGAGCAAAGGAATAAATAAGCTTTTGTTTAAGATGCTGCTACTACTGTGGCATGTCTTAGGTCTGAACCCAGTGAGGTAAAATGTTAATTCTTTTCCACTGTATGATGTGTTTATCTCTGATTTTATGCAAGAGAACTGATTTTGGTGTATATCTAGAATAGCTGAAAATTAATATTTATTGGGTTGTTGGCTTTTGGGGTTTGTTTTTTTGTTTGTCTGGTTGGTTTGGGTTTTGGGGGTTTTTTGATAGTAGGAGAATTTCATCTTGGCACCTCCCCATACTTTAATTACACCACTCATTCGGCATTTATAACTGCTGGGGGTTTTTTAATTAATTTCCATATAGAGTTTATTCCCATTTGCTATTCCAGTCTCACTAAACTGGACTTTAATGCTGTGCATGCTCTTGTCCTTGTGCAGAAGAAAAGCTTGAGGAAGAGGCACACTGAAGATTGAACCCTTTCAAAGGACATAGCTCCCAAAATAAGAAATTAAATTACTGAATTCCCATTAAGTTTCTTGACCCTAAGTGTGTGTCTTTTTGTCTAAAAAGAGAGCTTTAGTGACAGATGGAGGCAGTGGATCTTCAGGTCACTGAAAACAGGGTTATTCTTCCAGATTTGCTTTGACATAGAAATGAATTTGCAGTTGTAAACTGGAAGCAGGTGAGTAACTGTAACTGGTTCATAACATGGGCCAGCAGCGCTAACACCTTCCAGTCCCATTCCAGGGATACAAACATCAGCAGCACAGGGAGATCCTAGTGCAATACTCAGAGGAATTTCTGTAAACTGTCCTTGATCAGAGATTAGAGAAATGCCAGAGATGGGGAACAAAACTGCAGGTTTGGGAGAAATGACCTGCCAGGAAAGGCAGAGCTGGAGGTGCTTGGACAGATGACTCTCCGTGTTCCCCTGGTATCAAATGCTGTGGATGACTCAAAGCCCCCTTAGTTATTTAGTCATACAAGCTCAAGAGGACTCAAGGGAGGACTGGAAATTAAAGGAAGGAGTTTAAAGGTTGTTCCTGAGGTGGTGCTGGAATAAGGGAACAGTTGATCAACAGGCAGGTGGCAAAGATGGTGACCTGCTTCATTTCTTGAAAAGCACTGGAATATGGGGACAGGAACCAGATTTTTTCTATTGCTCTAACAAGGAAAAGATGAACTGCAAACTTTAAAATATTTCCACCTATTAATGGGATGAAACCCTGCGAGTGAGTCTCCAGAATATCCCTCTTTGGGTGTTCTGAAAGCAGACCAAGCAATACAACATTTGGTAATGAATGAAATATATGTGTGTGTATATATATATATATATATATATATGTATATATATATATATAGACACCTCATCTCACAGGCTTGGCACTCCCTTCTCTGCCATTGTCTGAGGGACAGCCTGCACAGGATTTTGTGACAGACAGTATTGTATTCAGCTTCTGCGTGAAAAGGAAATGCTCATTAGGGCTGAAATAATTAAAGAAAAACCTGTATTGAAAGTTCAGAAGTGTATTTTACTGGAAATCTACAATAGAATATGTGATGTTGTTATTGAATTATGTACTGGGTAGATAGAGGTAACTGTGAAGAAGTAAAATTGTTGTTGTAATGTACTGAAGTTGTAATATTGCCCTGCTCTCCACTTAACACATCACAAAATTCTTTCTAGAAGATTTGACTATACCACGTCATTAAAGCATTTGCTTAAACATTCTTAACTTACTGATTGACATGTCAAAGCAGTTGTAGGTTGAGAATCATCAAATATCTGTTTCTGTTGACTTTCTTTGGGGCTTTTCAGCAATCTCTGAGGTTATAAATATTGGCGGCAAATTAATCAAGTTTAGAACTGACTGGGGTTGTGGGATACATGGAGATTGGGGTAACAGTGAATGACAGGGAGAGAGGAGCAGCCAGAGAGGATGGCCTGGATTGCTGAGCGTGACAGACTCACTCAAACAATCATGCACAGGTTATAACGAGGTGTGTGAGTCGTGCAGAGCCATCCCAGCAGAAGCAACAATTCTGAAAATAGGTCAGCATTTACAAGGGACAGGTTGCAAGAGCTGTAGTAAAAAGGCCAATTTGTGATGTGTGATACATTCCAGTCAGGACGAGCAGGGACTTGGCTTTGTGTGTGTGGAACACACAGATGTGTGTGTTGGTATTTGTGGTGTGGGTGGTGCCAGTACCAGGCTGTTACAATCCTACATTTTTAGAACTCTTCATGAAATGCTGTTGAAAAATTGCACCATGTGTAAGTTCTGTAAAACATTCCCAGCACTTTTTCTTGAGTTTCTTAACAGTGTTAAGTTGCTTACTTGTTTGGGGGCTGTCACTGTTACCCTGTAAGAAATGAGCTTTTCTAAAGGGCTCTTTAACACAGAGAAGAAAGTAACAAAAAGCAGTGGCTGCACACTGAAATCAGGCTTTTCTGAGCTGATGATGATCCTCGTGGATTAACTGTAGGGGTGAGTGGCCTTTGGGAACAAACTACCAAAGTGTGTACACTGTGTTTTCATATTTTTCAGGCCAACAGTACTGGAAAATGTCAGATAAAGGTTAATGGAGTTGATACAGTCATGCTGGATAGAACTGAAAGGATCTGTGAGATAATGGAACTGTAGCTGGAAGATCTAATGACATGCACTCTTTTTATTTCTGTGAAAATCTAGGATAAAAGTTCTGGTCTAGAAAATCTAGGAAGAAAATACGTGGTGTGGTCTTGCACACTTGTGAAAAAATTACTCCTCAGACTTTTTTTTGCACTTAAATTCTCTGCCTTAAGAAATAATATGAATGTCCATGTTCTGCCACCCATAGTAAGGATTGCTCATTTTGCAGTCTGGCTGTACATGCTGCTTTTATTCATAGAAGGGCTGATTAATTTGATTGATAAGAGTTGTATCAATTGAATCCTAATGTATTTGAATTAGGATATTGCCTCTGTAAATACTGTGTGTTAGAGGAGATTGCTTAATCGGTATTCTTGTTACTTTTAGTTCTGAGTGGATTTTAATGAACTCAGTTTTACCAAAGGCCCTCGGCAAGTTTGCCTTAGCCTTTGCCTGGAGGAGTTGTAATGTGCTCAGATTCTGTGCTGCTTATGTTCACATTAAAATAATGTTATTGCATCATGAATATGCATCGACACAATGTTTTCACAAGCAGAGTATGTGCTGTTAAAAGTCTTCTGTGTTATTCCCTGTAATCTGAGGAAGATCAGGCAGTGCTGTTTCATATACATTGACATTATAACAACCACTGCTGCTTTTTTTTTAAAAAAACCCCTTACCTACCTGCATTGTTCTGTTGAAGTGTGTACCTGAAGCACTTATATTTTTTAATGTTGTTTGTTTTTCAGTGAGAGGTTTATGGTGAGGTTAAACAAGAATGGCGGCCCCAGGAACCCGGAGAAGATCGATCGGATGTGCGCGCTGTTCACAGTACGTGTCTGTCCCTTCCTTTGCCCTTCCAGGACTGTGCTTGGAGATCACTCACCCTGAGGGGGTGGAAACAATTCTTCCCTTCCAGTATACTGAGCAGAACACAAGCTGTTTCTAAGTTTTGTTATGGTTGTGGCTAAATGTTAACATAGAAAATGAATGTCCTTCTAAATTATTTTTATGGCTTAGTAAATAGTCTGAAGTGCTTCCTTTGAAGTGCATCTTTTCCTGCTCATAGTGTGAAATTTTTAATATTTTTGTTGCATGTGCTGTACTCTTAGATATCAGAGTACAGGAAGATGCTGTAGTGTCCTGAACAAAAACCAAAGCACTGTTTTCAGAATCCAAGTCAGGCAAACAACTCCAACAGCACACAGAGGAAACCTGAACATTCTCCAGGCAGACTTTTGTCACAGCCCACTGGAGTGTCCGTGTAGCAGCCCCAGGTGGGTGGTGCAGGACACTCCCAGGTAGGGAGCAGAGGGTGTAGATGGGACAGAGGGACCAGGATGTGCTGCAGAAACAGCAGCCAAGTTGAGCTGTGGGGAATTGGTTGGAATAAAGGGAACACTGTGACATCCAGAGTTCCCACAGCAGGTCTGTGCGAACAGCTACCCCATCCTGAGGCACAGCAGATACCACCAAGTGCACCAGCAGTCTTTGACTTTCTGTGCCAGAAAGGCTGAAGAAGTAACACCTGCCTGGTTCCTACCAGATGATTCCTCATTTGGGAATGAAACAGCCAACTAAGATTTTTCTCCTTTTGATTCTTCAGACTGACACCTCACCTAACTGCCTTCTTGTTCCATGCTGGTTATACTGAAATGGAGTCATGGACTCACAGAATGGTTCAGGTTGGAAGAGACCTTAAAGATTATCCAGTTCCAATCCCCTGCCGTGGGCAGGGACACCTTTTACCAGAGCATGTTGCTCAAAGCTCCATCCAGTCTGGCCTTGAGCACCTTCAGGGATGGGGCATCCACAGCTTCTCTGGACAACTCATACCAGGGCCCCAACCCTCAGAGTGCAGAATTTTTTCCTGATATCTAGTCTAGCCCTGCCATCTGTCAGTGTGAGGCCATTACCCTGCGTCCTGTCCCCACATGCCCTCGTCAGAAGTCCCTTCTACACTGGTCTTAAGTTATGTTTAAATTCCCTCAGAATTCCCTCTGAATCATATGTCAGACCATGATTTTTTCTGCCGCTTTTTCTCAGATATGAAAATTTAGAGACGTTGAAGCTTAACAGCCCCTGACAGAGTAACTGTGAGGAACATCAGATCCCAAGTGTGAGCAACACCTTCCATCATGTCTCACCTTTAGCTCGTGCACGTGCTGGAAACTCTGTGCCTGAAGTATTTTTACCTTCAGTGAAGAAAAAATATGGTGGAGAGCTTAGGTATAAGCTTTGGTTCTGGTGGTGGAACCCTCTTAAGGTCAGGCAGGATTGGACACTGAAACAGGTTCCCAGCACTGTTCCTTTTTGTCCTTTAAGAAAATAGTGGAATTTCTCCTCTTAAGGAACAGTGTATCCAGCCAAATGTGTAAGGATGCTCAGTTCTGCCTCCATGGATGTAGGAGATGTGGGTCAGTCCAAAAATAGCACTGACGTGGCTGCTGACAGCAGTACAGCTCAGGTTTAGGAAGTGCTCCAGCTGGTTAAACATCAGCAGAGGTGACAGTCTCTCAGTGTTTCCGTGGTTGGTAACTCAACACCAGGAGTGGCCAAGGAGCAAGCTCCAGCTCTGGTGTCTGGTCCTTATGGAATATCCCTAAGGAATATTCCCACAAGGCAGGGTAGGATGCTCTGCATCGAGTTTGACACTTTCAGGCCTCTGAGGTTCCTCATTCTGGAAAAGATTTTCACCATCAAACTTCCCCATCTACACCAATGCCACGTGACTTTGGCTCAACTTTCTGGAACAACCGTCCTGCTTCACTCTGTGGTGAACAGTTTGGAGCAATTTTGCTCTGGTGACCTTCAAACCAGCCTTTACACACTTTAAAAACTGTTGATATCCTGCAGCCAGGGACGCAGTCCGGGGACTGACCTGCTGCATATTATGACAAAGAGTCTGCAAAAGGCCAGTGTGGAGCGTTGCAGACAGTGCCACTCTGCAGCTCCTCTCCTGACCAGAGATCACTCCCAGGGAGCTGCTGTACAAAAATACCAGAGCTGCTGCAGTATCACTTCTCTGAGGTGCTCAGACTCCATCCCTCTGTCTGGTGTAGGTGCTTAGACCCTCACTCTGCTGGAACATTTACTCTACATAACAGGAATTATAATTGGAAAAATTATCTGTGCAGAAAAAGGCACGCTTCTGATACAGTGGTTTTCATCAGTGTATTCAAAGGACTTTTCAAAGTCTGCAGGAAAAGAGCAATAAATAATTGCTTTTTGAATAGCTGTTTTATCTCCAATAGTTCTGTCTTATCTAATTCCTTAATTAGGAAATGCTCCCAAGATAAGATGATTCTGTGATTATCAGGTTTGTGTTCATCTTGACTCTAAATCTCTTTATTTATTTCCTTACCCTCCCTCACCACACTGCAGTATCTTTCAAAAACTCATCTTTCCCAGAGGCAAGAAGCCCAATCTCAGAGATTTCAAGGGATCCCTGTCTTTTCCTGCTCTGTTACTTCCAGGGGTTCAGCTGTCTCCCTGTGTGTGATGTCAGAATCACTCAGGCTCTGGTTTTACATCTGCTGTCATATCACAGCGAAGGTGAGAAGCTGCTGGCTCTGCAGATCAAAGCTCACTCAAACCTCAGCCTGTGCACACTTCAGAAACGTTCCTGGCTCTGAACTGAAACATAACTACACAGTATAAGCTTGTTATTTTTGTTAAATACCTTATTTTCTCTACCCTGTGAGGTTGGCAGCTGAATTAAATAACTAATTAGTGGCAGACAGGTGTCCTTGATTCCAGTGGTTTGGAGGTGGTTGTGATGGTGTTTGGATTTTTTTAACATACAACTAGACACTTTTATAAACTAGCATTAAAAGAACTAACCATTATTAGAGAGTAACTCTTTTCCATACCCAATACTAGAGGGAAGATTTAGGAATGATTTTCTAAAAAGCCATTCAGTTAGAATTGTAACTATTTTATTTATGAACCAATATCATTTAAGAAGCAGCTGAGAAGGAAATACCCACCCTGTGGAAGGAGTCCTAAAAATGCCTTTCTGTTTTCTTTTATGTGGCACAAAAGTAAACAGTAAATGTAGTTTGTGAGGACAGACTTGTCCTAAGTCATGTGCATGCATTCTCTGCAGAGGAATTAGCTGAAAACCTCCTTGCAGGGACTGGGGCTTTTGCTTGTTTGGTCCATGCCACAATAAGAACTTCTTGCCTTGGAAAAAGCCTCTGCTGCACAAACTCGAATACGAGGCCATCTGGGCCCACATTTCTTGTCTCTTGACTGTGCCACAGTGTATTTTTTTTAAAGTGTGAACCCATCAATATGTTCATGCCCTGCCATTTTCTGATGTTTTGACAGCTGCCCTTTAAAAAAATTAGTTCTTTAAATTGCTCTTAATTAGAACTGGTAATCTGATAGTATAATAAAATCCTCCCTGTCAAAGCAGAGATATTTTCAGGAATCTATTGCTCTCTAGAGCATTAAGCACTCCCTCCAAGTTTTTTTGCTCTTTGAAATGTCTTGTCAGGCACTATTGAGATTAAAACTGTGTCAAATCCCCTCTTAGTGTGGAACTTCATGTCTCCAAGACATGTAAGATAAAGGCTACCATATGCTGCCACACTGGTATGTTGGGTGATGGAGAAAGCCTAGAAAGCGTGTTCCCTTATTGGTGCAGCAGCAGCAGAAAACTTGCAGAGAAAATGCTAAGGATGACTTTTATAGCTTGATTTTTTGGCTCAGGAGAGACACGATCTGCTCTTTACAGGATCCTAAACAGTGTATTTGCAGCTCCCTGCATATGCTGCCCTGGGAAACACAGTGCTGCTTTTGAACAGAGGGAGGAGGGACAGCCACCAATTTATTACTGGCCTGCTGGAATTTAGCAACATTGCATGATTGGAAAGGGGTTGAAACTTGTCCTTAGAATGAATTCTCTTTGTGCCTGGTCCTCAGTCAGTGTGCCCAGATTTTATTGTGCTGCATGTCACTGTAATCTGGGGGTGCATTGCCATCATAATCTCAGGTGTTGGGATTTGGTTTCTCAAGTCAAACAGGAAAGAAATTTGCTGTGTGACTTAAAGTTTATGTTTTAGCTTTCAGCAAAATACAGTTTTTAATTCCAAATAGGTTCAGGAATAGCAGAACTTAGTTGTCCACAGTTTAAATTTCCTCCCCACCTTTGTATAAAAATTCCACTTACTCCCTTTTACTCCTCTTAGCTGAGGAGTTTCTTTAAGCAAAACCACAAGGGTTTATCTTAGATTATTGCAGTTAATTTTTATAAAAGCAGTATGTGACAGTAAGGGGACAGCACTCCATAGAGTGGAGAAAGGGGCAGCACCTGCTGCTGTAGAGCACAAGGAGCTTATTTTCATCAGTCCAAACCATGGATGAATATTCTCACAGTACATACAGTATCTGTTCAAAATCTTCTTGTCTGGGAGGTTAGTAGCATAAGGAAAACTAGTTAAGCAATGCTGATGGTTTCAGGAACAAATGTTTCTAAGTTCTTTCCTGTAATTTTAATAAAAGGCAGAGAAATGTCTCTGAAGTTGGTATTTGTAAATAAAGTTATCAGTGAAAACTACAACATGCCAAGGAAATTGCAGTTGATTTTAACATGTTAGTGCAAAATGTTGCAGTAATGAATTATTGAAAAGTGTTATCTGTGTTTTGTTCATCTATTTCTTTATCATTAAATGTTTCTCAGGGTCAATAATATTTACTTGTCCTCATTAACTCCAGCTTTCCCTTTGCTCTTTTCCTGTTCTTTGGGCTTTTCTTCAAGCTCCCTTTCCGAAGCTTTGACCTGTTTTTCTGTAAGAGGGAATTTGAGAGTTTTCATCCACATAACACAGTAACAGGCACTGATGCTGGAAGTGCAACATGTTCCTTTTAATGTCTGTGTTTTTTCCAATCTTTCAGGATCTCAGCAGCAAGGACATGAAGAGAGACTTGTACATAGTTGCCCATGTAATCCGAATAGGTACAGTATGATTTAGTGCTTCAAACATATCATTAACAATGCCTCTAGAGCGGATTTAAATGTATGTTTTAATTAACTGCCTTTATAATGATTTAACCACTAAGAAAACTCAGTCTGATTAACATGCAGACCATATGGAGCTAAGTGTTAGAGAGTTACCGGTGACTGTTTAACAGTGATGGTTTTTTCTTAGTCTGAAACAAAATACTTGACTGAACAGCACATTTGGGGAGAAAGCCTAAAAAGGTTTTTTGTTTAATGTTTAAAAATTTCAAATGAGGTCTTTTTACTGATGGTTGTAGTTAGTTTACAGGACAGGACAGCAGCACACCTGACCATGCCCATCCATTAAATCAGAGGCTGGTAAACAAATATATAGAAAGGTCTGCTTTCTACTGAAGGTGCTTCCGAGAACCCACACTTGAGTTTAGGGAGATGGGTTTATCTGACTAGTCAGCCAGGCCAGGTTAGGCCTCATTTGTTCTTTTTGACACTTGCAGTAGCAAGAATAGGAAGTGTTTGTGACAGAAGTTGAATTTAGAATGTGTCTCACACAATGTAGTGCTCAAAGTTCCTAGCCCAGCAGTGTGTTTAAAGTGACTGTTTGATTTTGAATGGTATGTGAATTGAATTGTTGGAATCTCTGATAGATGGAAGGTGTTGGAGAGAAAAATTTTCAAGTTAAAAGGGATATAATTAGTTAGTAACAGGTTTAAATGGATCTAAATTATTGATGTCTGTACTTCCCCTGAGAAATTATAGCAAGTACGTATTTTACCTTTGTTAAATACTAAATTGTTTTAAATATTAGACCTAAAATGTTAACAACATAAAGTGGGAATAGCAGACAGTTTCCTCAGTTATATTGTTGCAAACAAGTGAGTGGTGCAGTGTCATTCCCATTTTTCAGGCTTTCAGTGAACTGAGGGATGGCCAGGGAGTGTTTGCAGTGGAAGGTGTCTAACCCTGCTGCCAGCCCAGTCACTGCTGACACCCATCAGCAGCCACAGACACCTTTTCTGAAGAACAGCTTAGTGAAACCACAGCTTAGCGTGTTGTCCTGTGAATGACAATGTGCCTTCAAAACCACAGATGACTCTGTTATCACTTGAGGTGAATAATGAAGCTTGTAGGAAGATATGCTGTGTTAACCTTGATGTGAGAAGTGCTGGACAAATTATTGTGTGTAATGTTACAAGTTCACTTAGATTATCACAGTGATTTTTCTGGCCTTGGCATTTTTTACTCTATTTTAAAACTGCCTTAATAATAGGAAGTGAATCACTGAGCAGCTTTTTACCTCAGAATTCTCCTCCCTGCACCCCAAGACAAACACGATATATGACCAATATCTAATGCGTGATATAGATTATATACAATGTATCATGTGAGGGTTTGTGTAAATACTGAACTATAATGGAGGGACCACAGTGAATCTGTGTGTGGATCAGATTGGTGAGTACAAGCTGTATTCTTGGCTCAGTCCAGAGGTGATCTGTGCTCAGCCCATCTGGATGCAAATACCCGTCACGGAGCTGCAAATCAAAGATGGCCAGATGTGATTCTGCTCACTTTGCCCTTGACTGTTCTGTTTAGCTGAATGAGGTGATGCCCTTTAATTAAAGCAGCCCAGGGGGTCAGGGTGAGTCCAAATGGACCTCTGGGTTTGAGGCAGTTTAAGAGTGAGAAGTTGTGGGGGGTTGACTCTGGCTGGACTCCAGATGCCCTCCAAGCTGCAGTAACACTCCCCTGCAGCAGGACAGGACGGGGGAGGGGGAACAAGATGGAGGAAAACTCATGGGTGAAGGTCAAAGCAGTTTAATAAAGCAAAAGCAAAGGCCATTGCAGAAGCCAAGGAAAAGAAAAGATTCATTCTTTATGTCTCATCAGCAGTCAATGTCCAGCCACTTGTAGGAAGCAGGGCTGCAGTGCATGTAGGGGGTTGCTCCAGAAGAAAAACCTCAGAGTCACAAATACCCCCCTCTCCTCCTCTGTTCTCCTTGCTTTTATTGTTGAGCAGATGTCATGTGGTTTGGAGCATCCCTTTGGTCAGTTTGGGTCACAGCTGTCCTGGCTGTGTCCCCTCCCAAGATCTGCCCACCCCCACCAGCCTCCTGGTGTGGGAGGGACACTGCAGAGGCAACCGTGACACTGTGCCAGCACTGCCCAGCACCCCTGGTGTGTTAGCAACACCTTTTTGGGGACCAGCACTGCCCAGCACCCCTGGTGTGTTAGCAACACCTTTTTGGGGACCAGCACAGCCCAGCACTGCAAGGCTGCTGAGAGGAAAACCAACTCCATCTCCACCAGACCCAGTGCAGAACTATCTTGCTGTAGGTGTGCCTGCTCAGAGGGGCAGTGGAACACAGCAGCCAGGATGGCTGCATGATGATCCCTGATGTTTTCAATTTCTCTTTGCTGTAGGTCGGATGTTGCTAAATGATTCCAAAAAAGGGCCCCCTCATTTACACTATCGGCGCCCCTACGGCTGTGCAGTGTTGAGCATCATGGATGTGCTTCAGTCAATCTCTGAAATAAAGGAAGAGAAGGATTTTGTTCTCAAAGTTTACACGTGAGTAGCTGTTAGAAGAAAGTTCTTTGCTTCTTTATTATTCCAGCAGCTCATAGAAACTAATGAATATTATCCACAGATATTTCAAGTATGTGAAATGCTTCTGAAATTATTGAGTATTGCCCAAGTCTGTGACATACAAAAAGCTGCTCTTTTATTAATGTGATTTATTTAAAATCTGCTTAGCTCAAACCCAAAGAAATATGCTGTATTTCATCTTATGAAGGCAATATTTACTTGTGCTCCATCTCCTGTTCTTTCCCAGTCACAGTGACCAACAAAAGGAAATGGAGAACAACTGAAGTCAACAGTGTGTGACCGAAAAACTCAAACCAAATCAACACTTCCCGAGCAGGAATCTGTTTTGCAGTTATTTGTGATTTTGAACTTTGAACTAACAAATTCTTATTCTGAAATGTGGTCTCACAGTTGTAATAAAGAGGCCACAGACAAACTGTCTGGAGACTGCAGGGAATATTTAAATCTCTTGTCGGTGAGAAGAAATACTGGCAAGATCTGCTTTGCAGATGGGCTGAGATACAGCTGACACTGCTTTGTGGTCTGTGGCCACAGTAATAAGATAATTTGGCGGGTTACAGGACTTTGTTATTCTTTGAGAAGTGCATTCAGCAGCAGAAAAACTGACCTTCAAGGGAAACTATAAATGAAAAAAAAAAGTCTTTTACTGTTCACTGAAAGATTCTTGGATTTCTCTTCGTACATTAGAAATCTCTGAAGTCCAGACAAAAGTCTCTCAGAGTCAGCTCCTCCATTCTTCCTTTGCCAACAGTTATGAAAACTGCAGCAAAAATGTCAAATTACAGTGAAGAAAATGGTCATCTTTCTTCTCTCTGTTGGTCAAAAATGGATAATTTTGGCCTTTTGTCACCATTCAGTTTCAGCTCCTGTCAGACCAGTGGGTTTTGGTTGTGTAGTGCATGTTAATATTGTCCTTGTAGGGGTGGTGTTAATACACTGCAACTGCAGCATCTTGAACGTTTACAGAAATGGAACATTCTGGTTGTCAGAAATCTGGTTTGATGCCCTTTTAATGCATCTTTAGCTTCTGATTCACTGAAAAATAGAAGAGGAAACACTTGTTAAAATCCTGGTCAAATAAAGTCACACAGCCACTTAGAGCCATCCAAAGTCCTGGTACAACCATACAATAAAAATTACAGCATACAGAGCTCTCCTTTTCTTGCTCTTAATCTGAAGTGTTTTGTTGACATGGATTCCCTGCACACACCCAGAGTGCCAGCAGTGTGTGCCCCAGTGCCTGAGCAGGTTTGTACCATCCCATCTGCTCCCCCCAGCCCTGGTTTTCATGTCCCCCATGCAGCCCTCACTGCCTTCCCAGAGGGGAAGGAGAGCCCATCACAGAATTCAGCTCTCTAATCAGATGCTTGTAATTTTTTATCACTCTTATCACTCTCTTGGGTTGTTGAAAGTCTTGTACATTCATTCTTTAAGTTACTGCTGCTTGGAGTGTTCTGTGCAAACCTCCAGCAGAAATACTCAGAAGGGAAGGTGGATTTATCTGAAGGGCACCAGCTCATCCCCTGTGCAGCTTTGATAGCTGTTGGTCCTTCATGGCAGAGTTTTCACAGGTTTATCTCTTGCATATTCTCTTTGCACACTCCTTTAGCACACCCCCCTTTTCTTGCTTTGCAGGCTAAAATGGAGTTTTGTCCTTTGTAAATTTAAAATTGAATATGAATGCTTAAACAGCACTGATTTCCTTACCTGCTGCTCCCATTTTGATTACTGCTCACATGCCCCAGGCCAGCTCAAAACCATCAGAAAGATGAAATGAGGAGGGAGGTGTATTTGTGTTTTTGAGGAGCAGTAAAAAGCATTCCTTTTGTACAATCTCTGGCTAAAGCTCACAGCTCCCACAAACGAGGCAACCAGCAAAACCTTCTCATAGGGAGAGGCTGGAAAAAATCTGGGAGACTGAAAACCTCACAAAGGCTGAAACAAATACATGGGCTTTCAATGAGACTTTTGCTGGATCCACAAGAGAGAATGCTTATGGGAGGGTGGGAAAAAAAAATCAATTTACTTCACTAGTGTTTCTCTGCTTGCCTTATTATTGTTAAAGATTTATGGCTGAAAAATACTTCTTTCTCACAATTGAGATTTTCCTCTTTGTTAATCCCACAGTCATGTTAAAATCTCACTAAGAGGATCTAGTACCACAGCTGTAGTTATAAGCTCATTATGTAAAAGCATAAGCGTTTACTTTTATAATTCTTTTTAATATACATGTAGAATATTTTAAAAGAGAGATGGAAATTAAATTCTCAGTCCATTTTTGAAAATTACTTGGTTTCATATTTTTATATTTATTTTTATATTAATTTTTATCTCTAATGAAAGTTTTTGCTCATTGAACATTACTTTTCGTGTTAATCTTACCATTCCTCTGAAAACTTCATGTATTTCTCTTTCATATTATCTTTTTCAGTTTTATTTTTTTGTCCTATTTTCCTTCTATCCTTTTTTTTTTTTCCCCTCTTTCTCCAGCACTAGCTCTTGAAATTCTTCCCCCTCAATGCCTGAATGCCTTTCCCTTTTAATATTCCATAGTTGCTGTTTGCCCAGCTGGACAAGAGGGTACATCCATTGCTGTCCCCAGCTGGGGGATGGCAAACATTCCAAGTGGTAAATCCTGGAATGAAGTACTGCAGAACTAGCTGATCTCAAAGGAGGATGGCTGGCTCAGGGGGAAATTCTTGTCTGAAGGAGGAACATATCCTGTTATCTCTTTGGTATTTGGATAAGTAGAGTCTGAACACAGTAAAACACAGCCCAAGCAAATGTTTCCAGCCTACAGGTCAAAGCTGGGAGAGGATCCTCCTCCTTTGTGTTCAGGACATGCAAAGTGCAGCTCACCTGGGTACTTGGTACGGCACTGGCTTTAGCAATCTTTACGGTCTGTTGATTTGGGGATAACTTTGTCTCAGGTTAATTGGCAAACATAAGTCACTGGAGGCTGAAATCTATTTTAACTTGCACTCCAGAGGCTGGTACAGCAACTAAAAAATGAGGGAGGGAGGAGGGTATAGAATTTGTCCTATAGGTTAGCCCTCTACTTTTAAGAGAATATTATTTGCTGTAGGATAAATGACTTTTAATGCTGTGGCCACATGAAGATAATGATTATTTTTTCTTGATGAGTAAGCTGAATTAGCACAGAACACCACAATTACTGACAAGGGGGTTTGTACTGGCCATTAATGCCTCAGCTCTGTTGTGTTTTGGTTTTGAGAGATTGTTTTGGGGACTGCAAATACAGTCAATTTGCCATCCTGTGAAGGTCTGGAAGGTCACTTCAGTGCTGACCTGTCTTAGGTGACTGTGGATAGCTGATCTCTCCTCTCAAAAGGGATATGGTACTTAGAGAAAGGGGGGAGTCGAGCAAGGGAAATGTTTAATGACACAGGGACATTTCTTTATCAGAAATGAAGAATGTGGGGAGCTTCAGCTTGAAGAGGAGAAAAGTGATGGTGGGAAGAGATACAACCCAAGATCCACAGGGAGTTACACCAGTTTATGAACAAGAGATCCATAAATAGAGGAGCAGGGACAGACAGGGATGTACCACCCCAAACCCAGCACCTGGGGGAGGGTACCTGAGCCTGGCTGCTCATCTGCCCTGCCACAGCATCATGGCCAGTGGCCAGTGTGGAAGCTTTAATGTGTTCTGGAGTTCCTGACAGTCAGTTGAGGTGTCTGATACCTACACTCAGTGCAGGGGAAGGGAGGGATGATGGGACAGGTGGAGCTGAGGTTCCAGGTGGGATGATCCCAGTCTGACTGCACCAGTAAACCCCAGAGTACAGCCTGATCAGTGCTTTAATGAAATGAATCCTTTTGGGTCGCGCAGTGGAAGAAAGTAACTCCTAATGATTTTTTCTCTGTGTTTTTCTCTTTTGCTGTCTGCACTTTGCATTTCATTTATTTCAAGTTGTCCCTGTTGCCTTTGCTGTTCCAATATCATTTGGGGGGACGTCAGTAAGTGCCATAACAGGTTTTGTGGGTTGTCTCATTATCCCTGGCAGTAGGTGGCAATGCAGAGGCTGTAGGAAATCACCAGCTACTATTTGTTCTGGATAGCCCTAATTCCTTTTGCCATGCTGTTCTTCAGTTACATAATGCAGCAAACAGAAAGAATCCCTGATGTCTTCAGTGTAGCTGGTTTGTGTCTTACCCTGGTTGTGCTGATGTTTTGTGCTCTTGGGGTGGAAGCAAAAAAGGGAAAAAATGTTCATATCCTTGGGAGAAGTTTTGCAAAGTGACTTATTTCTTGAGCCTCATAGGAGCTGAAAGCTTAAAGCATTAGCTTCCCTTTTTTTTTTAACCTTTAAGAGTCAATAGGACAGAAGTTTAATTAAATTGTTTAATTCAATTGCATTTCAGGAGAAATAAGATTCACTTTTGCTGCTGAGTTAAAAATTGCTGACTTCATGGGGAATCATTAATTCTTCCAGTTGTGATTTAAATAGAGCACAGTTGAATTTAAAATGCAGTTAGACTTGATCAACATAACTGGTTTGCCTTCCTTTTTTGGCCAGTAGCACTGTTTGTGGTAAAGTTTCCATTTTTTTTCCACAAGAGAGGAGATTTTATGGCTCTTTTTTCATGTAAAAGCTTAGTAAAGAGGGACACTTCAGTTCTTTGCCTTTCTCCCCAGTCTGATGTCCCTCTCCCATACAGTGGGACAGTAAGCTATGGACTCAGAACATGGACCTTGTTACCTTGATTCCTTTGGCCTCTGGATTTTGGGAGATTGCATCATGTCTCAAGGCATTCTGTAAAATATGTAGGCAAGCAAAAGACTCGTAAATTCCTGAGATACTAAAAAAATCAGGGCTTCATTTAGTCTTTCAAATTTCACTTTTATTTCTTGATTGGAACTTTTTTAATCAATTAAAACCAAAAAGGTAATATATGGCAATAGTTAATTTAAGCTTAAAATTTATTTACTACATACACAGGATTCAAACAAGACAACCAGAGCTTTCTTGGGTTTCTCATAATCTGAAGAGTGGAGCAATGGCTTTGATGACAGGAAAGTCACTGCTGGCTCCAAAGTGTCCATAAAAATGATATAACTATTAGGGAATACTTTGTTTCCTTCCACTTTTAAAAGCAGGAGTTATGTGGGATTTCTCTCATCCATCCAACCTTTCATATTATCTCTATGACAGGGTTGACCCTTCTGTTCTAAGATGGTTCAGCAGAAAGCATTTAACTTGAATTGGTGTTCTTTTCTTTTAGGTGTAACAACGAGAATGAGTGGTGCCAGATCCATGAGAATATCATCCGCAAATCCAGCACCAAGTACACGGCCCCCAGCTCCAACTATGGTAAATATTTACTGGTGCTTGTTTGTCTTAATAAGAGCTGAAGATTTCCTTTAGGAAACTGCGATTATTTATAGCAGAGAAATTCACTCAGATGTGAGGTTTTACTTTCCCAGCTAATGACAGATAAATATGGAAAGTAAATCTTATCTTTTTACCTCATTTAATGATGTCTGGAGTTGCTAATTCAGAGATATCATTGCTGTGCCATTCCAAATGAACCAGCTGATAGGATGCAGTTGTGCTTCATTAAAGCGAGTTTTGCATTCATTACCAAGTGCCTCATTCATGGGCATTCTGATGACCAAATACTGAATTTGTCTTCATTTCCCTTGTTTGCATATTGAGATACTGTGGTGGAATATGCATTCACACTCCCACAGAAGATATGAAGTACAAGAATAAGCAAATAAAACATTTTTTGGGTTTGGGGTTTTACTGTGTCAAGCCTGTCTCCTTCCCCGCTGCTCCTCCTGTTACAGCTGGGGTTATCCACTAGTTGTCATTACCATATTCTCCTGAGTTGTTTGTAAATGATTTAAGCATAAGTAATATGATTTGGGTCTCTCAGAACCCACTCTTACAGTGAGAACATTCTCAAACCACAGATGGGATGTTTCCCTGGAGAAAAGCTCCCTGGGTTTGTTCTCACCACCTTCCCAGGTTGGGTAAAGTTGGTCCTTCAAATGTGCTGCAAGGAGTAGAAACCAACTGGAAGGATATGCTGGGTAGAAAAGAGGAGTGGGGAGTACAGAACCTTTGGGGAGAGTAGGGAGCTGGGCACAAGTTTTTTGGGGTGGATTATGTGGGAAAGTACAACATAGGTAATATATGTAATACCATGCTGGAAAAATTATGTGTTCTGTTACCTATAGTGACTGACTCTAATAGAGGATTGATTAATTCTGGTGCTTTTTATTAAGTACTGGGAGATCTGAACTTCCAAATTTGCTCTAGTGCTTTTACACTGGAATGTTTTTAATTTATTTTCATTGGTTTGTTTTTAATAGCAGAAGGGGATTATAAAATGACCAAGCTTTTCTGGAAGTGGCAAAAATAGCCAAGACTGATTTGTCACGAGCGTGTGTCTCTTGTGTGCTGTGGAACCTCCTGTAGCACAGACACACACACACATCCACTTGCACATGGGGTCCAAAAGGGCTGGATTTTTTCCATGGTTTTCAGGCCTGTGTTTTCCCTGCAGAGCTTTGCAGTGCTCTTCTGCCTACTTAGCTGGACAGTTGCAAGTGCATGTTTTGGCAGCTTTTGAGTCCATTCATGCTGACTGTCCAACTGGCTGGTTGGGCCTCCCTTTTCCTTCATTTTAAGGCTCTATCCTATTTTTTTTTTTCATCCCAACTCCCAGTATTCATAAAATTTATACAGCCTTCATGTAATCTAGAAATCCACTTATTTGCCAAATTTGGCTGAAGCCAAACAGCAGGATTGAAAATTACTTCAAGGGAAGAAAGCGGGACTTGGGTGGGAGGTACATGATCCTCCTGGTTTCATTCCCCTGGTAACTTGTCTGACAAAATGGTGACTAAATACAGTTCACAAAGCCCGTGTGTTAAGCTTAGGAAATAGCAGAACTTCAGATGGCTCCTGCAAGAACAGCGTTTGGTTTGGTGTGTGGTGTTCTGAAGGGTGAACAGGGAGGATACAAAGAACTCTTGACTGTCTGACATGGAAGGAGATAACGTGGGAAATGACTGTGTGAAGGAAATTCCCATGGATATCGAGGCTGGTAACGTGTGCCCAGCAGGTGAGACTGAGCTCGCAGGGCTGAGCTTAATCCTGGTATTTTTTGGTATCCCAATACTGGACATTTTAGTTTTACCAGTACATTATCCTTGCTTTAGAGGTGTGGTATGAGACAAATTAAAAGAAGCTGGACTGGGATTATCTGTGTAGTTATTCCTGGTCAAGCTGTTTTTCAGTCGATACACTGAACAGCAGAGCTGGTGGCTGAAGTCACTTTACCCAGTTGGTATTCCTGAAACATGTTGAGGTACTGATGGGAATTTCATTAAAATCAGCACCCCTCTATGAAGCAGTTAAAGAAACAAGTGGAACTGATATGCTGTGAGATTTAATTTTTTTCATGGTATTAAGCAGGATTAAAGGTACTTTAGAGATGTTCTACAGCATTGTGTGGTTGTTCAGATAGAGATGGCATTGTTCATACATGTGTTGTCACCTGCTGTGTGTGAGGAATAGAAGTAGTGGAAGTACTTGCTGTAGCTTGTGACCTGTGTGAAATAAAAGTATTCTGATTTTTTGAAGTTGTATGTTAATATAATGCTGTGCTTGTAGCTGATCCCTGATATCAGTTTTGTTTCTTCCATTTCAGCTTTAAATTGCTCCAAGGGAAAAAAGAACTCTGTCTATATACTTGTATTAAATTAACTGTGGAGCCAGACCTTGGGTTACCTGCATGCCTTTTATACACAGACTTCTAATTCTTAAGTCAGAAACAAGGAACATATTTGTGTTTTTTTCCAGGACTTATCATTTCTCTTCAGCTTCTTCGTGGTGACATGGAGCAGATTCGAAGGGAAAACCCCATGATCTTCAACAGAGGTGTTTCTGTTACCAGGAAGCTGGGTTTTCCTGATGTTATAATGCCAGGTAAACACAGCAGCTCCAATCTGAAAAGATTGATGGGATTTTTCCTCATACACTCCCACACAAGGGCACTGGGGTGGGGGATTGACTTGATCAAGATGAATAACAAAAGGGTTGCCTTATTTCTCAGTAAATGCCGGTTCCAGGTTTGGGAAGGTGTGCTACATCACTTTAATCAGTGGACATCACAGTCACAGAAGGTGCTAAATGAACATGTATAGAGGGTGATCTGGAAGGATACTGCCCACACCACCCCTGACACTTGGATATCCCTCGTGTGTGGAGATTGTCCCTCAAGCCTAGAGATGTTTCTTTTTAAATGCATGACGTTTTTTCCCAATAAGCAGAACCTCCAGAAAGTGTTTCCATTTGCACCCTTGATTTTTTGGGGTCGGTGTGATCCTTTTGTAATGGTTGACAGTACACAGGGTGCAGATCTGGTTGGATTTTCCAGCTGGCCTTGCAGAGCACCTGATCCGTGCAACAGGTGCCTTGGCTGGAGCATCGCTGTGCTCCCTTCACTCCTTAATCCTGGAGCAGCAGCTGGAGATGCTTCTTGTTTTGGCAGCAGCCGAGGCAGCCCCAGCACAGGCAGGAGTTGAGTTAGGGAAGAACCCGGAGCGTGGCCGGTCGTGCAGCCACAAACAGCTGGTGCTGCTCTGTCCTGAGTGTGGCAAGGAATGGGTCGGTACTTACCCTGCATGTGGAGCATCTGAACTGTTCCCTCGTTGCTGTGCATGGCAAGCAGGACCAGGGATGGCTTCGGAGACGTGGGGAATTTTATGAGAGCGTAATGGGGAAAAAAGCAGATCTTATTACTTGACAGGCTGCAGTGACACATCAGGATCAGAAGTAGCTGTTGTAGCTTCGTTGTGGAGTCTCTTCAGAAACCACAATAAAACAGGGAGTAGGTGGGAAGAATTTCCAGAAACTAAAGTCAAAGGATTTAGTACATCTGTTTTATTTACTAATGAGCTTGAAAATAGTAGTAATAGAGCAGCTGAGGATGTGGGCTATGAGGCCAATTAAAAATTTTAGGGTTTAGTGACCTTACAGCAGTCCCAGTCATAACCCAAAGCAGTCAAATAGAGAAAAGATGAATTTATTACAGGTTCATCTGCAGAAACAGCTGCTGCAAGGGGATCTGCTGTGATTGAGATCCCAGCTGGATATGTCAGCTGGAATAGCTGAATCACAGCTAGAGAAGCCAACATCAGAAATAACATTTACATACCTGCGTGAGTGAATTGATTCTCCTGCAAGAATTGCTTTATCCTCCATTTCTGTGTAGAGAGAAGTCCCTCAGGTGCTTAAGGAACAGCTTTGTCTCCTCAGTGTTTCCCTGTATTCCGCTGGTTTGGGCAGGGCTTTGGTCCAGAGCTGGAGCAAGGAAGGCAGCAGTTTCCACGCAAAAAATGCTCCTGCCCAAAGCTTTTAAAATTCTCTAATGCAGCTAATTCAAATTTCCAGATTTTCTTTATGAGAACCACAGTTGTTGTTGGAGAAAACATTGGGGTTTTGGGATGATAATCTCTTTGGAATTGGACTTGCATATATATATACCTATGCTTAAAATACTGATGGATAGTAACAGATGTGTCAGAGAACCAGCATTCTGCTGTTAAATGCTTCCTGCCTCTCCAGAGGCATCGCGCACACACAGCTTCTCCTTGGGTCACAGGGGGGGCTACAGGAGATTTTCATGTGTAGAGTTTAGATGCAGAGCTTTAGGCATTTGTATTTGGAGAGGAAAAGGCTCCCATTTGTGCAGAAAAGCAGTTTGTGCATGTCTGTAAACACCAGGTAAGGAAAGAAAGGCAGCCAAGGGAGGTGTGAATGGACTTTCACTGTAAATGAGGACACTGCCAGAGTAGAGATGAGATGTGAAGAGACAGGTGATTGTGAATGGGGCTCTGACCAAAGGCTTTCACTGTGTTGGGTATTTTCCTGGATAAGAAAGGCTCAGGAAAATGTGGGGATTGAAATGTAAGGGAACTTCACTGATGCAGCAAACTGTTCTCTCTAATTACTTACCAATTTATATATTTTTAAATGAAGATATGAGACATTCAAGTGACTGCACATATTTGCCTGCTCTTTGCTTTTAAAACATTTAATCAAGCTGGTGTTTGAGTTTACCTGACATCCAGGACAGAATGTTTGGGTTAAGTCACCTTTCAGGTGGATTAGCCAAGCTACATGAGCAAGGGATGTGTATCAATTTACTTTGTGCTTGTGTTGTTGCAGAATCATTCTTCCTTAGCTTTCTGAGTAGTGTCTAAATTCAAAAAATAATTAACTGTGGACACACACAGCCAAAAGAAAGAAAAAAAATACTCCAAACCAAAGAAAAACTGAAGCCTGTCATGCACATGAGCAGTTCTCAGCCATGTCTGCTGCATTAATTGTCTTTGTCAAACTACTTTTTCCTTGCTTTGCTTCAGAACTGTTTCTTTGTCATTAAACAGAGGGTTTTTTCTTCCAGAAAAGAGCACACAAAGTTCATGACTTGTATTTTGCAAGCGGATGCAGGTTTTTCAAGGCAGTGTGGTTTAAAAATGTTTTTTAATGAATACATTAATAAAAATTCATCACCTAGTACTGTTAAAATACACAGTGATCATTCTGCTGAGCCAAGGAATCTATTTTTAAAAAAGTAAATAACTGTAGCATTTCAAACAATTCTTCTTTGTCATAGGTTTGAACATTTTCATTTTCTTTTTTAGTAAGAAATCTTTTCACTTCTTAACCATTAAAATTCTGTAGATGTGTCTTACCACACGTTTTTCCTGTCCTGTTTTGTTTTCTAAACTGGAGTATTAGTTCCCTGTGCCAAGCCCTCTTTCTGTCCCTCAGATATGAGCAACGTGGATGGTAGCTGGTCATCATTAAGAAACAAAGTGAAACTGGTCTTTATGGGCTTGTACCTTCCATGGCTGTGCAGAACAAGCTTAATATTGTACAGAATAACCATGCCTGTCTTGGTTTGTAAAGATAAAATGTTCTTTGTTTCCTACTGTGTTGAGATCTGAGAAGAGCCTCGTAAAGGCTTCCCTTGTCTTTTTTGTCCAGATCAGAAGGGATTCAGCCCAACCAGCCTCAGGAAGAACTGTGGTGGGGTTTGTTCATTTGTGGTTGGTTGTTTTTTTCCTTTTCTAAGTTGCTCCTGGGTTTAAGGCCCTGAGTCTGATGGTGACAATTTTACCTTTCCCCAGAGCTCAGAGCACTGAGGCATTTGCAGCTGTGTTTGTGTGCACAACTTGCTGATCAGAATCTGTTGCATAGGCTTGGCGTTTGTCAGTCCCCCAAGGACATCCCTCCCCTTCCCCATGTGCTGATAAGTATTCTGTCTTTTACTTTGATCCTCTGATGAAAAGTGCATGCTTCATCTTCTACTCGTGAGTGATGTTTCTTTCTCTTTTTTCTCTCTCCTTGTCCTAATTTCCTGGCTTCTCTCCCGTTCCTTTCCCTTTATTCTCTCTCCCCTTTCTTTCTGATGCAGAGATGAAGATTGTTGGGTGTAAGTTTCTGCTTTTCTGTGTAATGTCTGCTTATTGCTTGCCTTTTTTTTTCCATTCTCATATCTTCCATGGAATGTTGGGGATTGGTAAAGACAGCAAATCATAACATCACAGGGAGACTTTGGTAACAGAGAGGTGGAGACTTTGTCTCTCTCCACACCTCAGGGTTTCAGGCAAATTTAGTAGCTGTGACAGGTGAGTTGGTAGCAAAGGTGAGAAACATCTCAGCATCTGTTCTGTCAGTGAGCACAAAGTCATGGCAAAAATCTGTTAAGAAAAGGACATGGCAAAATCCATCAGCCAGTCTTAGAATGTTCATGGCAAGGAAGTCAATAAGACCAAAAGACATAATTAGGTAAAAAAGTGTTTACAGGGAGTGTAAAAAGTCTTACTGTCATAAATAAACTTGTGGAAATGGAAAGCTGGAGGAGATAAAAAATGAAAAGCATTAAAAAACAACTTCCTGCTACTGAAAGGCAACTGTTCCGGGGAAATAATTGAATTTATAAAGAGCACTGTATAAATTCTTTTCTATATGTAGAAATCAAGCAATGGATAGTAAACAACAGAGTAAGTAAGAGGGGGAAAAAACTAATTTAATTTACCATACAGGCAGTAGATAAAGCCTTTGTTTCCCTTTCCTGCTGTAATATTGCTCACAATTATATTAATAGTTGCTCACTGTAACTGTTTCAAGAGTAGAGGCCTTGAGAAACGTTAGGGCCTGGCTGGTGAAGGGGCAGACAAATAAGCTGCTAAACTGGCTGGAATGGGATTCTCAGGCTGTGACTGTGCCAGGCAGGCAGGAATGCAGTGGGTGACACAGCAGGGCTTCACTCTGGTGACAGAGGTGACGTCCCTGTGACAGCCAGGGAAAACCACAGTGTGAGGACGTGACTGGGGGTCAGCCAGAAGGAAGGCCAGAGGTGTTGAGGATCTTTCCCACAGAGTGCCCTTGGTCAGTTTGTCCTCCAGTCCCTTTAGTTTGTTCAGTGATGTGATGACCCCAGAGCTGCTCGTCCTGTTGACCTGGTCTGTGTTGGAATCACTGCACTTCAGGAGGACTCGTGTGGTTTCCATTTGGAGGAAGTTACAACTCCAAGTAAGGGCATAGTTTGCTGTTTGAGATCAGAATCTGATCACTCCTTCCAAAGCAGCAGCTGCCAGAGCTACTGCAGGGAAGAGCTGTCCACTGAGGGATTGTGCAGTTTAAGATGATGTTCCAGCCAGAAAGCAGAGCAGTTACCCCTGTAAAGAGGTAGAACAGATACACCAGAACAGATGATAGCACTGTACATGAGTAGAAGTCTTCTACATCTTGCAGCTTTTTTCAAAGGTTTTCCTTACCCCACTGGCCTAAACTGCTGTAACTTTGCCCCAGTCAGTGGGGTGATGCTGATTGACTCTGGTGGGGGGTGTTTGTTTATACATACAGGTCATAAATGCAAGGGTTTGGTTTTTCCCCAGAAGCCATTGGGGAAGATACTCTGAGTACTCTCCTTGCCCATTCATTCATTCTTCCGTAAAATGAAACTGTTTTCGAGAAAATACTAAACCAGGGATGTCAGAGAGTCAAGCAAACCGTCTGTCACAGGGTGGGACCCTAAGTAAATTGGACCATCTCAGCAATTTAATAGATAGAGACGTAAATACTGATTTTTTTATAGATAGATTGGGATTTTTTTAGTCCTTGACTGCGTAAATTGTAAAAGGCTAAACTTTCAGTTTAAAAAAAATCCATGATTCTTTGGATAAAAACAGTTATTTTACTATGTTACATGTAACTACCTGGGCATTCTGACTGCTGGGAGCTGCCACTTCTCCCCACTCTACAGGGGTACATTACAAGTCCTTTACAGGTTCACAAAGTCACAAAACGTTGACAGCTTAGAAAAAAAAAAAAAAAAGTTGTTAGAATTGAGGTGTCAGAATTTTGTGTCTCTTCCTCCTGCAGGAACTTATGTGAATTATGCAGTCTTTCTTGACATGGTATTCCCCTGTATAAAACAGGGACCATTCCTGTCCTCAGTGACCAAAATCTTTTAGGATCCCTGAAAAAAGAAGTGTTTGAATGCAGGCAGTTTCTGTACATTGTTACTGCTTTGCAGTCCAAGTAACTGGTTAGTCTTCCAGTGGAAAACCCCCACACCTTGTCAAGAAAAACTTCTATTTATTCCACTGTATAATGGACAATTAGTGGCCACTGGACTACTTTGTGTTATCCAGTCTTGAAAATGATAAATAACTATTTGGAAATCTTCCAGTACATTCCTTTTATGTTGCAAATACAAAATCAATATTTGGCTCCTGTAGCCTTTTCCACCACTCCTTTTTTTCCCGTTACCATTTAAGGAGTTTCAGGTGATGTGAGAAAGGATTTCATTTCAATATGAGCCAACCCCCTTCCCCAAAGCTGTAATTTGTGATTATAATTTAAACAACTGTACATTTGACATTAGGCTTTGTAAATAGGTTAAAACAGGCAAACAAAACAAAACCCCAGTAAAGGTGAAGGGAGTTGATAAAGGAAGAGCCCCATAACACATCAGAAAATAATCTTTTTATATTATTGTGCAAAATACTCTTTTTGGAGACATTTCATAGGGAATGAATCTCAGTTACTGTGTGTAAAAGGTGCACGTATTTTATGCTAAAAAGCAGTTTACTTTTCTTTTTAATTGAAAACAGTTGTGGAAAGATGGGCTTTGAAACAAATACCATTCTGAAAAATCAGTTTAGCTTTTCAGTTCATCTTTGACAGCCATCCAGCACAAAGAGACCTCAGCTCAAAGTGACATCAGCAGGCTTTACTCTATAAATACCCGTGGCCCACTGGCCTTCTAGCACTTCTTTATTTCTGTGTTGGTGATAGGAGGCCACGGCTCACCCAGTTTATGATCTGCACTTGCTGTTTGGGAAGATGGAGGCCTCTGGGATCCAAGCTGAGGTGCCATCCTGGCTTTCCCTCCTAATGTAGGAATTACTGCCGTAAACACGGGGCTGTTTGTGCAGAGGGCGTGAATGGTCCGGGGTCTTGAACGAGTTCCTTATTTATCTCTTTCTCTTCTTCCAAATGGAATGAAGATGGGGGAAGCTCTGTGTGCCAAGAGTTTTCACTCAGTGTGTTGTCAGTGTGGCTTAGAGCTCACAAGCACCACGTCTGGGTCCTGCTGATCACACCTTTGGTGCATTCCCGCTGTCCGTGGGTGCACAGGGTGGGACGCGGTGCTGAGTGTTCTCTCTGACCCTGCCCTTTGCATCCTCACAAAATAAGCATTTTAATCAACTGCTTGGTGTTCAGGCATTTGCAGTAGTTTCTGTGCAGCCCATTAGTGTATCAGGGCTCAAATCCCTCAAAGCCACAAGAAATTGGAAGGGAAAATAAAACCTTGTGAGGACTCAGCAAGCGGTGTGGTTAAGTGGTGTATCGGGGGAAGGAGATGGCTCCTTGCAGGAAGGGTATTTTCACTGGAATAAATAGAAGTCTGGGAGTTTGTAGTTTTAATTCCAGATTTTCAAGAAACCAAAGGGCTCCATACCTGATAGTTAAATGCTTTTTTTCTTTGCTAGGCTCATTTGCTTCCTTAATTTTACTGGATGCAGTGACCTTTTCTATTTTTTGAAGATTCAGTAGAGTATTTTTGCAAGAGAAAGTGCACCATTATACTTCACTAAAATACTTTTCCCCATCTTTTTTATGCAAATCCACTGGTTTTTATATCCCTCTACCCCCCACCCCAAAGGCATTTTTTTTTAATTAGTGCAGTAATATCCCTCCTGTTGAACTTAATAGAAGATAAGATGCTATATATAACCAAATACTGCCTTTAATTTAGCCTGGAAAATGATTTGCAGTCTGATATTGGACTTTGTGTAGCCAGACTGTCTTCCAGAAAAGAGGTCATAAATAGGGAGCTCCAAAATGCTAATTATAGTGGGTACAATTAATTTCTGTGAAGATTTATAGCTTACAAATTGAAACTTTTTTTTTCTCTGATTGTGCAAACTGCCAAGAAGAAGGGATGGAGTCAGTTAAGCAGAAGGATTTTCAGAACAGAAGTCCCAGCTTAAACTGTCTCTTATGATGAGTTTTGTATTTCCTTGATATCCCTGTAGTCAGCACAGAGGTAGCTCAGCTTGATCTTGACCAGCAAGATCATTTTCCCCAGTCGTGGGCCGGGCATTGTTGCATTCGATGACAGTTCTTTGATAAGAAAACCAGATCGAATATTTGAGGCCTTTCAGCAGCCTCTCCCTGTCGTCTTTTCCCCGTTAATGAAGCCTGGCATTCCAGCCCTCTGACTGTGAGGTGTTCCAGCTCTGTGGGAACCCACAGCGAGAGGGAGGTTGATGGAAAGGGGAGGACGTTTTGCATACAAAGATCCCCTTCCCAGAGAGCTCCTCGCAGGAAGCTCCCACTGGCGGCTGCAGAGCTGCGTTTTCCACGCCTAAAGACTGGTACTTACCTCCAGAAATAAAATGGGAAGGAAAGACAGGACTGAAAGCTTCTATTGTTTGTCCCTACAGTAGATTAAGGAACAAATTCTGTGGGGTTATAGGCTTCAAGAAGAATTTGAAGCGCTGCTTTGATGGACACAAAAGGATATCCCTCAGTGCCTGAAAGCAAATGCTGCCTGTTCATTGTGCTTCTGACTAATACACTGATTTAACTGCATCAGCTTCTCCAAGTGGAAGAAGTCAGACATTGAAGGAGTCTCTGCTAAGACAACCATTCCATTAGTTTGCTATTTAGTCTCTTGAGACTGTTTCGCAAAATACGTGCCTTGAAAGAGTTTAAATATTTTTTATTATTATTATTTTTATATATTGCCCTTTAGTGTCTCTACCTTTCTGGCAAGCAGACAAAAAGAAGTGGTAAATGTGAACCATCGTGAAGTAGTGACAGTAACTAAATCTTACAGAAAAATCTTGGTGCAGGGGTTAGAATTGACCACAGCAGTTTTGGAAGCAAGTTCCCAAATCAGATTCTAAAAAAAGGAGATTAAAAAAAAAAAAAGTGAGCTAGAATCTGTGAAATTTAGGATAACAAGATGCTGAGAGAGACACGAGCATTTCTATTTCTGAATATAGTAATTTGCTCTGAAAGCTCCTGAGAGTGACGTAGTGAGAAGTTGGCAAGTGTCCATCCTGCCCTCTTTCGTACAGCCATGCATATGGATACCAGAGGCTAGCCAGAAATCTAACAAAAAATACATTTGCAATTCCTCCTTAATCCATCTGAACCGAATGACAAGCAGGTTTCCAAAAAGGCTGTTTTTATTTTGCTGCTGTGAGAAAAGGAAATTATAGAAATTCCTTGAAGAGCTAACTGGGGACAACGTTCTGCTGATCGTCACAAAAATACTTATTTTTCTTAAAATTATTGGAAATAGGAAGTTTGATGCTAATGATGTTTTGTCAAGCTTAGCCTGATCAATCCAGCCCAGCTAACCAGTCAAAGTTGTAGGAGTGAAAGGTTTTTCTCCCTTCCTCACTTACCTAACAAAAGCCGGTGTCGATTCCGAGTTCACATTTAATAAAGGCATTACTACTAACAACGGTCTGATTTGTGCACTGATATTGAAATGTCCATCCTTATTAACAATTAACTTGCTGCTTGGAATGATTTTGGGCATCAGCCATAGTCTTGCAGCACACAGAAATGATGTGCAGAACCCACAGTGCCCCCGCTGAGTGCTCCCTGTGGAGTTGAAGGCTGTGGCTCCGCTCTCTCCCGTAGGTGACATCCGGAATGACCTGTACCTGACCTTGGAGAAGGGAGACTTCGAGAGGGGGGGGAAGAGCGTGCAGAAGAACATCGAGGTGACCATGTACGTGCTCTATGCCGATGGGGAGATCCTGAAGGTGAGTCTCCATTTCCTCTGGGAGCTGCAGGTGCAGCTGCTGCCTCCAGGGACGTGCCAGGGAAGAGCTGCAGGAACACCAAGTGGAGTTTCTCAGCTGTGTGTTGTGATGAAGGAAGTGGTCAGTTATAAATCTGAAGGGATTTGGAGCACTTCCCCTCGACTTGGAGAAATTATTCATAAACTGCAAAGCTTGTGTAATGCCAAAATGTGGTGCCAGTGGCTAAAGTGAAAAGAAAATTTAGGGTAGCTGTAGTCAGAAGTGAAGAGTGTATGGCTTATCTAAAATTAAATAATGTGTGTCATACAACAGGATGAAATGTGATTCCAAAAGAGACTTTTTAAGTTCTTGGAGTTGTTAGAGAACTACTGCATGTAGTTCTGCAAAGTAACTTGGAATAAAATTTGCCCCTGGGCTGGCTCCATTCCAGCTAGGGATTGGGGATGGTTTATGTTTTATGGTGTTTTCCCTCTGTTCTTTTAATTTTATTGCAGAGAAGAAGGTGGGGTGGGAGGGCATGAGGATAGAGAAGTAAATAGAAAGTATTTCAGCATGAGCAGGTGTCAGAAATAACTTCCCCTTACCTTTTCTTTTACCTCCACTGCTTTGTAGCCATTGCCATGAAGAGTCTAAACACTTAAAGTGCTTGTGTACCAAACACATCTTTTTAATTGAAGGGAGAACTTTCATTACTACAGTAGCTTGTGATTTCATTGAGGTGGATCTCTAGTACAGACCTGGGTTGTGCTCAGAGCCGTTGCAGGAAGATCACACTCCTTTTTTGGTGTTTCTTACCTTTCAAACTGAGTGACAAATTCTTAATTCTTGCTTGATTTCACAGCAGTCTGCTAAGGACCCAGAGAGGCCTTCACCCTCAGACTACAATATCAGCATCTTCGAATGCTAATGCACAGAACGGTCACTAATTATGCTGTGACTGTGGCTGGTGATTACACATAAAGGCCAGATAATTTCTAGACATTACCAGTCTTAACTTCTGTGATTTTGGTTGGAATGGTCATCACAGAGATGAAGTAATCCTTTCTTACCCCATCAGGGGTTTCCATGGGCAGTGTAACAGGGTGGTACAAAGTCGCTGAAGGGTAGCAGGTCCAACTGAAGAAATTCAGGTGAACAGGTTGCCCAGAGAAGCTGTGGATGCCCCATCCCTGGAAGTGTTCAAGGCCAGGCTGATGGAGCCCTGAGCAGCAGAAGGTGTCCCTGCCCATGGCACAGGGGTTGGAATGAAATGGTCTTTGAGGTTCCTTCCAACCCAAACCATTCTGGGATTTGCCATAAAGGAGAGACCTTACCTATACAGGATCTTTCGTGGATGTTCAGAATTCAAGCCACGTATGTAGAAGACAATCTTTATCCCAGTTTTAATGTTATTTCCCCTCTGTGTAGTTGCAGTCAAAGCAACAAAGATCTTTGGTTTCTGTCAGGAGATGTCTGGTGTGTGATGATGCCTGTGAATATGGGCAGAACACGGAGTTTCAGTCACTGAGGCACTGCTGTTCCTGCCTGGAATATCCCCTTGTGTTCCTGAGCTGTGGCCCTTCTGGAGCAGAGACTGCTGAGGGAGACAGTGTGTGCAGACTTACACAGTAAAGGGGGCAAAATGCCACAAAGTTTTCATCTGATGTTAGAGTCAAATCTCTAAACTTTTCCCAGCCAGCAGCACGATCCAAGGCTGAATTATGCCTTTGTGAAGACTTTAGCAGAACCATGTGCAGCAGTAATGAGAATATTCTCAGCTCCTCACTGCTGTTGAGTATATCTTGATCCAGGAATAGTCCTATTGAAAGCAGTGAAATTACTTCCAGAATGTAGTGCTGTTCAAAATGAAAATGAGTATTTCCCTCTCAAAATGGTCTTACTCCCTTGTTAGTATCTTTCAATATAGTCTGAATAATAATAAAAAAAAACTTTGACACATTTCTCACTTATTATTCTTTCTGTTCCAGTGGCAGGAATATCTTATGAATTGCAAGGCACACCTTTAACAATGGAAATATTACCTGATAGTTTTTCTAGCTAGCTTGCCTTACTTGCCTCTGCCTTCTAATTCACCTGCATATTTGGGTCTCATGGTCACTGGGTGTATGGAGACTGGTTTCATGTTTGTATTTTACAGATCACAGTTCAGGATTAAACATTCTGCCCTCCTCAGACTATAAATTGTAGTGTAACTGCATAGAAACGAAGTTAGCAATGACAAAGAAAGACTGTTCATTTATTTAAAGTTTATAGGATGAAACAGCATTCAGAGACTGCCCATTTTTCAGCCAGAGCAGGGAATTTTTTGAGGGCAGAAAAAAAAACATCAAAATTTGAATTTTTACTGTACCTTGTAGAGGAAATAGAAACATTTTTTTGCTGTCTCCTAAGAACCTAATGCAGAGTGAGGTTTTGCAATTGCTGTGTTGAAACCCAACAAGTTACCCTTGCTGCAGACTAGGACTGGAATCTTGCAGTTGTGCTTTGCCACTAATCTACTGTCACTCCAACCTGGGAGTATCTGCAGCACTTAATTCTTGTTGCTGTATTACCAACAGCACCTTTATGGCAGGATTGTGACATAAGGTTCACCTGAGAGGGCTGAGTTGTGGGTTTGTGCTGCAGTCACTCCCTTTGGATCAGAGCCTTTGCAGGGAATCTCTGTCCAGGGAGGCCCTTCTTGCATTGAATCCCGAAATTCCAGGGAACATTTCTTTCTTTTTGGGTTCCTTTGCAAATTCTTTTCTTTCTCAGAGCCAGAAGAACATTGCCAGAGGTTGAACTGAGTCTGGTTAATGGGATATGCTTGACTGGGTAGTCAGATGACTACACATTAAAAAAAAAAAAAAATTATTGGTGTTTCTTGGAATGGAATTTAGAGATGCCTTGGGGAAATGACCAGCAGTTCTTCTTGTCATCATCCCATTCCATGGGGGTGTTTTTAAATCAGAATTTATACTGCATGTGTCATTCTGGCTCTGCTTAGTTTCCGTCTCTTCCTGGATTCATCATCCTTGGAGATGCTAAATGTGAAGAATCTCCAAGCTGGCTTTTTCTGCATGGTTTTATGAGTTGTCATATCTTTTGAATCTCTTTGCAAGTGCTGGGTCTAGAGCATAGATTAGTGCTTATTTATAAAAAAATGTGCTTCCTACTCCTTGTCTTCATCACAAAGGATCTTTTACTGTTCTTACTTCAGGACTTCAACATTTCTCCCATCTTCACTTGTGTTCTGACTAAGGATTTCTTTATTTCCCAGAGAATATCAATTCATGCTTTTCTTCATCTGTATTTTGATAATACACAGCTTGGGCAGGAACTCTGAACTTATTATACCTAAAAGCAGAAATTTGAATCCCTTTGTATTTTTAGGTGATGGCCATTACACAGAAATTCTTTGCTTACCATAAGGAAGTAACTTGATCAGAATTTTCTGGGATACTTGTTGAGACTGGATGGCTGTAGTTCTGAAAGATGAACATTTGTAAGAGCTTGAAAAGTTCAGGTATCACTTCTGAACTGAGATACTGAAGCAGAAATCTGGAATGTCTGGAATATTAGAAGTCTGGTATTACAAGTGATGTTCCTGTTAGGTCCTATTGTTTTGACTCATCTTGATATATTTGGACTTAATGTTTATTGTATCTAGTCCCTGCTTCACAGAAAACTTAGCTTAAATAATAACTTAAGATACTGGAATTCATCTGGTATTATAGTCTGCCAGCTCACCCTTTGACCCCAAACAGAGTTTAAAGATCTCTTCCAAAATTTCACATTTTGTTGTGTCTGAGTTTCTGCTTCTGACTCTTCTTTTATGTCTGCAGAAAGATAAGAATTATATAAAGGTTATCACCGTGGAATAAAATGACTCATCGCTAGTGATGTGGTGTCTTCTAATGTGAAACTGTTTTCTTTTGTTGCAGGACTGCATCAGCCTGGGCTCAGGAGAGCCGAGCAGGAGCGCCTACCACTCCTTCGTGCTCTACCACAACAACAGCCCCCGCTGGGGGGAGATCATCAAGCTGCCCATCCCCATCGACAGGTTCCGGGGGTCCCACCTGCGCTTCGAGTTCAGGCATTGCTCCAGTGAGTCCAGACCTCAACAGGGCAAAGCCGAAGAGCCCACTGCCAGCTGAGATGGGAATCAGGCTGTTGCTGGGTGGAAAGCAGGACAGGGATGCCAACCTGTCAGCAAAGAGCTGGTTAGCAGGGCCCCTTCACTAAAGTGAAGGGGCCCTGCTAACCAGCTCTTTGCTGAATTTATTAATCAGCTTTAAAAACATCATGAACAGTCAATGCAGGGCAAAGCACTTTGTAGATGTTCTCCCCTGCTGTGTTTTCCTGGAGAATGTTTTCTTTACAGGATGACTAGTTTGTATTTTGTTCTGTTGTTTGGTTTGAAACCTGTCAGTCCTTTGCATAGAATTAGAAAGAAGAAATTAGAATTACGGAGTTGTTTGTTCTGTAAGCTATGTGCTTTTTGTTAGGCATGTGGAGAAGTTAGTGAGTAACCTTGTGGTTGGACAGACAGAATATGTACTGATACAATTCCTTGTTTCTGTCTCTTGCTACAGCAAAAGACAAGGGAGAAAAGAAGCTCTTTGGTTTTGCCTTCACCCCACTGATGAGAGATGATGGCACTACCTTGTCAGATGATATCCATGAGCTTTATGTTTATAAGGTACTGGTTCTTCTCTGCAGACTTTTCACCTGCTCATCTCCACTTTAAATGAGTAATGGTCATTACATCTTTTTCCCCCCTTACTAGAAGTATGTATGAGATTAATAGTTGTTTCAAAATTTTATAAAGTCAAAATCACATGGTATGGATAGAGCCTTCTATTCTAGGTGCAGCTCACCTTTTCCATTCAGATGATGATGATGATCTATCTGCTGCTAATGCCATCCATTTTGACCTCGAACACACTGGTGTTCATGAGCATTCAGCAGCTTATGGTGTTGCTCTGTGCCTTTGTGTGATGACATCATGCTGTGCTTCAAATGCATCGTGTTACTACAGCTTGTGAGGGACCTGGGTGGGTGTTTCTTTTTACCTGAGTTTATTTTTGCAGTACAGTTTTCAGGCAGCAGCACTAAGTTGTACAGTTGGAAGATCTCAATAATTTCTAAAGAGTCAGTGCTTAGGAGCCCACACTTTGTAGGGCTGGGCTGTTTTGGGTGTGCACAGGCCCCAAAGGTGGTAGGCACAGCTTTTCTTCGAAGGGTTTTTGTGCACCCATTAAAAAGATCAGTAAAAGCAGTGTTAGGCACCTGCTGAGGCTGTGAGCACGTGGGCTGGGATGGAGGGGGTACAGCTCAGTCCTTGTCCCGTGCCCACAGTGTGACGAGAACAGCACGTTTAACAACCACGCGCTGTACCTGGGGCTGCCCTGCTGCAAGGAGGATTACAACGGCTGCCCCAACATCCCCTCCAGCCTCATCTTCCAGCGCAGCACCAAAGAGACCTTCTCAGTCTCCACACAGCTTTCTTCTACCAAACTGACCCAGAATGGTGAGTAGCTGATCCTTCAAAATTGCCCAAGGCAGCAGGAATTATGAAAGAGAGTAATAAAATGGGTATATGTGTGCTTTGCTTATTTTACTAAAATATTCTATGGTTATAATTTCATTATATATGTGCTATTTCTGAAATGAGCAAAAACTTCTTCTGAGGAAATAAGGATGTTGACAGGTGGCAGAGAAATTACAGACATTATGTAAGTGCATTACGAGGTTAAAATGTTAAAGCAGAGCTAATTTTCATTAAATGATTGTAGACCAAAAAAATACAATGTTAGCACTTCTACACAATCCAAAAATTGTTTTGTTTGGGTTTTACAGAGTTACCAAGTAAATAAAAATTTGTCACAGCAGCATCCCTGAAGCACAAGAAGGCAGGATTGGATCGTCCACAGTGCAGTCAAGTCACATAGGGAAAAACACAGCCTTTACTCTTTTTAAAGCTCTTTACCACCCCTCCATTCATTTCTCTGTTAGTACTATTCACTCAGTATTTTGCTTCTTGTTTTCTGCTATATGTGTATGAGTTCCCAACAAGTGAGAACTGTAAGAGGTGAGGTGTAACATGTGATGAATCTCTGGTGGGTTTGGAGTCCCCGTTCTTCCCTCTGCACGTGGTTCCAGCTCTTTCTCCCTGTGTTCTGCAGTGGATCTGCTTGCCCTGCTGAAGTGGAAAGCTTACCCAGATCGTGTGATGGATATTCTGGGAAGACTGAGACATGTCAGTGGCGAGGAAATTGTGAAGGTACTACCTGAAATAACAGTCTGGGATAGTTAACTCGGACCCACGTTCAGGCTTCTGAATGTGCCCTCTTACTGTGCTTTTTGTGAATTCTTACTGTGTATGAATTGGGATTTTATGATGATGTGGAACTGAGCAGGAAATTACATTTCAGAGATTATTGCATAATTAGTCCTTGGTATCAAAATAGAGCTAATCCTTAGTTAAAATTCCCTCAGCCACATGAGCTGGGAGGGTTGGGTCTTCAGCACCAGTTGCTCCAGTCTGCAGGCCCCCACAGCTGCTGGAGCAGACACAGCCACTGGTAGAGGTGTTTTGGGCAGTCTTACCTGTTCCAGTAGTATTTCCTAAATGACAGTGTGAGGCCTGACCCAGGTGTGGTTAGTCCTTTCCAGAGTGAAGAAACAGCTGACACTCAGAAAGCTTGGCCTTCTCAGACAGGCCACTGTGTGTTGATGGTTTGCAAATATCTTCCAAATGTCCCCAGAAAGGACCTTGAAAGTTGAGTTTTGCTCAGGGGCCACTGAACCATCCTGCCGGATTCCTGTCCCAGCACTGTGAACTGCTGCCTAGAGCACCACTTGCTCTCTAGTGCATCCAACCACCACCACCATTTCCGTCTCCCAGCTCATTTCACCGTGTTTTGTAACCACTGTTGCTCTGCATGACAATCCTTGTGTGACCAGAACTTCCTTAGGTCCAAGGAGCTTCAAACTGCATTTGAATATTTTTAGCCTCAGCAAAATAACCCTGCATTCCAGATTCCCTCTGATAATTTTAGGGATGCTGAGAACTCTCCCTGGAATTTACTTCTATAAATCAGTAAGTAAAAGAGGATTTGTAACAGCAAATAACCAAGGAGAAGAAACCAAAGACAAATCCATCACTTAATTAGTAATTAATGATTAAAGCCACTTCACTGTAACACATCTGAATGTTGCCATACCTGGAATGTTAGTCTTCCTGATAACTTGGTAGCAGTGACAGAAGAGCACCAAGCCCATCTATACTGTGATTCTTCAAGAATGTCATGTTTTGTGTACTTTGCAGTGCAGTACAAGTATCTGTTTTTCATAGAGAAAGACAAAGAAAGATGTGGATTAAATTATTTCGTGGGGAGAAGTAATTGATTCCCTCCATAAATCAGCAGCCATTTGGCACTGGGATATGAATAACAGAATGCAATAATTCAGAAAAAAAGAAATTTTATAATTTCAGAGACTTCATACGTTGTCATAATTTATTTCTTGTTTTCCACATCATAAATTTAAGTAGAATAGAATAAAAAAGTCACGAGAGAATGTGCAGTTGATGATCTGGAGCATCCTTCTTCACAGTCATCCTTTTGAAGACTGTGCTTTCAGAAAGAAAATCACGGCACTGTCAGTGGTCAGCAAGCTGAGGTGTTAGGGGGGAAAGAAACAACAGGCAGTATGTAACAGGACCCAGTTAATGCTTGTTAGAAAAGCTTTACTTGTTGTCGTGTAACAAAAGTTTTCAGTATTAAACATAATTTGGAGCCTTAAATTTGCTGCTGAACAGTACCTGGTACGCTCTAATGACTCGAGAATGAAAGGGAGTTGTTCTGCTACTGTTAGATAGCACTTTTAGTCAGCTCACAGTGAGAGGAACACTCAGTCAAGTCTACAAATCAGGCATGCAGTACCTACTCCTTATTTTTTGTTTTTCTGTCATATTTGTTTAGAAATACTCCCTGTAAAGAGAAAAAACCTTCTTGGTAAAAACAAATTATATGGATGGAAGTGAAGCAGTTTGTCCTTGGCAGGTTTTTCACAAAGATACCAACATGTATGAACTAATGAAAGCAGGGCAGAAAGACCTTTTGAGTACAATTTAATTTGGAATTCTTTGTTTGTTTGTGTCATTTTAGTTCCTGCAAGACATTCTGGACACGTTGTTTGTAGTTTTGGATGACAACACAGAGAAGTATGGTCTGTTGGTCTTTCAGTCTTTGGTAAGTTCCTGGATTGTTATTTACCTCATGCTCAGTGAGTTTTAAGTTTCTTGTCACCATATTGCTAGTATTTTACTTCCATAAAATATGAAATATTCAGCTGGATCCAGCCTTATGTTTTCTATAATGGTCTTGGGTGAGGAGGGCAGGACAACCTCGGCAGATCTGAGGGCAGCAATATCTGCTCTCACTTGGGACAAGCAAACAGTGACATCTGATAACACAGACACTGTTTAAAGGAGCTCATGTGTGTATTTCAGTGTTCCTTAGCTTGGGTAACTTGTTTATAGATACTTAGGCACAATGTGCAGGTTCCTGTAGTGTGGGTTCACTCCTTCATCTCCCACAGGTGTTCATCATAAACCTGCTGCGTGACAGCAAGTACTTCCATTTCCGGCCGGTGATGGACACCTACATCCAGAAGCACTTCGCAGGAGCTCTGGCTTACAAGTAGGTTTTGTTTATCCACCAATCGAATGATGTCACCATCAGAATCATAACCTTCCTGTCAGCAGTGGTTTCCAAAAGTAGAATTGCTCAGCTGGGAGTTTTCCAGCACAGCTGTGGGAAAAGCTGCCGAGTGTCACCTGAGCGAGGCCACACTGGGGCATTTCTCTTGCCCTTCTGAACTGGCAAATCTTTTTCCCTTGTTTAACTGAAGAGACACTCACTCAGCAACAGCTCATTATCAGTCTGTACTAATGAGCATACACATCCCTTGTCTTGAGGATGTTGGGATACAAGCCTGGAGTGAAAGCTCAGAGAAGTAACTTTAACTTCCTTTTCCAGAATAGACAGGTTTTCACACAAGATGATGTTCTGTTTGATTGTAGTCCAATTTCAGCAGACCATCAATTTAAATTTCATTGTTACTTTGAAGATTCTGCCTTATTTTCTAGTATTCAAAGACTCTTGCATCAGATAATGAGATGGATTTTTTTAAAGCAGTAACAGTTCTCATTCAGGGTGTTGCTTTTCTTTTAGACCATTTCCTTGGTATATTTGAGCATATTTTATCTTTGGCCAAAATAAACTATTAAAACCAGCTTATAATTGGTTTTGATTGTTTTAAGCCATTCACGTTTGTGTGTAATTAAAATAAATATAAAAATGTCAATGGCAGGTTCAAACCCGTAGATACCATACAGCACTAGAAGGCATAGTCATGTTCAGAAGATAAAAAGGTGTTCTGCTTTGTATTTTCACCTCTTTCAGACAAAACAAATATTTCTGAAATAAAACATGGTTTTAATGCACCTTTATAACAGTCCAGATGGTGGTGTGTAGTTGGGAAAATAGAGGTATGTCTTGTCTTTGTGATCTTAGTTTCTAAAGACTCCTTACTTAGACAAGAACTGGTATTTCTTATTAAAAAAAAAGGTATATTTTGGTCTTAAAGCCATGCCTTTATCAAAGCTGTCTGTTTAATAACATCTTTTTTATGTTCTCTTAGCGTTCCTTATGATCTAAGCCAATTACAGAGAAGAAATTACTTTCTGCTTTTGAAACTTAAATAAATGCAAATATTACATCATTTCAGTCTCAAGGACAGCTCTAACTGACCAGTGCAATGAAGTGACATGAGGCTGGTTTATAGATCCCTCCCCACAACCCAAATGTTTGTTGCCTGAGTGATTTTAACCCGTGCTGAAGGTTCCTTTTCCGTGCCCCCTGCAGGGAGCTGATCCGCTGTCTCAAGTGGTACATGGACCGCTCCGCCGAGCTCGTGCGCCAGGACCACATCCAGGAGGCCATGAGGGTGTGTATGAGTGACACTGTGGGCTGGCTGGCCCCCTGGGGCTGCACACTGGGTACTGTGGCACTGAGTTCTTGGTTGTTTAACCAGATTTTTTCATAGGTATATACCCTCAATTTTAATTTCAGGGAGAGATTCACTCTTGTGCAGAAAAAAATTGGAAGAATTGTGTCTCCTTAAGTCCTTTTGCAGCCCTGTGGAGAATTTTAGTCGGACTTACGTGCATGGCCAGTGCATATACACTCTATCTACGTGGTCTACACCATGCCCTTAGGCGGCAGCATTTTTAAATTTATTAGGCACAGTTGCTGTGAATCAAAGGTTTACTTTTCATTTCTGGCTGTGGCACAGCCCCATTGTACTATGGGGTTGATGCTCTGGAGTATTTTAAGCAGCAAATGAGACTTTAGCTGGATGGAGATGTTTTGAATTAGCACTGCACAGGGCACGAGCCACAGCTGCATGACAAGAGTATGATCTCACAGGAGGGCACAGCTTTCCAATAGTCATGGAAACACCAGGAATGGTTTTGCTGCTGTTAGAGAGAAATCAGAGAATAAATAAAGCAATCATTTTACCTCATGTAGTTGTAAGCCAGGAGGATGGTGTGTCAGGTGCATAAATACAAGATTCCAAAGTTTGCAGGAAGGTGTTTCTCTTTGAGTGAATGTTCTTACTGTGCTGCTGTCCCAGCCCTTGGGTCTGGGCACTCGTAGAGGTGGCAGCAGTGGCAGCACTGGCACTTGGTTCTTCTCACTTGTCAGTACAAATAGGTGAAGCATCTCCCAGGTGAAGCACAACATCACTGCCATTAACTCACTTTGCATCCTGTTAGGATCCTGCTCAGATAATACAGGTTACACCAGTGTTTACCTTGTCCTGTTTATTTATATTTACATCTTCTTTGTCTTATTTTTCAACCACAGATTCATAGGGAATGGTAAAAATAAGGCAAAGACATCTTTTCAAAAAATTATTCATTTTTTCCCCCATTCTTACCTCCCCCCCTCCTTTTTTCTTAATTGCAAAGAAATCTATTAAAATTACGAGATGAGAGGAAGATCTCTGGCTGGAATGACTTTGAGGAGGTTTTCTTCCCTCTCAAACCCCTCATTAGTGCTCTGTGCAGTGAGAAAATGGAGATGTAGGATATTGTCCCTATGGGATCTGCATTTTTTGAATCTCATAGTCCTCTTGGGAATAGTAACAGTGTGACTGTTGGAATGTCTCTCAGGAGCTGGGATCAGCCAACTTACTGTTAGTGAAAAAGGCATGTCCTGTCTGGGGATCCAAGGCAGCTCTTTGCTTACTGGGAATCTCAGGGATTTGTAGCTGTTCCCTCCATGAGTCAGGTCACTTGGAAGACCCGACAGCCCAAGGGTTTCCAAGCAGAGGAATTACAGTTACCACCAGAGCCTGTGCAGACCTAACAGCACATCCCCCACCACCCACACTGCTGCCACATCTCATTCAGACAGTTGTCTTTGCAGGTGTATCTTGGAGGCCCAAATTAAGGTCTTTCTCTCCTTTCTGTTACAACCAAATGATTGATTTCATTTCCTTCTTTGTTTCCAGATTTTATTTCAGGCATTTGGAGCAAGTTTGCACCAAACCCATTATCATTGCTAATGTGTCATTACTAGTGCTGGATTCTACTGTTGGGAATTTCTGTGGTCTTTGATGTGTTCACTAAATTCCTTGCATTAGTAGTTCTTATCCCAAGAAAACAGGATAGCTCTTGATCCTTTTTTCCCTGAATTAGCTGTTAAGTGCAGTACCTAAAGCTGGTGTTGAAATATCTCTGCACTCTTTTTTGGCTCTTGACCAGTCTTGCACATTCATGGTGGATGTGCAGATGTCCCGTAGGATTCTGTTTTCCAACCCTGGCATTAGCAAGTGCTGCTCTGGAGTATTTCTAAAATTTCTCACCACCCCCAAGACTGCTCCTAATCCCCAAAAAACTCCAGTGAAACTGTAGCTCCTCTCCTGAGGAGCTGTAATGAGAAGGACATCTCTACCTGTGCTAGAACACATCCTATCATGGCCTTTGTCTGGAAACCAGCCAGAAATGCACCTGCTCTTTCCTGATGAAGTTCTTTGGTGTAAGGAGGCTTCACTGGGAGATGGTTTAATACAGAAGTTCAGTAATGTACTACTGAATTACCAAAGTTCCACGATTTCCAAAAAAGGGGGAAAAAAAGGCTGTCAGAGTCAGTGGCATTTTTGAAATCTGTGGTTGCTGAATCTCCAGCCTGTTTATTTCCTGTGCTGAATTTTGAGGCTGTAATCAAACCATGCATCATGCCCTGCCTTCATCCTGCTTTCATGGTGAATCATGTTAAGTACCAGGGGAAGGAGTGAAGACCAGTGTCACTGATATTTAGTGCGTGTTGGTGTTGACAGTTGTGTGCACCAAGTGATCAGAAGGCTGTGTGGAATGTCACCCTGCAGGGCTGGTGTCTGGGAGAACTGTTGATAGGTTGGTAACTTGTCACAGCTGCACAGAACAGTGTGTTCTTTGATGACATTGGTAAATGCAGTTCTGTATAATGCCATTTACAAAATTTTAGAGATGTTTAAGTTGCAAATTCAGACGTACCCTGAACATGTCACAGAGCAAATTCTACCACAAAAAGACCGAATTTGCTAGTCCTGCACATCATGTACTGGGTTAAATTCCATCTTGGGTGTGGGTTATTCTCCCTCTGCTGGGTGCTCTCCAGGCTTCAAGTGGCTAAGAAAAGAAAGGCACCTTAACTTATCACAGTGTGAACTAAAGAGATGCTCCCTGCAGTGCTGCTGCTTGTCCTGTGCTGCCAGAGGGCTTCCCATCCTGCCCTTGCCTCCTGTTTCTGCATCTGCATTTGCTTCTGTTGCACATGTGGCTGCCAGAAATAAAGGTGAACGTTGCTGGTGTGTTCAGATTGAAAAGTAGATTTACTGATTTCCAGGTAACCCTTCTTCTGTTCCAGTGTCCCTCCACTGATTGTAATCTAGAGTAGCTAACTCAGATAATTAATGGTACAATTGGAAAGTTAACAGGAGAACAGCTTCTTCTGTCACTTCAGTCACTGTGCCAAGTAATGAGAAAAGTAGAAGTTCCTTACCTTCACCAAGATTTTCCTAAAATTATGTGACTCATATTTGTCTGTTTGACTTCAGTGCATGATTCTGTTGTTAGTGGGACATGCTGGTAACAAAGATTATTGGTTGAGAGTGGATATTTGCTTCTGAGTAGCTCTTCCTTAACTGAATGATATAACTTATAAAACCTGTTTTTCTTTCTCCTTTCTAAAGCTGAAGAATTTAGTAAATTATGCACCTAGAATCTTTCCTGGTTCTCTTTAAAGCTCCTTTATTTTTCTTTCTCTCTTTTTCTCTGTCTTAATCTCCTTCCACTCCTGCTCCTTAAGGCCTTGGAATATCTTTTCAAGTTCATTGTCCAATCTCGGATCCTTTACTCCAGAGCTACTTGTGGAATGGAGGAGGAGCAGTTCCGCTCCAGCATCCAGGAGCTTTTCCAGTCCATCAGATTTGTGCTCAGCTTGGACAGCAGGAGCTCTGAGACTCTCATCTTCACACAGGTTTGCTATTTTTTACACTTGCACTGGCAAACCAAGAGGCAGTTGTTTTCTGCACGGGTAGCAGGTGTGGGCACATGGGGATTAAATGCAGATTAGTAGAGTTTTCCCCTCCAACGAGCTGATGATTTTGGAAAACAACACAGCCGGTTGAAGGTGTTGAGCAGTATCTTTGCGCAGGTGAGCTGGACTGCGGGCTCTCAGGAACACATGAGAACACAGATTTTGCTCTTCACAAAAGTAAACTGCATTTTTAAGTCTCATTCATGTGTCTCACTGTTGGCCTCAAGAATTTTTAAATCCTTAATTATAGTAGTTCAAATCAATACCTAACAGTCATAGCAGCATCACAGTAGAGAAGTTCAATTGATGTACTCACAGTCAGGTAAACTTAATTCCAGCATACACTAAAACCGTGGTCAGAGTCATGTGCAGCCTGACCACAAGCATATTGTGATACTCACATTTAATACATAGCTTTGAATGTGGCCCAGGGGACTTCATGAAAACTTCACATGGGCTTAAGCTACTCCTCAGAGTGAGTGAGGATGCTGCTAAGTTTTGATTCCTGTTTCAGAGACCACTGCAGTACATTATGTACTTCTGTATTTGAAAGTTCTGAACAGTAATGTCAAATGTGCCACGGGTGCCTCTGTTCAGGCAACATCAGAAGGGACCACCTAGAACTGCCTGGTAACATGGAGGGGATTTGTCCTGTAATGCAGAGTTACAGATGTTGTGAACACCTGCTGTGGTTTGCCAAAGCAGCAGCTGCTGTGAATGTCACAGCCAGGCAGTGACTCTGCTGGTTGGGGAAGATGCCACTGGTGTGATCTCTTTCTTAAGGAGCTGCTCTGGAAGGTTTCGAGAACAGCTGCTCTGATCCTTTATTTAATCACCCATTAGTGGGTATGGTAAATAGGCCAGGAACATGAGACATCAGTGCACAGAATTTCGCAGACAAAGCGGTGGTGAATGGAAACAGCATCTTAGGGTTGTTTTCCAGTTGAGTTGGTCACGAATACAGAGGGAGACTCACTTTGAGGATGGGGGTATTATCCCTTTTTCTCTTTGTTTCTCTTTATTTATTTTTCCCTCCTTTCTCTCACTATGGTACTTCTTACTTTGGACTTTTGTAATTTGTAAAGCCTGTCCTTATTTAATCTTTGAAAAGTTTGCTTTTTGTTTCCCCCTTGCCACTGTGTTGCCCCTCGATCCCACTTGCCCCCCGTAGGCCTCCCAGCCTGGAGGGCAGGCGAGCGCAGCCAGGACTTGTGCCCCTCAGAAATGTGGGGGCACATCAAGGCCGTCATTTCATTCTGTAAGTAACGACCCCCACAACTGCACAAGTGTTTCGTCGTGGATGTTCCCAAGTAGTCTCTCTTCCCTACCCCAAACCCTCTTTTTCCTGCATATAAACTGGAATTTCGTGTTCAAGTGGCTGGTATTTTGAAACTGGGAAATGTGGAGTATTTCAGTATTAATGGAACAGTTTATGGCATCCACACACTGAAAAGACAGGAGTGAGGGTGTTCACAAGATTATGTAAGCCAAATTGTTCAGAAGAGCCAAGGATTTGTTTATACTTGATTATTAGTTCTGGAAATCTGGACAGCTGTTTAATACCTATAAAAATGCAGACATAATTTCCCTCACACTTGTCCTCATCTCCAGGATATTTGAGAGATCTCAGTATAGTTCTTTCCAGCAATGAGAGTAAAACTGATTTCCTTCCTTCCAGGCAATTAGTTTTGACATGAGTAATGCTCCAGCCTATTTTAGGGTGTTGCACAAAAACGGGCCCTTCAAGGAACTGATGAAGGAAATGATGAAGCCTCAAGAGAGCTCCAAAGCTTCCTGAAGAGATCCCGTACATACCCTTGGATTGCTCCTAGATAAACAGAAATCCTTTTGCTTTACAAATAATAGAAAGTTTAGGAAAACTTCTGTAAGGATATCTGGGGCCAGTGTTGTAATTTCACTTGTGTTATCCCAAAGATAATGACCGGATTTGTGGCTGTTCCAGCCTTCCAAGAGTCACGAGCTGTTAAGATGACTCAGACTTGTTGATTTTCTTAATACATTTTATGTTTGTAACAACAAATAAGTGACAACACCCAGGAGGCTTTGTGGGAGTTTTTGTAATCTGAGTGGATTGTAACAAAATGAGACGTTGAGAGAGAAAGAGGTAAACTTACATTCAGAATAATTTAATGAGCTCTATGGTGTTAGTTGTAAAAATAACCTAGATTTTGCTCAAACGCTATTAAATAGATTTTGTTGTTGTTTAAAGGAAAAGATACTTGGAGCACAGACTTGGCAAAGGAGGAGACTGGGTATTATAAGGATTAGGGGAGGCTTGTCACTGCGAGGGGGGTACAGAAATGTTTATGCAATGGCAAAACAAAAAAATCTGTGAGGAAAAGGAAATACTGAGAATACTGAAGTGTTGAGACTGGAAGGGCAAAGCTGAACAGAGATCTGCACAAATTCTGGTACATCTGAACTTCTGCAGGAGCTCAGTGTGATTTGTGTGGAGAACTCTGGGCAGGAGAGGTGGAAATGGCACAAAGGGAAGAGTGGAAGTGAAACCAGTTCAACAAAGCAACCATGTAGGAATTTAAGTAGTTATAATGAGGAAGCAGGTATGGACTTTGGCTAGGATGGAGAGGAAAAGAGAAGAATTATAAAACATTAGAGGTGTGTTGGCAGTTTTCTGGTAGGACATCATGTTTCTGGAACTTCAGCACAGGGTGGTGCATGGAATTTTCCACTCTTGTGAAGAAATTAATTGAAAAATGGGAAATAAAAGAGGTTTTTGTTGCTGTTGTGCTGGTACTTTTTGCACTTGAGGAAGCACTTCCAAGGATAACTCCAGCTTACTGGCAATATCTGTTACTGCAGGAATCACATGTGCACTTGCATGATGTGATGCCTCCTTCACGTGAAATCACACCCCACCCCCTGCTGCAGAAATCCTGATGTCACATGGCAGTGCTGCTGTGGTTAAGGGTCTGCCAGCATGTTCTTCAGGATGTTTTCTGAAGACTTTTAACTGTCTTAGGTAGTTGCTTAGTACAAAAAATTTGTATGGAACTCTAATCAGAAGTGTTGTATTTATTGACAAAAGTAAATCACCAGAATGGACTGTTTTCTGTCCTCTGGTACCTCAGTTTTGTCCTGTGTTTTAAGCTGTGTCCTGAAGTGCAGCCTTTTGAGGCTGTGTCTGTGCTCCACTTACTGTGAGAGTATTGCAGCAGCACTCGGTGTTTAAACGCTCCGTGTGATTTGTTCAGTGAACTCAGGGAATCACAAACCACGGGCACCAGGCACAGCAGCCCTCCTTGCAGACCCTTAATTCAGTGTCAGTGCTGCTCCCACCTCACCGCCCCGGCCGCACTTACAGAGTTCCCTCCTTCCCCCAGGCCGCTCTGCTCAACTCCTTCCCCGCCATCTTCGACGAGCTGCTGCAGATGTTCACGGTGCAGGAGGTGGCCGAGTTCGTGCGGGGCACGCTGGGCAGCATGCCCAGCACGGTGCACATCGGCCAGTCCATGGACGTGGTGAAGCTCCAGTCCATCGCCCGCACCGTTGACAGCCGCCTCTTCTCCTTCTCAGGTGAGGCACTGGCACCCAGGAACAGTCCTGCTGCTGACCCAGAGCACTAACACAGTCTGTCATTTTGCCAGATGTCACTGGATGCTTTGCATTGCTCTGCCGCTGTTGCCAGGGATAGGAAGAAAATCTCCTTTCCTTCTTAACGCCTGAAAAACAGGGGGATAGTCATGTGAGAAACCCACCACATTCCTTTAAAGTGTCATTAATCTTTATAGTGTAACTTCAGTATTTCTTCAGCTCAGCCTTCCAGTAATTCTTTTAAGAACTGAATGAAAAACGGTTGAAGACTGTGGGTTTATTTCACACATAAAAGTGTGACTGAAAGAAATAATGAAGGTAATAGTGGGAGATAAAAAGCACCATTGGGTTTATCTTCCCTCAAGTTAGTGCACTCAAATTATTCTTCTCAGTGCATGGTGAGAATGGTAACAGCACAGAATCTTGTTTAAACCATCCGCTGTAATTGTTTATTAATAATTTTTTTCCTTAAATTTGAAATTATTTTCCTTCTCTCAGAGTCCCGGCGCATCCTGTTACCTGTGGTTCTTCACCACATTCACCTTCACCTACGACAGCAGAAGGAGCTACTTATCTGCTCTGGGATCCTCAGTAGTATCTTCTCCATAATCAAGACCAGTTCTTTGGTAAATCTGCTGCTTGATTTTTTTTTTTTTTTTTTTAATCCCACCACTGATTTAGTAAAGTGAAGACTGAGAGATTTTTATAGGTTAATACAGGTTTTTTGAAGAAACTTTTAAAAACAAAATTCTGCTAACTGTCAGCAGGAGAAATCTGAAATGGGGGTCTGGATCTGTGTGTGTGACTCAGAGCATTCTGATTACACAGTGTTCTTGCTCTTGGGAGGGGAAAAACGCATTCGCATTCACCAGGTTTGACACTGTTTAATTTTCTTCATCTGAGCCCAGAACTTGGATGTCAGTGGGGTTTAAAAGCTCTACACAGCTCGAGGACTTGTAGTTCTGCAAGAGACAGTAACTAGCACTTTGTGATTCACATTAAGAGAATACTCTGAAATTATCCAATCAATGAGATCCCACTTAGTTCTGGAAATTGCTGCTGAGTTTAAACACCCAGCTTTGATGGTCATAATACTCTGATCTCAAAAGGTAACCAGATCATTTAAAGCAGTGCTCACAAAGAGGGGGTGGGGAAGCTTCCCCACCTGACTCTGAAGTAGGAAGCTCATGGTGCTAAATATAATTCAATGTGTATTTCCAATTCCAAGTCGTGGTTCTGTGTGAAAGGAATGAGATGGAAGGTATGAAAATAAGCTAAAATAATACTGCCATGGAATTAAGGTTCCTGAACATAATTTGATCCTGTTGTGGTTGTAGACCTTTGGTTGTAGATTTACCTTAATGGCTGTGACCATGAATGTTTCCATCTGAGACTGTCAAGGTAACACACACACACTGGCAGAACAGCAGGATCTGGTACCAGAGAGGACGATTGCACTTTGAACCTGTGTTATGGAGCTCTCTATCCAAACAAGGTTGTGGTATGGCTGACTCAGTAGAATTGTCTTTGCCAGTTCCATTCTCTCCAGTTTCTAACTGTCTCTTTGCTCACCACTTGCTGTAGGAGGGAGATGTCGTGGAGGAGGTTGAGATGATGGTGGAGAGCCTCCTGGACGTGCTTTTACAAACCCTGCTTACAATCATGAGTAAATCGCAGTCTCAGGAGGCGGTAAGAGGGCAGCGCTGCCCGCAGTGCACAGCAGAAATCACTGTTAGTAACTAACAATCAGTTTCTATTTCCTGCTTCTCTAACCTCTGGTTCAGTCCCTCACCACCACTGGCACCTCATCATCATCTCTGCTGCATGAACACCCAAGGCTTTGGCTCTTTCCCTTGATAAGCCCCAAACCTATTCCTTCCTCTGTACACTAGTGAGGGCTGCAGGAAGCAGTGGAGCTCAGGAACCTTTCGTGCCTTTCCAGGTTATTTTCTTGTTTGTCTTTGCAGCTGTGATTGTTATTAATTAAAACTTGAGGCCCTGGGGAGCTGCCTCGGGCTTCACACCCTAAGTAGGTGTCCCCAAGGGCTAGATGAGTGTGAGGCCGTGACTCCCAAGACAGAGAATATGATAATGCTCAGTGATTGTCCCTGTGCTAAAACACCCTGGGTCACAGAGTATTTACTTATTTTACTTTCTCCAGAGAAATTGAGAGATCCTAAGTCAAGTGAGCTGCTGAGCTCGGTGGGGAAAGAGGGAGTGTCCAGGCTGTGTCCAGGCTGCCAGCATAACCTACAGGGAAGAAATATTTCTTTGCCATGCAAAGAAAGAGAAGAAAAGGAATAGAATTTTGCCATTCAGCTTTCTTCTTTTCTGGATTTGTGCCCTTTTCTATTCTAGCCTATTTCGGTCTATTTTTGCTTGTCAGAGTCTCTAATGCAGCTTTTCAGAGTGTGGGATGTTGAGCTGCTGTTCAGAACATCCTTTTTTTAGACTTGCTTTTTTGTCAAGTGGCTGAAGCCTCACTGGCGCTGCTGGGGGCAGATGTGCACCAAGGTAACCTCTCACACAAGGCTGTATCTCCCCTTGTCAGCCCAGATAACGAGCTGTTCTTTGATCCAGGACGAGAAAGGTCTCCCTCTTGTGAGGGAGCAAAGTGTCCCTTTGCTCCTGCCATTTGACTCACTGTTTATCACATGCCACCTCTTAGAGAAAAGCACACCTCACTTCCTCATGAAGTTCAGCCCTGTAAAGTTTACTGGGACAACCTGCGTGAAAACTTCTGGGTAGATGCTTGAGCCAATTAGAAAGGAAAAAAAAAAAAGAATGGGCAGTCTCAAGTCTAAAATCCCCTGGTATTTGTTCCTGAATTTACACATCAAGCACAGACTAGATACTACTCAGAATGTAGTTTGTGTATTTTACAAATTAGTTGCTCGTTGTTGCAGAAAAGAACAGTGTTGTGCAAGGGCCTGGCAGTCAAAACACCCAGTACTGATGTTCTTGGCAGTGCCTTGCTCGTTCTCTTGGACAGATTGCTTAACTTCTCTGTGCTTTGCTTTCAGATTTGTAAAATGGGGGAGCTCCTCTTTGGAAAACACTTTGGGATGCTGTGGTAACTGGTTAGGGGGCATCTGCTTTACAGGGCACAAATGTAATTGTAGCTCAGCTTATCCAAACTGTTCTTGGGGTATCTGACTGCAATCCTGTCGGTGCTGCAGCTGTGACAGCGCAGAACTTGGTGAACACTCATAAGCCATATATTTACAAGACTGCAGACACCTTCTGTAGCCCAGCATGATCCCGAGCTGTCAATGCTACACTGGTCTGAGTGTCTGAGCCAATTAATCCCAATAATTCTGGTATGGCATGAGCTGCAGTCACACCTCTGATAGACACTGGTTATTAAGAACCTGAGAAAGTTGATTGTCAAAACCTGCATGCTTGGAGGGTGATTCATTCACGTCTGTATTAATAATTTAAAATTATTGTTCATGAGACTGCAACATTTATTAAAAACCCTTTAAAACTGCCATCTGTGGAGGAGCCTCTGAGAGGTGTATCCCTGTGTATTAACAGTAATTCAGGAACTGTTAACCTGCAGTACTTTTAATCTCTGCATGACAGCTCTCCCCTCACAGGCATTGGGGCCATTTCAGACCCCTCCCTTTATCCCTTCCCCCGGGTTAAGTTGTTTATTTATGACAGTTCGAGATTGTCTGAATCAAAGAGTTTCTCCTTTGGTCAACAGGGAGAATATGTCTCCTGCCTTTTGTCTCTGCTCCGTCAGATGTCAGACACTCACTTCCAGCACTTACTGGACAACTTCCAAAGCAAGGATGAACTGAAGGTACACCAGGATATGATGTTTGTAGGGCGATTCCCTCAGAATGGGAGAGCAGAGGGGAATCTCTCCAGCATCACTCGCTCTGCTGATCATTCCCAGCCACTGGCACTCTGTTCAGGGATCTTCCTTTCGCTTTTATAATCAGAGATGTTGTGTTGCAAAAAACATTTAAGACCACAGGGCACTGAATTAGCTTTATAACAGCAAATAAAGTCTCGAGATAGATGTAGTTTGACAGAAAGGATATCGTAATTGTACCATATAGAACACACTCAGAGGAACAGGGGTTTTTTAATGCTGTGAATGTGAAGTCAGTTGTTGTAAAGCATTTTACTAGATGTTCAATATGCATTGGAGCTTTCTTACAAAGAGCATTGATTTTATGCCAAAAGAGAATTTCAAGCCTTTTGGGGGCTACAAATGTCTCTAACAGATGAAATCTTTTTTGGGAAAGCAGTAACCTTAGCACTTCACTTGCTGCACCCTTCTTTGTGAACATTTACTTAAATTAAGGCTCTCCAGGAACAGCAGGGGTTGGGGAGGGGTGCAAACCTTGCTGGTGGCTTTTTGCCTCTGACATTTTGGAATGGCACATCTCACAAAAGCAGAAACCTTTTACCTCAGCTTCCATTGGGAGGAGTATCTCCAGTGACAGCCTGTTTAAAAGACAGAATAATCTTATAAATAAAGACAAGCTTTTACATGAAATGCTTTTGGTTAGCATGGCACTCACTAAACTATACACAATAAGAACAATGGGATGTGGCAGGAACTTCTGTTGCCTTAAGAAATGAAATGGAGAAACAGTGAGGAGTCCTTTCTGAACAGACTTTCAGCTTCTAAATGTGTGCATATAGAGAGGCTGAATAAATCAGGGAGATGAATTTGGGTTGATAAAATTCTACTTTTAGATTGCAGGGATCAGTGTACCTGAAGTTGATAGCTGTCTGAGATTACTACCTTTCTGGTGACTTTCATATGGTTCACAGGAAAATGATTTGGGAAATTAATGCCTGTTAAACTCCTATATATTTTAAAAGCTGTCTAAACTATAGTTCTTATGTCAGACCCATGAAAAAGGTAATTGAACTGAAATTTGTCTTTACACCCATAAGAACAAACACTGTTGTATCTCTGATAATCTGAGGGTGTGTTCCAGGAGAGGAACAAAGGCTGAAGATTTTATATCCAGGTTTTTTTTCAGCTCTCAGTTGACCTAATAAAATATATTGCTTTTTTTTTCCATTCAAATATTGCTATAATAATATTTTCAATACTTTTTCTGGCATGGAAAGGTATTATATTCACTTATCACTGTTACACAAAGGGCAAAATAAGGCCAGAAGTCAAGGACCTTCTAATGCTTTGCTCTGTGCTCAGGATATTAATCACACACCCCCCAGAAACCCTGGGCAGTTACTTTCTGTGCCATCATCATTTTATGTGGAAATACAACAATAAAATCGTAATTTGCAAAAACTGGGCATGTTTAATCCTCACTGTTGCTCTGTACAGACACAGAGGAGCAGGTAGTCAAAAACCAGAAATGTCTTCAGGTTTGGGTTTTTTTTTTGGAAAGCAGATACTCACCTGGATGTGTTTGAAAGCTCTTTGCTTCTCCATGTTGCCAGAAATGGGGTTTTCAGTTACTATTTTAAAAAGAATGTGTAGGAGTTTTGTTGGGCTTGGGTGTGTGGTTTGTTCTCGAATTTGTGACGCAAGTGCAAAGGGATTTGGACAGATGAATTAATTAAATGAATGCATAAATAAGTGATCATGAGTCCAGTATATTTGAAAATAGCTGCAAACTGACACTGGAACTCTGGGTGATAATGTGAGAAGTCGTACACAATTATGCACATAAGGAAGATTTTCATCTCACTGCAGAAGTTAAGATTTAAAAGAAGTTGCAACTTGTTCAGTACATATTAGATGCAAACAAAAGGAGTAGAGCCATATCCAAAAATGCATTGCTTCCATTTTCCAGGTGAATGGCCTTGCAACACAAAGCTCAAGTGGAGCACACTTAGCTAAATTGTCTTTCTTGTAGTCAAGAAAATAGATTAATCTGCACTGCTGGGGATGTTTAATTTTTTTTTCCCCGTGTGACAGGAGTTCCTCCTGAAGATTTTCTGTGTGTTTCGGAACCTGATGAAGATGAGTGTCTTTCCTCGAGACTGGATGGTGATGAGGTTGCTCACCAGCAAGTAAGTAGGGAAGCAGGTACAAGGTGTTGACATTCTGTAGCAGAATTTGGGCAGTTACAACCTGTGATGCTGTGTTTCAGCAGGCTGGGATCAGGACAGGAATTCTGGAGTGCTCATCCTCATTCTGCCGTTATTTTAACACTCTGGACCAAACCTCTGTATTTGTTCTGTTTGTTAAACTCTACCAGTATTCACAGACATCAAAGAGTTGGAAGTTAAAAGGCAAAGATGAGGGAGCTGCCCTGAGGGTGAGGGGCACAGCAGCTCCCGCAGCACAGGGTGAGGACCAAGGGCTGCCTCTCCCTCCCCTGCTCAGGGAGTCAGATTGAACATCTGTGCCTTCCCACAAACATCACCCATAAACCCACCTGGGGGGAGGACTCAGGGGTTTTGGAAAGGGAGGGGCAGAGCCCAGCGATGGCACCAAAGCATTCCATCCAGAGATCCTGCTCAGTGCAGTTATTTCTGCCATTGGAATGCTTCAGTTTGTATCAATTTGCTTGTGAGAGGTTAATCTCTGTGCTGTTTGGATTGGCAGCAGTGCTGAACAAAGGGTGGCTGCAATTATTTAGTAGCTTCCTTTGCTGAACTGGCTGTGGAATTACCCCTGACTGAAAGATAACCGGGGGTTCCCACTACAAGGAAACCCCCTGGGAGTGTTCCTGAGGGCTGCCTGCCCAGCTGAGCTGAGTGCTCTGTGAGTCCACCCTGCTAATGAGAGGTGAAAGGAGTGCATTTCAGGATTTCAAGCGTGAAGATTCAGTGAAGTTCTGTAGGCAGAGAAAAATCCACCTGAAAGAGCAGCTCTCTCAGATGCTGCACGTTATCTGTTCCTTTTGGTGTTATTTTGCCACAAACCTTTACACTCACAGGTGTATTCAGAAGTGCTACTGGAGTATTGCTTGCATGTGAATGGGATGTGCTCGCTCCTTTGACACTATTGTTGCCTTATCTACGTGGTATTTATTAATTCCTGAATTTATCACGTGCCTTGATTGCCTTTCACTAAAGTGTATTTAGCCACCAACCTTGACTTGAATGTGAGGCCAGATAAAGGACCACTGTACAGTGAAGAACAAAGATAGCTCCAACTTTCTGAGTTGCTCTTCTCTGAGGAAAAAAATAAATCTTTCTGCTTAAAATAGGAAGAAAAGGAGTGTCGTCTTCCATTTCGTTGGAGGTCATAGGGCCCAGCCATGCAAAATAGACATGATATTAAATGCTTCTGTGTGAATTTCAAAAGCTACAATAATGGTGAAGGTTCTTAATCTTGTATCACTTAATACAAATTGTTCATTGAAACACAGAAAGAAAGGTGATTTCTGTGCAAATCTCACTGTGATTACACAAAGAACACTCATCTCTGTACCTGAAGTTAAACCAGCACCACCAAGCACTGTAAAATGTTGTACTCCAGATTCAGATGTTCTCTTTTTGTTTTCTTCTCTTTGCTTTTGCCTGCAGTATCATTGTTACAACAGTGCAGTACCTGTCCTCTGCCCTGCACAAGAATTTCACGGAGACAGACTTCGATTTTAAAGTAAGGATTGATTCTCAGAAAATGCTCTGACCTCTTTTTAAACCAGCAGCAATAAAGGAGCAAGAGCTGCTCTCTGCATTAGCTGATTGTATTTGCAGCATTTCTGTGGGTGTCCGTGAGGAAGATGGCCTGATAAAGGACAGGGCTGGGAATCTGCTGTGGAGTGGAGGGGAGGAAGAACAGACACAGCGTGAGATCCAATCAGGGAAAGTGAGCCCTTTGTACAGGAGACAACTGTCCCCATAAGCAGTGGAGCTAATGGCATGTGCTGTCTTCCACACTGATGGCTGATGGAATGTAAACTCAGGCAATGCTCTTCCTGAAGTTGGGGTGTTAATGGTCTTCCTCTCCCAAGGGTTTCTCATTCTGGCTGCTGACAAAAAGGGTCCTTGTGTCTGAGGTAGTTGAAGATGGGCAGCAGTTCAGTGTTAGGAGGGCAAAGCTGCCAGACACATCCCTGGGGACATGTGCACACAGTAGGGCTCAAGTTTTTTAAGTTAATAGGTTTTAAATAATCCACTGGCATCCTTAAGAGTTTAGTATCTCCATTGTAAGAGACATAGTGATTAAGTTAAGTGTTGATTACAAAAAGGAGCATATGTCTTTCTACACTTGTTTAAAGCTTAGTCCTTGGAGTGTGATGTTATAAAATTCTTTCCCTTGTCACAGGTCTGGAACTCTTACTTCAGCCTGGCAGTTTTGTTTATTAACCAGCCAAGTCTCCAACTAGAGAGTGCCACACCAGCCAAGAGGAAGAAGATTCTGGATAAGTAAGGACATGTTTTGTTGGGTCGCCACCTCAAAAAGGAGACTTTCTCCTGTGATTTATTATGGTGCTTGGGAGTGGAAGTGCCTGGGAAATAAACAAGTAGATCTCCTAAAACTGTGTTCAGTCAGGTTGTTTGGTATTCTTATGTTGACATAAATGTGAACTGAATGGTTTTTTAACAACTGGATTATTAGTTTTTTTCACATCACTGCCTTGCCAGCTTTTGTTGCATGGGCAGTTGTGTCTCTCTTCTCTTTCAGGTACGGTGACATGAGAGTGATGATGGCCTATGAGCTGTTCAGCATGTGGCAGAACCTGGGTATGTTTTCCCCCCTCTGACCTGACAACCAAAGCCAAAGAAGGCCCCATTTCTGTTGGATTTTCTTTTCTTTTCGTGGCGTTACAAAACCCTCTGTTTCTCTGAAGAGGTGTAAAAGAAGGAAGCACTTCTCTTGTTCCACTGAAACCCTCCTGCACTGTCCATCATACTATTTATTCAAAATAATTCATTCTTAGGAATTTGAATGCTTTCTTCTCAGACGTGACAGTGGCAGGGTTTGGTTGTTTTGACACATCAGTGACAGATTTGTTGTATTTGCAAATATAAAATCTCTTTGGCTGTGCTGCAGTCGTGTTCATATGCAGATGCACTGTTAACTCTGACTTTTCTCTGACCGTGGCTGTAAAGCAGGGATTTAATTTTTCACAGCTATAACCAACTTTATAATTTTTTTTGATGATTCAAAATTACAGACCCACAGAATCATTTAGGTTGGAAAAGACATTAAAGGTCATCAAGTCCATTAACCCAGCACTGCTGAGCCCACCACTAGGCCATAGCTGTGTGTGTTTGGTAATACAGCCCAGCAGGGCCATACAGGAAAGCTGCTTTTTTGGTGTCTTCAGGTATTTAGTATGCATAACAAATTCTGTGTTACTACTTTAAAAATTAAAATAAAATAAAAATAAAAACAAAACAGAAAACCCAACCCAAAACCTATGAGAGCCCTGCCCACAATAATGCAGTGTTTGTGCTGAATTTTCAACTTCTGCAATTCATTTGGCCTTTTCCTAGATATTTGGATTAAGAAATTAAACGTTACAAAATGGGAAAAATTTATATCTCTCCACAGGTCTCAAAAGGTAAATGGAAGTTTTTCACCTGGGACGAGCACTTTTAGAAGTGTGCTGAGGCAGTCTTGGTTTGGGTAATTTAGGATTTAGAAAGGTCAAATAACAACTGAGCTGAATCAGAGCAAGTCCAAATGGGCCAGTATCCTGTCTCCATCAGGGACCAAAAGGAATACCTGTGGAAATGTTTGAGAAGGAAGCATACAGTATTCTAGACAAAAACAGCAAAATGTCTGCTGATAGAGATCACAAATACAAAGAACAGGTGAATCATTAAGAGGGCAAAGGAATGATACAATTCAAAATGGATAACTTGCTAATGTGGCTGCAATATATTCAAAAAGCCAGGAATGAACATTTAATGTGCAGGAATGCAGGTAGGAGTGCCGTTCAAGAAAACAAAGACTACAAATGTATCATGCTGGGAGTCAGCTGAAGGGGAGCTGCCTGTAAAATGGCACAGGTAAAACACACACTGTAATCTTTGAGAAAGTCTGCAGGAATCTTGAGTAAGAGAAGAGAAACCACATTAGTGCCACAGTTTTTTTTCATAAGTGTACTTGATCCTAGATGAGTTTGCCCAGTCCTGCCTTCTACAGCTTAAAGAAACAACCAAACAAAAACAAAGCCAACCCACAAGGAAGGCAGATTGGGCAGGGTTCAAGCAACAGCCAGGAAGAAGACTCTGGAAGCAAGAAAGTGTCTTCTACTGTGATGAATAAGCCTGGTCTGTCTTGCACAGCTGAGATGATGCAGCCAGAGCTGGTCAGAGTTCCAAAGCATCTGTGTGGGAACAGATGATCTCAGATAACTCCAAGATAACAGATCCAGTAACCAGGAAGTGATGCTGCACAAACTCAACTGAGAAGAGAGAAGCTGGTTTTAGACATGTAGATACAGATATTTGTCACTGAATGCTGTTCCAAATGTGGCTCTTTTGAGTTTCTGCCTGTGACTGTGCAGTGAGGTGGCACAGAAGAGGCTGTCAGCAAAATGCCTCGGGATTCTGTTGGAGCAGCAATTCCACTTGGTCTCAAGTCTGCTGGGAAATTGGAACTGCCACAGCACCAAAGGATGAAGAGCTCTGTAGTTCTTTGAAATCTAAATGTGTTCTATTAACTACCATTGTTCTCACCAGCCCTTTCAAAATCCTCTTCATGAATCAGAAGTATCCCTGCCCTCTTTTCCCCCAGTTATGTTTTAGTTGGGTTGTATCTGACAATTTGAATTCCTTTGCAAGTAAAATGCACTGACAATTCTTGCTGAAGGCTTTCTCAGTGAAATTAAAAATGCTCTTAGAGACTTCACAAGGTGTAAAGCAAATACAGATTTTTCATTCCTTTCAGGAAAAGAATGTTTGGTTTTGTAATGCTCATGCCTACTACTTTGTACATGTCATTATTGCAGGGCTTCTCTGTTTTCTTAGTGGCAGATAACAAAGGCTTTTATTTAATGACATTTGCTTTGTGTTGTACAGGTGAGCATAAGATTCACTTTATTCCGGGAATGATTGGCCCCTTCCTCGGTGTTACACTTGTGCCACAACCAGAAGTCCGGAATATCATGATCCCCATCTTCCATGACATGATGGACTGGGAGCAGAGGAAGAATGGCAACTTCAAACAGGTGAAGGCACTTCCCAGGCATTCCCAGTATTCCTTTTTTTTGCTCTGTCTGTCTGCAGTGTCCAGCTGGAAGCAAGGAGTTTGTATTTGTTGACCTGTTTCTGATTGTGAAGACGTTATCGAGTAAATATATATAAAACCAGAAAATTTAAAGCATCATTCACAAAACCATTACAAGACTCCCAAGATTGTTTAACCAGTGCACTTCAGAGCAAACTAAACTGAAGATGGGGAAGAGGGAAGATGTGCTCAGCACATCAGAGATGGGGGAAGGGGGAATTGTTGTGAGTGCTGGGCTGTCACTGCTCCCACTGGTTTCACTTAGATTATTAGTCAGCCATTAAATGGGCCAGACTGAGAACCAAAAATGGAGATGTAAGGTTCAGCCAGTGTTTTTGAAAACAGTGATCTCTGCTCCTCTGTCTTCAGTTTCCAGCTAGGAAGTGGTATTGTATAATTAGATCATTATACCGTGCTTTGAAACAGACTTTGGAGCTGTATTTATTTTAAGAAACTTCAGCAGCTCTCCTGGAAGGGTTAAAAGTCCAGTGACAGCTCTGCAGCTTCCACCTGCTGTGAGCTGTGATTGCAAATCAGGGAGAGAAATCTTCATCATTCTGTTTCCCAGTTGTGGTCAGAGAACTGCTTAAATTTTCCACTGCAAAACAGATCCTGAAGTGCAAAGCACTGATAATGAAGGAGTGGCTTAGACTGGATCCTCAGATGACAGTGTTTCACTGTCACTGTGCTGGGGCATGTATCTGCAGAGAAGTGCTCTGAAGTAGTAAATCATCATTAAATTACCATGATTCATGGGATTAATTATTATTCACACAGTCATTAAAATGCCAGATCTAATCTATCATTCCAGGAGAATAGCAGACCTTTCCCATAACCTGATCTATTAAAGGCTGTGTGGAAAAGGAGCTTCTGTTTTTATTCCTCTTCAGCTCCCTTGATTGCTACTGTTGTTATTATTTACTACTGATATTACTGCAGTAGCATTTGATCATGGTCCTCTTTTCACTTGTTTTAGCATAACAGCAGAACAGTCCCTGCTCTGGCATTTACAGTTACAAGCACTTACAGTCATCTTCAAGTTTCTGGACCTGTTTATATTTTCTGTATCAAGATGAACTCTTCATAATCTTCATTTAATTTTTATACTCAATAATGTATTCCGAATAACAGCTTCAAGAATATTTCCTAAATTACCTGTGGAGCAAATTTCCACACTTATTTTATGAAGCATAACTTTCTAAGGTTAAAGATGGAATAGTCATCTCTATTACTCAGAATTAAATAAACAGTCAAATAGCACAAGACATAATAAACCCCATTAACAATGTCTGCTGGAACAGGCAGTTATTTGCTTTCCAGTACAATCCTGGATAACTGGACACAGGAATTACTGATTTCTGTCAAGTCATTGTAGATCACAAGCAAAGGGAGGGTTTTTTTAATTGTGAGCTTCTCTTCACCTTTTGAATACTCAGCTGGTTGTCAGAAAATATAAAACCCCTGGAAATTAATTGTCAAGCCTTTTTCATTTTCCTCAGTAGCTCATGTTTTAACAAGGTTGATTTTCAGCGAGGCTGGGTAACAACGCAGTCTGATTCAGGGATGAACTCAGGGCTCCCTTTAATGATTTCAGCAGTGAGAGCACCAATCCATTTGTGTGCCACTGGGTGAATTGCTTTTCCTTCTCAGCTGAAAAATATAGAGAAGCTCAAACTGTGCTTGTCTTTAAATAAAACCAAGCCATATTCCTGCAAATGGTTTCAACCTTTGGGAACCTCTGTCTTCATTTGTACTGAAAGGGTTTTTTCTGCAACATTTCCCAGACTAATTGAAATTGTTTTGTTTAATGTTAGATACATTGATTTCTGCACTTGAATCAATTTTATGAGAATATCCGATATCAAACTTGATAATAGGATGTATTAGATTTAGGGTGGGAATTTATATGTATTCAAAACATTTCTAAAAGAAGAGAATAGTAATGCTGCTGTGGCCCTTTACGTAAGTGTGAAAAGCAAATGTGTCTTGTAGTCATAGAGAGGCTTGACAAAAGAGGGTTTAATCAACAAAGAATCTTACAATATAATGCCTGGATGGGAAATGAGTTACTCCCAGCAGAAGCAGCACAGCAGCCCAGTGGTGATGGACAGTGAGCTGTGGGACAGGATGCAGTTTTCCTGGGGTACTGGTTCACTGCAGGTGTGTCTGAGCGATTGATTCGATCCCTTTTCCTGCAGGTGGAGGCAGAGTTGATCGATAAGCTGGACAGCCTGGTGTCCGAAGGAAAAGGTGATGAGAACTACAGGGAACTCTTCAGCCTGCTGTAAGCTCTGCCACTCTCTGCTCCTCTGTTTGCAGGGCCAGTGAGAGTCAACAGCACTGAGCTGTCAACCCCAGCACTGATCTCTGAGAGGGCAGCAAAGGGCCCCCAGCAGGTTTTCATGGCAGGGCTCAGGAAAGTAGAAATGCATCACTTACATCAATTACAGTTCTGAAACAAATATAAACCCCCTAAATTCTTTGTGTTCTTTCTGTGACATCTAAGATCAGGCTGCACAGGTAAGTAGTTCTCATCCTCCTGTCAAAAGCTGATTTGCTAGAGAAGCAGGGCCCTTGTTTCTCCACAGCAGTAAATGAAATCCTGGCCTCAGGGTCCTTTAAAGACACAATGCACTCACTGCAAGTCAGGCCTTGTTGGAGCAAAGGACATTTTCCTCATCCTTTTCTTTTGCTTCTTCCAATTTTTGAAGGCCACATTTGGGTTGGTTCAGCAGTTGCAGGTTGCTCTCCCCAGAGTCCATCATGACACTGTATTTCCCCTCCCTTTCACACTAACAGTTTGTACCCACCAGGATAAACTTGCAGCCTTTATGTCTGACTTTGCACTTAGTTATCTTTGAGTCCTGATCCATCTCAGGATTTCATTTCCAGTGATCCTGGTTTATTTCAGAAGGGCTGACTCTGACAGTCCAGAGCAGTTAACCCAAATCTGTTAATATTCCAGTGAGCCAGAGGGATCATTAGCAGGATTTTAGCCATATATTCCAGACAGTTTTCTGTGCCCCCCAATAGCACACTGGCCGTTTGAGGCAGGAGCTTCTGTTTTGCCAGAACCAGTACTTGTATTTTTGAATTTGCAGTTGCACATTCATTCATTTTAAGCTAGATAATGCTGCCCTTCCTATGTGCTTATCCTCAGGGAGTGTGTAAATGTATTCAGTTTGAATTTGTGTATGGTCAGCCCTGGGAAGCCTGGGACCTTATGAGTGCAGATAACACAAGGCTATTTCAGGGATAAAGAAAATATCAATTTTTTTTTTTAATTCACCTCCAAGAGGAACAGTGTGCAGTTCCAGTTGAAGACATTTGTTACCTGAAATGTTAAGAATTCAAGGACTGTAGCTTGTTACTTATTTTTAGATGATGGTGACAGGATGTATTACCAAGAAACACAGCCTGGAATTCCAGCAACCTGTTAGTTTATATTTACCACTAAGTGTTCTGAGAACAAGGTGAGAAAACAATTTGAGGAAACAATTTGACAAATTAATCAATGCTGTCTGAAAAAAAAACAGTTGAGCCTGAATTCTACTGTCTCAACTACACTGGTGAAAAGGGAGCTGGCTGCCTTGGCTGGAAATCATCCAGGACAGAAGAGTTTGCCTGACACCCAGCAGAACTTCTTTCCTAGAAGTGGAGAGTTCTTTGACTGGAAATTCAGTTTCAGGAAACCAGCATTTAAATTTCCTTTTTTTCTTCACTTTTAAAATATAATTTTCAGTGTTTTAGCCTCCTCTCATCCCTCACAGCTCTCTCCCTGAGATGGGTGCTTGCTGTATTGTCTAATTTGCTAGGCAGGAACAGGTTGTCTTTATTTCCAGTTTAATTAAATTTTGATTCAGGGCTGGTTGGTTGGTTGCTGATTAGAGATGAAAGTTTACAGAGGGTGAGCAAAGAAGAGGTATTTGCAGTAGTTTTAGACTCCTTTCCAATTTCTGACTGCTGTTACCAGTGTTTAAGCTACAGGTAATAATGTGGGAATCAAGTCTTGCTGTGAGTGTTCCTCTTTCCTGTCTTTTAAATGGCAATGTGAGGATATTTTTCCTTCCCCTGTCAATTCTGTAATTTCCTTGTCTTTGCTTCACGCTGCCTGGAGTAGAACCCAACTATTTGGGCCTTATCCCAGGTAAGATGATAATTCTGTGAATTTTTCTATGAGGGGGAAACCAAGTTGCCTGAAGCAGCCTGCATGCACTGTGCCATTCCCCTGGAAGCCTCACCTGCTGTCTTTCCATCTCCAAACAGTTTGCTGGAGAAGATTGAGCAGGAAACTTGGCGGGAGACGGGAATCTCTTTTGTTACATCAGTTACTCGGCTCATGGAGCGTCTGCTGGACTACAGGTACCTGGCACCACCAGCAATGGATCTGAGCATAAGCTTGGGAAGACTTGGTACCAAATTCCTGCAGGGAATATTTTTAATCTGTAGTTTTGTACTAAAGTTTGTTCAGGTTGCTACAACACGAATTCCTTCCGTCATTGAAACGATCTCACCCAGTTCAGCAAAACAGATGCTAAATGCAGGAATGATCTCCAAAGCCTTGGTGACCCAAGGGGTGCTGGATGCTCCTCCAGGCATGCAGGGGTGGAAACTCCATCTGTGGGAAGTCTGCCCTGTCAGCTGGTGACTCCTGTTGGGCAGCCTTCATTTAGTTTTGGACTGAAGTTTGCAGGCCTGGCGTGTCAATGCAGCTGAGCTTTGACTCAGTTACCACAAAGGATTTTAACTTCAGATAGATATAAACACAAGAGAGCTTTTATGCAATAACAGACAATTTGAGCCCATGTAGAACTGGCCCAGATATTTCTATCTTTAGCCTACTGACAAGAGTTCAAATAGATTTTTCTTCTGCTGCTGCTGCTCATTAAAGGTGAAAACCCTGGGACTGGGCTGGGTGTTCTGCTGTCCCAAATCCTTTCCTGAGCTTTTTAGTTTGCTCTTTTCATTATAATGCCCCACCACTTTGATCCAATCTCTTGGTTTTTTTCCTGGCAACAACCACTCTACTGTGCACAACCAGGTTTTGGAGACACTCTGAAAGGGAAAGCAGGGGAGCTGGTTTGGTTTTTTTTTTAAATGAAATTTGCTGTCAACAGAACATTGATAAACATTTTCATGCTTAATTGATTTTTAATACACAGCAGATTTCTCTTCATTCCCAGAACAGAACAGGGAACTGCACTGGAATTTGGAAATACACAGGCTTGGAGTCCAGCTGCCAGTTACTAGCAGCAGTTCTCAAGACAGTTTGCTGTGTTGTTGCTTTAAAAATCAAGTCTCTTGTACTGCTTGAATAGAAATAATTTCTAAAATATTCCAGAATCTAAATTTTGTTATTTAACTTACCTCTGAACACGTTAGAAATCCAGTCTATCCAGTCTAAATCCCTCAGGTTGTGTCTCTCAGTGTGCCACATCACAGTGGTAGCTGCATTTTTGGAGTTATTATTTATTTAGTCCCTTTGGCTGGGACTAAAACATTTACATCTGGATGAGAAGAATTTCTCATTTTTATAGTAGATCTTGCATTTAGATTATTTTTGACCACTATTCACTGATTTTTGTTCAGATTCTTGTAAGAAAGGAAGGAGCAGTCATTTCAGGGGCTTGTTCTCAGGTACAAACATGTCAGAGAACACTCAGTTCTCACATCATTTAAGTCATGAAATGGAAAGTTCTCTTGGAGGAACTTTATAAGATGAAGAATATGAGTAACTGTGATCCAGGGAGACTCTGGAGGACAAGATAACTTCACCTTTGTTTTAAAAGGACAGTTTTTGCAGATGTTTGTTTCAACACTGCTCTGCTTTCTTAGGGACTGTATGAAAGGAGACGAAACAGAGAACAAGAAAATCGGCTGCACTGTTAATCTTATGGTAAAGATGTTCCCTTTTTCTCTTTGTGATACTGTGCAATGTTTTTGAAACTGGGTTGGGAGAGTTTGGAATGGGAATCTGTGTCAGGCAAATGTAGCTTCAGAATCCAAGCACTGGGATGACAGAACAGAATGAACAGAATTGGGAGATTCCCCTGGAGGTCTCTGGTCCAACTCACTGTTTAAAACGGGGCCAAATAGGTCAGGCTCCTCAGGGCCTTGTCCAGCTGAGCTCTGCATGTCCCTGTGACAAGTTCTACAACCTCTCACACCTTTTCTTTCAGCTTTTTACTACCTTCACTTTGAAAAAAAAATCATGACACGATAAAATCAGTGGGTTGGATCAGCGTGAATATGAAAAGAATTATTTTCTTTTCAGTTAATAATGGATTCTCTTTTCAAGAACTCTACACACACACAGATGCTGCTGATTGTCCTGAGTGAAGGAAGAGTCTCAGTAAGGGTAACAGCTCTCTCTCCTCCTCCCCAGAATTTCTATAAGTCTGAGATCAACAAGGAGGAGATGTACATCCGCTACATCCACAAGCTGTGTGACATGCACCTGCAGGCTGAGAACTACACAGGTGAGCAAGGCTCGTCTGGAGTCTGCTTGCAATCCTGATGACGTTTCTTTACTCTCCCAGAGTTATGTAATGTCTCATTCATTCTCCTGGAAAAAATCTGTACGAATCACTTAAGGCAGCTGGGAAGGGAAGGAGCTGAGGTGCAGTTCCTTCTCTCAAGTGAAATACTGTTTATGCCACACAAGCACGTGACTGTTCCATTATACTCCACATTTTATATTAAAGTGTTCTGTGAGGAAGACTGATCAAAAAAATTACAGCAGTGGAATCAAATTTAGGGGAAGATTAACAAAACCACCATTATATTATCATATGCTGTATTTCCATATGGGAGTGTTGAGGGAGCACTTAGAGAGTGTAGGGACTCTAATTCTGTGTTGTCCAAGCTGGTTATGTATCTGAACATCTGACTGTGCATTTAAATTTAAAAAGTGGCTGGTACAAAGAAACTCAACAGATTTGTACCTAAAAATCGAGTTCATAGGAAACAGCTTTGTGCTGCTATTTTAAGTAATTGAACCATTTAATGATCCTCTAAGACTTTGATTTTTTTCCTCGCATTGTAGTTCAGAAATCACAGACTATTTAAGAAGCAGGTCTGTGACCTTTCAATACAGGCTGTGTTTATTTGCTGTCATTGATTCAGTGTTCCATAACTGCCTTTCCAACAGAGGCTGCATTTACTTTGCTTCTGTACTGTGAGTTGCTCCAGTGGGAGGACAGACCTCTGAGAGAGTTCCTGCATTATCCATCTCAGTCAGAGTGGCAACGTAAGGAAGGTCTGTGCCGTAAGATTATCCATTACTTCAACAAAGGGAAGGTATGCCAACTTCTTCTCTCTTCCAGCAGCTTCCTTCCCTATTCCTGACTGACTTAGGGCTTGCAAGCCATCATCTCAGTTCAGTAGTCTGGAAATAAATTTGTATCCAAAGGTTTTAGAACTTGATAAATTGCTTCTTGGCTCTCTGGGCAAAAAAAAAAAAAAAAAAAAAAAAAAAAAAAAAAAAAAAAAAAAAAAAAAAAAAAAAAAAAAAAAAAAAAAAAAAAAAAAAAAAAAAAAAAAAAAAAAAAAAAAAAAAAAAAAAAAAAAAAATTGAATCCCAATGAGAAAAGGGATGTGGGTATTTCATAATGGCATTTGGAATGGTTTGGGGAGGCCAACAGGACAAACACCAAAACATTTTGTACCTGTAAACCAAGCCTTGGATCAGCTGATGTGGCAGAATGCCAGCTCCTCAGCTTTTGAGGGGTGGGATTGCATTTTTGTAGCTGTCTGTGCAAACTGCTGTGCTGTGACTCGCTTTAGGACATGTTTGTGCTTAACCTACGCAGGCAAAGCACTGTAGGAGTCCCTTTAGTAAAAAAGATTTAAGTCCTTTCAGAGTCACTGTTATTTTAAAGTGATTTCCAATTGAAATGCAGTTCCATCCACTGCACAAGTAGAAAATCAATCTATTTCAATTTCACATATTCAGTGTGGATTTTCTACAGTTAATTATATTTTATTTCAATTACTGCAGAGGTAGAAGTTTCAGTCCCTTGTGTTGTGGTGTTTCGGGAACATTTCAAAAGTGAACCTTAAAAGTGATATCATCTGTTAGAGTATTTTCAAATTTTTCCCTTCTCTAGGAAAATTCCTACAGCTTATGTTACTGGGAGATAATATCTGTATGTGTGCCTCGGGGTTGGTTTTGCCTATGATGGCAATGACAGTGGCATTAAATAAAAATATGAGTTGGTTCGTATGGGGCTGCCATTCCAGAGGATCCTTTCCTAGCTCTGGCAGTGGAGAGTTGCACAGGCATTTTCTACAGAACCTGCAAGAGGAAGTCAGATTCCTGTGTGAAGGAAGAAATGGCCTATTTATGAGGAAGTGATTAATTAAGATTTTTGTGTGTGTGTGCGTGTCAGAATTGTTCTTTTGTAATAACAGTGCATATGGTTCTCTCTTCCATTTCAGAATTTTTCAGGGTTTTCCAGACTGTACTTAAAAAGAAATTACTGATTTGTGCAAATACTGCAGTACTGTACTGTCTGACTAGACAAAGATGATCTAGAGAGTGTGGACAGCAAGTGAGCCTGTATTGTCAACAGAAACAGGGAATCCATAGACACACTGAAGGGGAGTAAAAACTTGACAGATGTAATTAGGCTATAAAACTCCTAACAGATTACAGAGTGTTAACCTCTTGAGGTTTTTTCCCTACTGGATGTTTTTAGAATTACTTGACTTTGTGTTTTAATCCTCCTTTATTACAAATGGTAGCTGAATGATTAAATAATCCACTTGAGCAGTGTGCATGTCACTCACACTGTGGAAGTGAAAGGCTGAGAAGACAAATCCTTCTTTTCAGCCCTCTTCCTGTTGCTCTGTGACAGGGAACAGCTCAGGGAATGGAAGGAACTTGCCTCCCTCATCTTGTGTCTGAGTTTGTTCCTGCACTGCCCTGACGTGGCCCCTCAGGTCCTGCAGAGCAGCATTTGTTCTCGTGTCCTCACTTGCATTTCCAGTTAAAATCTCACGCTGTTCCTGGCCTCTTCCACCAACTGAGGGGGTCAAGGCAGCAGCAAAAGGCTGTAAAAGTTCTGCATTTTTTAGGAGGAAAATTTTCTCAGCTCAGCAGTAGGGGGAGAACTGGCTACAAGACTGTCTGGTGGTATGGCCCATGGCGGTGGGTGCAGAGCTGAGGGGCTCCCACTCTCAGTCCTGTCAGCAGCAGCCCCGTGCTGGGAAGGAACAGGGTGTTCCAAAGCCCTTTTTAGCCTTCACTGCTCATGTGCCCCTTCCTGCTGATTTCTGCCATGCTTTGAAGTGGTTTATGGCTCAGCTGGCAGCGTCTGCAAGAGCATAACTTGAAATGAAGGTATTTTTAATTCACAGTTCCGATTTTGTCTGTTCAAACTCAAGGTTTTCAAGTTGAAGACTGTGAACAGAACAGTTTGAACCCAGCTGATCACACTTCTGCACAGCAATAGCTTGAAAACTACCCAGCCCTCCTTTGTCCAGTGCACTGCCAGATTTTATTAACAAACAACTCTGAGCAGCTCCTATCCCAGCACTGCTGTGTGTCCTCCTTAGCACCAGCCACGTGCTCAGCTGAGAGCTGCTGGTGCCGTAGGAGAAACTGCAGTAAATGTCCCATGGATGTGCCTTACAAGTACCAAAGAACAAGCAAACAGATCTGAGGTCAGCAAACCAGAGAGCAGTAATGAGGGGAATTAACAGTGGAGACATTAGGATGTTATTTGAAGAGGGAAGTGACACACACAGCACATGGAATTACATATTCCACTCCTGTGCTGTGAAGATGCTACTGATGAACATCACAGATTTTAGAACTGAGGCTCCCAGTGACTTGGATATGCATTCATTTCTTTTCCTCTTAAATATCTGCAGTATTTTCCCTCCAAGAAGTTACCTGTCTATTGTGTTTCTTTACTTCTTTAACTCCTCTTTCATCAGCAGAACTCTGCTAGCACAGTGGAGTTTCTCAGGGTGGAATCCTCACTGAAACAGAGCCTGAGTTAGGATGTCAGGAATGGTATCCAGGTACATGGAGAAGAGGTGGTATAAAGAGGAATTAGATGTGGTTACATGTTGCTCATTTAATTGACATCAGAAAAGGAGCGTGAAGAGGTTCCATCTCTCAGATGACCCCAAGGGAAGACAGCCAGTGAACTTTCTGCTCCTGTCCAGAAGGCAGGTGAGAGAATTAGGTAGGCTTTAGCCACAGCATCCCATGTGGAAGTAAGACTGCTCACAGTCTGGAAAAAAAAGCCATTTATTCCTGGCCAGATGTTTTAGGAGAGACTTTTCCATTCTTTCAAGTCAACACAGATCAGCTGAGGACTGCAAATCTATGTAAAATATCTCTGTAAAGGATGGTCAGACTATAAATCTCTAAATAAATCTCAGGCCTCCCATCCTCCCAAACTGCTAATGCTGTCAGAATATCCAAATTGATTCTGGAAGAATTTTTTATTTAGCAAGTTCTAATGGAAGTTTTTGTAATTAACTGAAGCTAAAGAGTTGTCAGATCATTGGTTTTGTCTTTTTAATTCTTACGAATATCCCTTCTTTTAATAAAAAAGTTCTTACGCTTGCTGGTTGTGCTGTTCAGATAAAAAAAGCTTTCCTGGTAGTGAGGATGACAAAACAGACACTACAAATGTGTGCTTAAAGGGAAGCACTATGAAGTATTTCATACACTAAAACAGTGTAGAGATTCACTTTTTAAGTTTCTGTAACCAGAAAACTATTTCCGTATTCAGTGCTAATATTCTGCATAAATGCTGTTAATTACTGTTATCAATAATTTACAATATTATATTAATATTCTTAAACCTGAAGGTGGTAGTTTAACTCACACATTAATTTTGTTTTCACTACAGCAGGGTCCCAGTTAAAACAAGTGGCAAGTTAGCCCAGTAATGAATAATAAAAATTATCCAGTAAAGGCTCAACTGAGACCTTGGTGTTCTAAATAAGTATGGTAAGAAAGAGCCACTCCCCAAAAGGCTTCCTGTGCAGGTAAAAGGTGATGGAAGAGGAGATTTCAGTGTAAAATGAGCACTCCAAAAAGCCAAGTGAGGTAACAGGGGAGTCTTTCTCTCAGTGTGGGTGTGCCCAAAGTGGGTCTCCTCGCTCCTGGCCTGCGGTGTGATGTGTGGGGTGCTAGGAAGGATTTACTGGGTGAGACAGCGAGCTGAAGAAATGAGAGTTGCATTGGGTTCTGAGTGTGGATATTGCCCTGCAGCGATGCAGGGCTGTTCTGAGGTGATTTGTCTCTGTGCTGGGTGTTCCCACTGCCTGACAGTTCGTGCTTTCAGCGGGAAGGAGCAGCCTGGGCAGGGGAGAGCGCTTTGCTGTGGAGCCAAGCCCTAACTCCATGCTCCAGCAAAGGAGCTGTTGGGGGGGGCTTGAAGGGGTGTCTAGCAAGAAGAAAAATTGTTAGTTTTATTATCTTTCTCCAAATAAGTTCCCAGTCTCATAAATGAACTGTTAGAGCAAGCAGTATGTGTGTATAATTTCCATGGAACATATGCTTCTGTTCCCATCTTTTAGAAGGAATTGATCCGATATTTAATGGAAATTGTTTCATCGCGTTACATTTTCACATCTAATCTCTGCCATTTCATACCAAATGAATTCCCAAAATTGAGTTCCCATCATTCCTCTCAGCTGAGTTGGCAATAACATTCTGTTTGCTGTGAGTGTGATTTGCTTTGGCTTCGCAGAGCTGGGAGTTTGGGATCCCGCTGTGCCGAGAACTGGCCATCCAGTATGAAAGTCTCTATGACTATCAGAGCCTCAGCTGGATCCGGGTAAGTAGCTGCACTTCCTTCTTTGCAGGCTCTTATATCATCCCCCCGAGTTCTGCCCTCCTGTCAGAACATTCTGAATTTTAAAAATAAACATATTCCCTTTAGAGCTCCATGCATTTACAGTGACTCCTTCGCCATTGATTCGTTCTGATGACTTTGTAGGTCCACTGAAATAATTCCTAAGTCTGGTAGCAGTAAAATCCTCTGGATATATGGAGACAGCATACATACAGGAGATGGGCTCGCTATTGCAATTGCATATTTACCTGTATTTTTGCATAAAATATACTTTTTGAATATATATTTCAGTTTAATTCCAAAAATATCAAGGACAGCTTATCCCTCAGTGATATAAGATGAACAAGAAAGAAAGAATGGAGAAGGCAAATGTTTATGGCATTCTGTCAGTTTAGAAGAATCTGGTCCTCTGGTCCAACCAAACACATGATGAAATCAGGGCATATATGCAGCATTGTGCTTTAATCAGAAGAAGTCAAAGTTCTGGTTGTTATTTAAAAGCTTTATGAATGTGAAAACAGTTCATATCTCCTGTCCCCTGGGCTAGCATGCTTATATCCAAACTTGAGATTTATGCTGTGTGGATGTACTCTTATACACAGTGGTTGAAATTCTCTTTAAAAGTCAAATTTATTCTAATCTGAAGGTACCTGTCTAACAAGGTCTCATAAATTGTTCTTCTGAAGAATGTATTTTCTCCGAAGTGGCCCTGAGGAGAGCAGGGGTGACCAGCCTGGCTGTGCCCTCTGTGTGCCATTCACACCATCACCTCATTCCTTTATGCTTCCTGCAATGATTTTGGGACCTTCCCCATTTTAGAGAAGGAGTTGAGGTGTGTGGGATCCGAGCACAAGCCCTGCCTGTGATACTCTGGGTTTGGTTCCCTGAAGTGAAGTGATGGTGTCAAAGGATTCCTCTCTTTAAGGAGCTGTCCTTTCACTGCAGTGCAATTCCTGTGAGCCTTCCAGCTGAGTTGGGTTTGGCAGTGGGTCTAGAAATCCCACTGCTGATATAAATGTTAGCACAGTGCCACAAAACTAGGGACTGGAACTAGAGAAAAGTCCTTTTACTCTTTCCAACCCCCTTTTACCTCCATGTTAAACCTTCTGGTGCATGGAGCTGTAGAAGATTTAATTTTGTTTTATCCTTTTTTCATGCCCCTCAACTCAATTAAGGCAAACCCAATTGAACTGATGTAATTTTCCAGGCAGTGGTATGGATTTTGAGCTGTAGGAGAGAATAGGACCCTGTGAGCCTGTGGATCTTAATCTCAGTTTTGCTATTAATTCCGCAGTGCAAAGAAAATAACATTCAAGACCTGTTCAATTTTAAATGAGACACAACAGAAAACGTTCATATGTTATCTCCCAAAATGTGAAACGAGTATGGTGATACTCTACTCTGTTCCACCACACAGACTGGTTTAATTAATAATTTTTATCTTTAACAGAATGTTGGTCTTTTCATGAAAAATTGTGGGGTAAAAGAGTAATGGGATATTTTAATGAGTCTTGAGATTGTAATGTAGTGCAGCTTTAAGGGTCTGACAGCAGCTCTCCCTTTCCTCCACAGAAAATGGAAGCCACCTACTATGACAATATCATGGAACAGCAGCGCTTAGAGCCAGAGTTCTTCAGAGTTGGGTTTTACGGTCGGAAATTCCCATTTTTCCTGCGGGTAAGCCAGACTTACACAGGGTGTGACAAAGTAGCTGCTAAGGCTTTGTATTTTTGTTTTGGAGATACTGTGTCTGCCATGCAGTTTATTTTCCACCCCTGCACTAGTGAAAACAGCTTTCTGGCTGAACTGGAGCATATGGTCCATTGGGAATGTTCTTGGGAGCAGAGATCAGAAATTTGACTCAAGCCTATGTGTATTTTCAACAATCTGCAGATGCAGCACAAACTGCCTCTATATTAAGCAAAATGCTGTATCGCAGCAATGTTGGGTCATTACTTAACTAATTTTCATCATCTCAAATTATCACGCTTTAAAAAGTCTCACATGACAGAATTTTAACCAGCCTGATGACTCCCATCCTATCTGCAAGCAAAAATTTCCTCTCTTGAACAGAAAGCCAAACCGCTCCTCTGGACACATCATTGTCTGCTGGTGTGTACAGCATCAGCTGGGGCTGCAATCCCTCTTAAAAATGAAATTATCTTCTTTTCCTAATGAGGGATCAAACTTAAAATGGGTATTTGTTTATACCATGTCCTGTTGCTAGTTCAGAGTAAGGAAGGAATTTAATCTGACAACTGCTCCAGGAGCTGCCTGAAAATTGATGGTAGATGCCATGGAGTGTGACAGGACAAGGTAACGTGAAGCTTTCAAGGACTGGAGGTGCATGGTTTGTGTTCTTTTTAAGGGAATGGTTTGACAAGAGGTGGCACCACTCAAGTTACACAGTATGAAGCCACACAAAGCCAAGCCTTGAAAACTGAACTCTTAAAATTCCTTCTGATTATGAAGTCGTTTGGTTTTTTTAATTAGGATTTCAAGATTGGTGTTTAATTACACTCTTCTAATGGAAACACGGGCAGGGCCAGTAAAGGCAAGATGGAATTAGTCATGGAGAGGAAAATACCAGTGGATAAAGGGTGACTTCATGTTATTTGAAGATGAACAGTGGCAGTATCAGAGAATCACTGAATCATTTAGCCTGGAAAAGATGTGAGATCACCGAGTCCAACCTGTGACCAATCACCACCTCGTCAGCTAAACCAGAGCACTGATTGCCACGTCCAGTCATTCCCTGAATGCCTCCAGGGATGGGGACTCCCCCACCTCCCTGGGCAGCCTCTTCCAGTGCCTGACCTTTCAGGGAAGAAATTCTTCCTGATGTCCAGCCTGACCCTCTCCTGGCACAGTTGAGGCTGTTTTCTGTCACTTGTTAGCTGGGAGCAGAGCCTGCCCCCCGCCTGGCTACACCCTCCGTCCAGGTCATTGTAGGGAGCAAGAAGGTCCCTCCTGAGCTGCCTTCAGGGTAAACACCCCCAGCTCCCTCAGCTGCCCCTCAGAGCGCTCACAGTGCAGCAGCTGGAGCAGTGCACAACACCCTGCAGAGGATCCAAGGAAAGGACAGGTGCTGCAGATGTTTCAGAAAATGAATGACAGACAAAGTCAACGTGGCTCATGACTGTTCCTGAAATAGTGCCAGTGACTGTAGCTTACCTTGTTCAATTGTGGATCCTCAGTTGTATCTGGGACCCTCCCGGCCGGTGTGTTTGCTGGAGTTTTCCACGGCCAACCCTGACTCTTTGTGCTGTAACAATGTGGAGCCATCACCAGCGAACAGGAGTGTATGTAATTATCATCCTTGTTAATTCCGCAATTATATTTGGTAGCAGTACTTCTGATAGCAGATTACTAATGTAGCAATCTCATTAAAAGTCATCCTCCTCCTTTCTGTCCCTAATGATCCACAGAGCACACACACTGCGGAGCATGGACTAAGCCCATTAGCAGTCACATCAGCATGGATCACACTGTAAAGAGACTGGAAGCAGCTATTCTAGAGAAGAAAAAGATTTACATGGATTTAAAATCTTCAGATGGATGTGGAAGTGATTTAAAGTGATCAAATAACTCCAAGCCCTTTTCTCGTTCATTTTTCTCTTGCTGTATAGCTTAAGGCAGAAAATAACCACCTCTTTCTTGATTTTGAAGAGCCTTTGTCCAGAAAAGTCATTGTGCATGTTTCTGTGAATTCTGCATACATTTTCTAGCCTTCCTACATAAGTAAATTAAAGCTAAATTAAAACTGTCCATATCTTCCACCTACCAGAAGTTCACTTAAGTAAGGCCTGACAAGCCACATTTTGAGATCTTGTGTTGACATCTGTCTGAAAAGTCTATGAAATTTAGCTTTGAGGTGTTTCCAGGGCATTATTTTTAGAATCACAATAACCTTATTTATAGGCTTACAGTTTTCTAGATTGCTGCAATGAAAAGCTAAAACAGAGAATGCAGTAAGTGTTATGAAGAGATTCACCTTCAAACGTGGCCTCACTCCAGATTTAATAATAGCTGCACAGTTTGAGCATTGCAGACCGAGCTGTCAAGCTCCATCATGCGATTCCTCTCCCCGTCCATTGGCTGCTGTGGCTGATGCACATGAAGTGACACATGTCACAGCCAGGACAGGAGAGCTCTTCCAGAAGGGTGAAATGCAAAACCAGAGAGAAATGAACTCCTTGGCTGTGTTTTGTGATTGGGTTTCGCAGCTTTCCTTTTGATTTTGCTACAAGATTAAGACCTGCTTGTCCACATCCCTTTTCCAGAGCAGTTAACAAAACATTCTTGCATAAACTGCAGCTTCTAAATGCAAGAAATAAAAGGGAGGAAAGTGTTGTGGTTTGTTAGATGCTTTGTTTTATGAAACAGCTGTAGTTCTAGTTGTTTTATTATGTGTATGAGCTACCAGAATTAGAGAATTTGCCTTCTTCATTGGTCTTGCACTAGGAAACATTAATACCAATCAAAACTGTGGTTTTTGAGGGTTAAGACACTGGAATACAATCTTTATGACACTGAGGACTTTAGAAATCCTGTATTTTGCTGTTGAGAGTTAAGAGATGGCTCAAAAAGCATCCAAGAGCTCCGCACAAGTGGTTCAGTGCCTCAAGAGTCATATCTAAATGCAGCTTTCCATTATTAGCAGAAATGAAATTTTGTTCATCAAGAGGAAAGTGCTTTTAGGGCCAAAGGGGAATTTGCTAAGTGGCCACTGAGAATTCTTGCTAAGGCTTTTCCATATTACTCTGCTGTAGACAGGGGAGCTCCTGAGCATGTATTGTTCCGTGTGATCAGGGCGGGGTTGTGTGGCTGTGATAATACAGCAGTGGTTAAACAGCAGTTTTTGTGAACAGTTTGTTGCAACTTCTCTCTAAGGAGAACTGATAAAATGATAAACATATCTCTCTCTCTGTTCTGTGAGGTCCTCAGGACTTTCATCCATCTGGTGTAAACTGTATTTGACAGCAGCTTTCCCAGTGCAGAACAGCCAAGCTGGTGACTTAAGTTTTGGTTGATACATTTCAGTATGGTTTAATTAAAAACAGTCCCTTTTCTGAAAAGCCAGTGAGAAAGGACCCCAGGACTGAGTGCTGCATGTGCACGGATCAGAGGCATCGTGCTGTTGAGAGATCAGTGGAATAGTCTCCTCATTCATCACTTCTCAATGAAATACATTGTAAAGAGAAGGAAGGAATAAAATACATCAGCTGTGTTAAATGCAAGTTTTACTCTCCCATTAGCATATTGACACTGTCATTTATCTTTGGTTTTGAAGCAGTAACATTTAAAGTGAGATAAAAGCCAGTAGACTTTAACTTACTTTTAAGGAGACTCATTTATGCTTGTTCTTCTTGCAGAACAAAGAATATGTGTGTCGGGGCCACGACTATGAGAGGCTGGAAGCCTTCCAGCAGAGGATGCTGAGCGAGTTCCCACAAGCCATTGCCATGCAGCACCCAAACCACCCCGATGACTCCATATTGCAGTGTGATGCCCAGTGTATCCTTCTGTAAGGGGCACACTGATGGGAACTGCGGCAGAGCACAGAGTAGAGCTGGATATGGAGGATATGGACAAAAGCAGGCTCTGTCTGCAGCAGACAGTAACTGGTTCCTTGTGCTACGTGGTGGTGGACGGAACAGTCACTTTTTAGCAGGGGAATAATGCAGGTCATGTCCCATGTGAAGGGAAAGGGCTGTGCTTGATCACATCTGTGTTGTAATGCTTTACCAGCAGCACTGCCACAACGCACAGTTTGTGTCCTTAAAAATAGTTCCAAGTATCTTCTCTTGGACTATACAAGTGCTGGTTTCCATCCTGTTTATTTTTTTACATCAGTATTATTATTTTTGTGCAGTCTCTCTTTCTTTAAAACTGATAAACCTTTTTATACCCAAGCCTTTGAAATCTCATCCTTCTCACTGATCACCTGCACTGGGATTTGATGCAACCTGTACAATTCCCTATGCATTTAAGGACTGAACCACACAACATTTAATGGGACTGCAGGGACTTTGGGAGGGCTCAGTCATGGGAACACCACTGTTTGGCTTGTGTGAGAGCAGCAAGGAGACTGTGCCATAAGGGCACTGTCAGCACGTCAGATCTGCTGCCTTGGGTTGCTGTTTCCCACTTGTGTTTCCTAACACGTGCTTTTCATTCGGTAAAAGCTTCCTTTGACTGCACAATGAACAGATTTACAGATCTATGCAGTGACTCCCATCCCAGACAATATAGACGTGCTGCAGATGGACCGTGTCCCGGACCGCATCAAGAGCTTTTACCGAGTCAACAACATCCGGAAATTCCGCTACGACAGGCCCTTCCACAAAGGCCCCAAGGACAAGGAGAATGAGTTTAAGGTAGAAGTAGTGACCAAGCAGTGTTTGTTTCATCTCTTCAAGCTGATTTTTGTCTTGTTGTTTTATGCTAATAGTGCCTTTCAGGTAATCCTTATTTGGTGGCCGAAGATACCACAGTAACTTGAAATAACAAGTAGCTGTTGAGTCCATGGTCTGATTGAGTACTGTGGACTCCTGATCTGATTAAAGCATTTTCCAGTTTAAAACTGAGTTATTTTAGTGCCAGGAGAAATGCATTTCGAAGCAAGGATGGCGCTTTCTTGTTTGGCTGAATTTTTTTCCTACTGATACACATGTCCACAATGTCTTCTTGGGTCCCATGAATTGGTGATCAATCTTCAAAACCTGACAGAAATGTTGAATGTGTTGTTTAGAGCAGGTGTACCAAATTCCTGGTTTGATGTTCAAATGACTTTCAGCAAGACATTCTACAGAATGAATGCTCAGGAGGTTATTAATGTGTTCTGTCCTAACGCTGCCCCCTCTGCACCTGTAGTAAGAGTAGAGATGATGTGGTTGTGACTCACGGGGTCCCTCACAGCCTCCGTTCCTCCTTGCAGAGCTTGTGGATTGAACGCACCACTCTGACCCTGACTCACAGCCTGCCTGGCATCTCCCGTTGGTTTGAAGTGGAGAGAAGAGAACTGGTAACATTCACAGTTCCTGTAATTGGGGTTTCAAGGGATGGGTTACTGAGGACATGGGACAGACAAAACTCCTTTGGCTGAAATCTTGCAGTTTAAAATAATGTGGTTTACCAAGGATTAAGTACGTCCTTTTTCTTCCACTTGATCTAAATAATTGCTGAATGTGACCAGGGGAATTATGTGAGGGAATGGAACAGTGCAATGGAGACAGTGCCAAAAAAAAGGAATAATTGCTTTGCTGCCACTTCTTCAGTGTATAGAAACAAATTATCACAACTCAGTGACCTGAAATCCAGCACTGCCAACGGTGAACTTTGTTAATGTAGTTAATTTTCTACAAAGCAGTAAAAGCAAAGAGAACTGAACAATCCTAGAGTATCATTTCATTACAAGGAAGATAATAAATCTCAGTGAAGTGTCCATGGAATTAAAGTATATTTATTGCCTTTGAGGTTGAAGTAAGTCCTTTGGAGAACGCCATTCAAGTGGTTGAGAACAAGAACCAGGAGCTGAGGACACTGATAAGCCAGTACCAGCACAAGCAGATGCATGGCAACATTAATCTTCTCAGCATGTGTCTGAACGGGGTGATTGATGCGGCTGTTAACGGCGGAATTGCGCGGTACCAGGAGGTAAGCCGGGCTCTGCTTCCCAATCCACTATCACCCTTTCTCAATTTCATTTCCCTTTCTGTTTCAAAGAGAGCATGACTTAATAAGATAAGAAATTTTCATGTCCATTATCTAGAGATGAGGTTGAATCCCCCACTTGGTTATTCTGCATCACTGCTTGCACAGCCACGTGTCAGCAGGGGGCTCCAGAGGTGGAGCTGGGATCTGGTGTGGAAGTGGGTGCAGGTGACAGGGGGGTTTCTCAAGGATGGCACTTGGCTTACCTGGAAATCCTCAACTGGCAGGTAAAACAGTGAGGTGGATTTTTTTTATACTGCTTACATTATAAATTCATTTTGCAATAGGGGTTGTGGGACCCGTAATTGAGACTGATTGGGCCTGGAATCAGGAAAGAATGCTAATTCATGGTACTGAACCATTATCTTGGCTGATGGCCTACTCACTGTAACCCTGAAATGATCATATATGCAATTTGTTATCCAGCATAATCTCTGGCAAGCTGTTACTTAAACTGAGCATTGCAAAAGGTAAGTTTAGGGTAAAACAGGGAAAAATGGCAGCAGTGGTACAGGGGTGTGGGATGTGTCTTCCCAATGGAGCTGTGGAGAGAATGCTCTTCAGGCTTTCCATTAGTTACCAATTCACTCACGTAATTCCTTTAACTTCAGGCAGTTATGTGAAAGGAACTATATAAAATTCAAATAACTGGATGATACAAGGCTTAGTGGTATTGCTCATCACTGTCACATGGGGAAACTTGGTCAGATTCATGATTCAACAGGATCGTTTCAGTTGCCAAGACCATTTTCTCAGCATCCCAGAGTGCTAAAACCAATAAAATTAAGCTTCGCTGTTATATTAATATAAGATTTTTGGACCTTTTCCTCTCATCCTTTGACACCAAGTTATGATGAAATACCTGCCAGTAAGCAAAAGGTACTTTTTTTCCCTTTTCCTGTAGGCCTTTTTTGATAAGGATTATATCACAAAGCACCCCGGTGATGCAGAGAAGATCACACAGCTCAAGGAGCTCATGCAGGAACAGGTACTGTTTCTCAGATGCAAAAGAACAGTGTCTGGATTCATCAGCAGTAAGTCTAAACATATCAGATCAAACTGATTCATTCAGAAGCAGAGTTTGGGTACAGGAGATCTAAATACATTCAAACAAAAACCAGGGGAGATGGGCAAGGAGATTATGACAAGCCTTTCACCTTACAGGATGTGAGGTGAAGCTCAGCTAAAAGTACATTAGTTTTGTTGTCTCCATTTATTAGCTGACAGGCATCTTGCTGCGTTTCAAGCCTGCCATTCATTTTTGGCATTTTGAATTATGTCTTCCCAGCAGATTTCAAAGATAATCAGAGACAGGACAGGTCAGGCTTGAGATTAGACTGGCAGAGCCACATATGAAAAATTAATGCCTGTTTATATTATCTGCAGTTTTATTTTTCTGTAATGTCTCCATGAGACATCTTCATAGATAAAGCTGCAGGATGCTTTGATGGCAGTGAAATCAGATAATCAGATCCCTCTTAACTGAAAGTTTGGCAAGATATACCCCATTAAACAATGTGCCCAAATCTGAATAGAGCTACTAGGTCTGTTTCTTCAGCAAATCACTGAACTGCATTTCAGATTCCCCATCTGAAAAATAAAGATAATGCTTATCTCCCTTCAATCCTCAGGAGGATGTTTGAAGATTAATTAGTTATTGTTTGTACAGACTTGGGATCGTGTAGGGAATTACATACATCTTAAGCCTGCTATCACTATTTTCTTTCATCTGAGACCTTATATAATCTCATTCATTCACTAATATTATATGTTTGACCTTTGAAGAAGTGACCTTTAGAAATAACTAATGAGGACCAGGCAGAGTGACTGTGGATGTGCCGCTGCTGCTGTGCAGCTCAATTACCAGAAACTCCTTTTAGAAATCTCTGCTGGCAACTCCGACCCCTTCCCTGGCACTGGGAGGAGGCATTTTTTTGTCACAGGGCATTATCTGCGTGAGGGCACAATGCTGTTCACTCCAGAGACAATCTCTCTGGTAATTTTTTACAGTTATGTCTTTAAAGAGCAATCCAACGTGACACAAATGTACTTGTCTCACACCTAAAGTACTTGCAGGAGTAGTATGAACTTGCCAGGATTCCTTGGCTTGCTTAATTATCTGCAGTCTTGTAATGAACAGTGGCATATTTTAGAGTACTTCCTTGGACACTGACAGAACTGCAGGACAGGCTTCTCTTCTCTCTCTTAGACACAAATCGTTTGGGTTTGTGATGCTACATTTTCTCTTTCACAGGTACATGTCCTGGGAGTGGGTCTGGCTGTCCATGAGAAATTTGTACACCCAGAAATGCGTCCCCTGCATAAGAAGCTGATAGACCAGTTCCAGATGATGAGATCCAGCCTGTACCATGTAAGTTCACAGCCGCTTCTCCCATTTTACTTTATTCAGAGTTATGATTAGTTGCAGTAAGGTTCTCAAAAGAACTGGGCTGATGCAGCATTGATTGAACTTACTGGACTGCCAAATTACCAGAAGAATTCTTGACTCTTGTGCAAGAAGGCAGTCCTAGTAAATATGTTAACTCAGCCTTTAAACAATAATTGTTAATATTTGTATGTGCTTTGTTGCATCACAGAGCAGTTGTAAAGCTTAATTTTCAGTTGCTGTCTCATAGAGCAGAAAATGATATAAAACAGGGGAAGATTACCAGGAAGTCTTGGAGTAGAATGACGTGAAGAAAACGTGCAGTTTTCCATGACCGACTTAGCTGAAGTCTGTTTGCTTTGCAGGAGTTGCCTGGTTTGGATAAGCTGAGCCCAGCCTGTTCTGGCTCCAGCACCCCCCGCAGCAACGTGCTGGTGTCCCATGGACCCATGAGCCCAGAGAGCATAAAGCTGGTGCATCGACACAGGTACCCCCTCCTTCTGCCCAGATACGGAGGATCCCTGCACGCTGGTGCCCCTGGAGTCGAGGATCTGAGGAGTGGTTGACAGCGCTGCAGGAGGGGCGGGAGGAGTTTTGGCAGAAGTGCCTTTTGCCTTCGTGCAATGCTAATTATTGAAGTTTGGGAATTGGAATAAAATAGTTAAGAAATCCACTTTGCGGCAAATGCTGAACACCTCCAGGTGTTACTCCATCACTTCACTCGCTGTAGGGGCAGAAACACACATCTGCCACTCAGTTCTCCAGACTCAATCTGACTTTGGAGGTTCCACAACTTATGTTACGCCAACAGCAAATAACTGGGTCCTTATCTACCACAAAAGGAAAATTTCATTGCTTGTTTTAAAACCCAACTCAGTATTGCCCAGTTTGAAGGATCAAAAGTGTTCACATCATTGCTTTTTATAATTCTGATCAAATCAGAAGCCAAATACAAGGATGATCAGAACATCAAAAAACGACTCTGTGTGCCCATCTGTAAAATCTGAGATAATGACTGAGGATGAAAATTGGGATTATCAGGACAAAACAGTGGTTTTTATATCCAGTCAAAATTGCTCATTTGAAAATGCTAATTATTCTTCTGTGTTTATTTTTCTTGGTGGGTCTCTGTAGTTTAGCTGTTTTTAAAGCCTGGCATTAAGAGCTGTGGAAACTCGGTCTCAAGTCCATGAATGGAGGATGGTGACATTCTTTTTGCTATTAAAACTGAGTAGTTTATACTGCTTCTGTGGCTTGGCAGTTGACAATTGGTGTCTTTTTGATAACATTTTTCCCCTCAAAATTCCTCCCTTTGTAAAGGCTTTTTTATTTGTTAGGACATCCTATGGAGATTCTGTAGTGTACAAAATATGTTATTTATTTCTGTATGTGATTCAGAGTGACAAAGTGAATTCCCTGAGTGAGATCAGGGTGCATCCTGCACACCAGCTGGGCTGTATTAATTTACTGTCACCTACAAAGTTGCCTTCAGCAGTAATGCTGAGGCCCAGTGGATGCAATAAGGAAAGACGTATTTTGACCTGTGTGTCTTGTGCTTGGCTTCCTTTGGAATGTTTTTTTTTAAGCTGCTCCCACTCGTTGTACTTCAGTGTTAAAAATGAGAGTGGTTTCAGCATGTTCTGTTTAAACAAATATGCTCCCAGGGTCATGATGTGATGTTAACCTGGCTTTGGATTCTGAAATTCAACATCCCACCTATTATTTTGTCTTACATGAAACCTTGTTGTCAATTCTTTCGCATTTACTCACATCTATGGATTTGTTTATTGGGCCTGATTTTTCAAAAGTGTTTGACATCTAGAGGTGACCTAAAGCAGCAGGTAACTGTAGGTACTTTCTAGCTTGGAAAAAGGCTTCTTCACAAATGAAAACACAGGTTCAAAATGTAATTATGCTCTTGCTCTGTCTCTGTTTTTTTTTCCAGCCCACTGAACTTGCTTGGTTCAGTCCGACACTCCTCATCCTCCCTGTCATCCCACACCTCCAGTGAAACAGGAAACCTGGTTATCCTGACAGACAGCTCTGTGGGGGAGAATGCTGAGGATATGTACCACATGCAGGTACAGCTCCAGCACAGCCAGGAGCGGTGGTGGTTGGGAGCAGCACAGAACGTGCTCTGGAGGGTTACACTTCGAGCAGTGCTTTAGCTGTGCACGTGCTTGCATCTGTCTGGTGATATTTTTCTCAACAGAATAGGTAGAATCTAACATTGGTCAAGAAAGATGACAGTAATTCACTAGGTTTGCTTTGGGAAGAGATCTGTGTTTGTACAGTGACTGTGATTCTGCGGTCCAGGATGACACCGCTGCTTTCCAAAAAAGCGAGATTTTTGCCACGTGTTATTTACCTGCCCTGCTCAGCACGTGCTGTTAGTGCTGCTCTTGGTTTGGGGGGTGAAATGAGTCCCAGAGTCCTGAGAGCAGGTTACCAGTAGCCTGCACTGAAGCTGGGCAGAGGCTGCCCTGGCTGATCCGAGACAGGTAAATCCCCAAGGCACTGATCCGCTCGGCTCTCCCTCAGTGGTTTCTCTGCCTCCTGCAGCTTGTTTACCCTAAGCCCAGGTACCAAAGCTCAGCCACCAACATCTCTGTTTTATTCATGTCCCAGGCCAGCCCTTCCACCTCCAGCCTGAGCTCTACTCACTCTGCACCATCCCAGATGATTAACTCTGCCCCTTCCAGTGCTCGAGGTAAGCATGGACAGGCCTCAGGGAAGGGTCACCTGCAGGTGTTTCCCAGACCTGGCAGCCTTGTTGACTTACTGGTGAAAGACCACCTATAAGTGTACCACTGTTTCTCTTTTGGAGATGTAAATGCCTCTTCAAGAAGTATTTCTTTAGAAATGTTTTCATTCTCCAGAAATGGATTTAATAATTTTTTTCAGCAGTATTTGGAATGTCTTTCTAATAAATGCTGGTTTCAGGCAGTTGAATTTCATAATGATTTCCATTGTTCCGCCACAAAATTGTGGCAGGCAGTCTAGAGGAAAACAAGAATAGTCCTTGGTATAGTACTTAAAAGAGAGATCATGAAGACAAAGGCAAATAAATCATTTTATGTGTTCAATGAAATTATGGCAAGAAAAAGGTCTTGAGGCAGTTTAGCAGACATGTGTGTATATAAAAGTGTATGCACAGGATGAATGTTGAAAGATATGAATTTTAAGTAGTGGAGATAAAGAAGGGCTTCCCTGCTGGGAAATTCTTGAAAAAAGGAAAAATGGAAAAGCAGACTCTGGGTTACTCATATTGCCTTTGTGTTACACTCGCTGGTCTTGAAATTGCTAATCATTTTCTTCGCAAGCCTCAGAGCTGAAGCAAAACAACTCCATGTGATCTCTTGACTTTTTTAACTTCTATTAAAGGTTTTGGTTTTTTCCCCTCTCATTTTGGATTCTCCATTGCAGGTTCTATATCTCTTTTCACAGGTTTCTGGAGAAGGTGTCCAGGATATAGCCAGAGATGGAGGCTGATATTTTAATCTTACCCTTTTTTCCATACAGGGGAACTCTGTTTTTTTGCTCAATCTGACAGTAAAATTCTAACTGACTGGCTGTTGTTAGGGCACAGAGGCAGCAAAGTGATTTAATTGAAGCATCAGATGGAGTAGGAAAGTGGGAAGTAAACATCTTCAAATAAAGGCAGGTAGCTGCACTAATTACCAAGGGCTGGAAGGAAAACAGTGACAAATAGTAAAGTAACCAGGTGAAAGTGGTGTAAAGGAAAAGGAAGATGGAACTGAGGACTGGGCTATCATGCCAGGAAAATGTCCCTAAATGGATGTGCCTGAGTGAATGTTTGGAGGGATCTGAGGGGGTTTGGTGCTCATACTGTTTCACGCTGTTTTCCACTTTAGAAGTCCAGTGACAGGCTCCCAGTGACAGGCTGTGACAGTCTTTCTGAGTCTGATGACTGCACAGCATCACCAGCTTCCCTCTTTACGGTATTATTCACTGTTGCTTGGAAACCAACGGCATGAATGCTCCAAAGGGAATGAATGGGTTGCTGGGTGAGCCAACAGCACCTCCCAGGGATGGGACCCAGACTGACCACAAATGGGAAACAATAAAAGAAGGAATGAGTTTGAAAAATACTTATATAACTACGATACAGCATTTATTCTCTGCTGGTTTTGTTCATTTCTAAGCTATGTGAGCAGAGCATTCAGACATTACCCACTCATTATGGGATTTCACTTGTATTAAGGTCCCAGATGCTCTCTGTGTTTCCCAGTGTGCCAGTCACTGTTCTGGTTATTACAACACTGCTGTTGGGAATGGAGCTGTTCTTAACGAGAAAAAGCCCTTACACTTAAATTCCGCTGTGGTAACAGAGCTTTGTTCTTCTCCTTGGTGATTTTTCCTTTTGTTTTCTTTTTTAACTGGGTGAATTTGATGCTTGTGAAAATGAGATTCTAGTGTCACTGGCTGGAGCAAGGTACTTCACAGACATTACATGTGCAGCTCTGCAATGCACTCTATCCTTCTTTTTTTTTTTTTTTTTTCCTTTTTTTTTGGTATTTATTTATATTCTTTTTAATTTAGCGCTGGTGAAAGGTGCTGGATTGACCGCACTGGAGGCTGAAGCCCTCTATTTACCCACAGAACAGATACAGCATGGGCGGCAGCCGTGCAAGTTCCCCCATGCTGCCCCCACCCATGTGCCTCATCTCTGTCCTGGAGGGACCACCTCTAGAGGTGAGAGGATAGTTCAGTCTCCATGACCCATCCAACCCTTGGCCTTTCTGCTGAGACTGCCAACAAAGCTACGATAGTCACGATGCTGCAGCTGAACACGTGTCAGATGGGAAGTGTGTGAAGGCCAACAATTCATTCCGTACAGGCCACCTAAATTTATCAGCTCTGCATCTTTGCCACTTGTGGCTCTAACCTGAGTATGGCTAGGTAGGATTTCTAGGGTTTTACCTGATTTTTAAATGCTCCTGTCATTGATTCAGATGTTAATGTGGAGATGAAAAACCTCTATCCCACTATGCAGGTACTTATACCATCTTCTCTGTTTAACTGCACAGCCCTTCCCTGAGGAGATGGGTATCTTTACAATACAGAGTAGTTCCATCAGTGACCAAAGGAAGCCATGGCCATTTGTATTAAGAATCCAGCAGGAATTTAAATCATAATTTCAATTCTCCACTTCCAAAAAATGACCCTGTCTTTGATTTTAAAACAGCAAGACAGGTGGTTATTTGGCTTGTCCAAAGAAAAGAATAAAACTATTAATAAAAATCTTTTCAAAGGTAGTCATCAGGGAAGTAGACCATTGGCTTGATCATGTCACTGAACAGCAGATTAAGGCACCAGAATTTACACTAGTTATAATATACACAAATTACAGCAAAAGTCTTAAATAGAATTGAAATCAGAATACAGTACGAATTTTTGAATTCTGTGCTAACATTACCAGTTGATCATTTTTAGAAATAGGTACCCTACAGTTTTCACCTGACTTGACCCTTGTGTAGCTTCTTCCCTATCAGGAAAGCACCACTGTTGTATGGAGGATCAATAAGAAGTTCAGTTTGGTTTGGCTTCATTTGAGGTGACTCATGAGGCACTGCTGTAACCTTACTGGAGTTAAAAGATGGTACAAGACGGTTCGTTAAGCAGAAAATGAAATGCAAAAGGCCTGGAAAGGGCTAGGAGCGAGTTAGGGTGGGGTTTTTTCAGTAATTTAATTTAAATATGGTTGGGACTCCTCTGATGCACTTGAAAAGGAACTCCCACTTGGACACTTGATGCCTCTTAAGGCATCCCTACTGCTTCCTCAGCACAGCCCCCTGTTAAAGTGTAGAAAATAAGTCCTGGTGTCTTATTCAGCACTGTGCAAGAATCCTTATGTTAAAACTGCCTTCTTAAAGCAAAAAACCTTATGATTTGGCTCAGGAGCAAGCTGTTTTCATAACAGTAATAGAAGTGAGGAATCAGGAGGAAAGATTGAATGAGTTTGGAGTTTAACTACATTAATGTTCAGTTTCATTCCTTAAAACTAATACTTGTCACAAGTGGATTAACATATTTATAATTAAAAAAGAAAAACTACCTCTTGCTTCAGCACAGGTTTTCCTTTCTCATTAGTAAGTGCCTGCAGTGCTGCACACACCGAGTGCGCTACATGCTAAAAGGAGTGGGCCCTGCCACATGCTGCAGTATTTTATATGGCCACTGGCTGCTCTGGAAGCTTCTAAGAGCCTTTTTTTGGCTTTGCTTTTTAAGTTTTGCCAGTCCCTGAAAAGAGCTATAGTGACTGTGCTCTCTACCTGTCCAAAGCAGCACTACTTAATTTTGTTTGCAGACTGGACACTTGACATAGTCCCTTAAAATATTTATAGTTATAGCCGGTTACAAATTTAGGGTAGCAAACAGCAGAGGTTTTTAAACTAGACTCTGCCAGCACATGTGGGATTTTTCAGGTTATGAAATGAAGGTCTGTGGAAACTGCAATCCCTTATAAATTGACAGCACAGAGGTGTTTTGCAACTCTGATATAAAAGAGAAGGGATGACAAGATAAATAAAAAGGGTTAAGTGTAGATTGTGCTGTGCTGTAGTTCTGGGCACACCTGAAAGTTCAGCATCTTCACATTTGTCCTGCAGAACAGGACTATCTGTGACCTGTGAGTAAAAGACTCAGCACAAAGCGTTAACACTGTGTTCTCCAAGCTGATGTTGTACATAAGAGCAAAGAATGTCGTCTAATTAATGTTTCTGTTCTATGTCTGGGGACAAAATGAGTTCGGGACTAGAATGCAGATACTCCATGGCTGTTCATGTTGGAGTGGGGGCGTAGATTAATCTGGCATCTGCCCCCCCTCATGGAATTGTTGCAATTGTAGGGTCTTATCCTGCATTCTGCTGGACACATTGTTCCTTCCACTGTGTGCTGAATATCAGTCCCAAAAACTGCATGTTTGCTTTTGCTGGGGTAAAAGCTGCATCAACCAGCACCAATGCCTTTGCTCATATGTGGGAGTGCTGTCCAGGTAATGTGTGTGGTTGTGGAAGTTTGCCAGAGGGGGCATGTATTCCCCACAAGCCGGCATGGCTCTGTAATGCGCTGTGTGCTGCCATCTGTTCAGTGCGTGTCTGTGACGCAATCAAACAATCAGTGCAAATTAAAGCTCACTTCAGCAGCTTCAGAACATCAATTCCTGCCTAATACTGTGCATCCCAAGGGATGTGTGGACCAGTAGTGTCAGATTTCAGGAAGGCACTAATGAGGATCATTCTTCTGGCAAACCCATTGTCAGCTGTTGCACATCAGAAGGCATATTTGCCACGTGGCACTCATCTTGAAGGACATGAGTCCCAAGTAATTCCACCTGCCAGGAAGCTGTTTACATGAATTACCCCACTACCTTAAATGACAAGTACACAGATAGATGAGCCAGGCCTATTCCTACTATTATAACTCTAAGCTTTGGTAAATGTCCTGGTGTCATAAAAGGGCTCAGTATAGCAACACGCTCAGTAATCATCATTACAGCAGCATTGTAAGCAAAGTGCCACTCACACTTAACAGAAAATTCTGTTTATTACTGGGCTTTGTTTTGCTCTAACGAGAGGAAGCTGGCCAAGGTATCACCAACTAAATAGCAACACTTATCTCTACCAGAACTGAGGAGTGAAGTACCTTCCCATAGCTTCCTGCTTTAACTGAATGGTGTATCTCAAGCTTTTATCCCTTTCTTCCACATTCAGTCCTAAAATGCACAATTTTAAGGCATTTCTGTTACTTTGCAATACTTTATGAGGGCAGGGGAGCATAAGGCACAGCCACAGCCAATTCCACAGAGATGCCCACTCTTTCCTTTGTTTAAGAGGAAGCACTAAGTACAACTAGGAACACACACACCTTACACACCTTCCGTGCTACGTCCTTAATTGTACATAACAAGCCAGTTCTTACTCCATCCTCGTGCTATGCACCCACCAACAGTCAGCTGCTTAGTGGGCTCGGCACCATGTTCTTTGAGTCCTGTGAGATCATCCGTCCGAACCGATTGCACAGGAGGCCAAAATCCCTGGGCATGCGGAGACCTGGCTGTTGTTTGTCCCGTGTACGTGATTATTCTCACTTGTTTACAGGCTCTCCCTCTCTACCAGATAAGTACCGGCACTCTCGGGAGATGATGATGTTGCTGCCAGCCCACCGGGACCGACCCAGCAGCGCCATGTATCCCGCAGCTATCATGGAAAACGGACAGGTAGCAGCTCCGATTTTTTCTATTGTCAGTTCAACCACCCCAAACTGTGACTTTATTTTTCTGGTTTTGACCACCTTAAAGCGCTTTCCTTTTTATTTCTGGAAAGCCCAGCAACTTAATTGGGATCATTTTCAGAGGTGACTCAGAACTTTTCATATGAATCCCGCCCTGGAGTCACCCACTATGGCAGTCAAGGGATACAAATTGTAATGATTGTTAAAACTGCAGATACACCTTCTAAAAATGAACTCTCCTTATCTTACTTCCCAACTTTATCCTGTAAGCCCTGGTCCACTGCAAGTCATACTATTTGACTTATTCATTCTTTTAGAACCACAGCCATCTTACAGTCTGGCCTCAAAGTTGATTCTAAATAGCTTTATGGTGATTTCCAGAGGTATCAAAAAACCACGAGGGGCTGAAATAATATACTGATATAAATAGTCTCCAAACAATCTATGCCCACTTCTCCATTTGTCTCTGGACAAATTGAAAAATTCAGAGTGTGCATTTAAATCTGGCCCTGGCCTGCACTTCTGAAGGGAATCTCCTGATGGTGCCCACGTCGGCTCACCTCAGGGAACTGTCTCAGAGCATGAAACTCAAACAGAACCAGAGGCAAAGGTAAGCTCCAGAAGGGCTCGTGGTGCATTGCAGGTGATAAAGGGCACAAGGGCAGGCTAGAGCTACTCTGAAATAACTCCTGCAGAGACGGGGGGCCCTCAGCACTGTTACACCCCAGAGACCACTGCCATTGCACTGCAGGACCTGCCAATGTAGGCACAGCCTAAGGTTCCCGTTCAGCCTTTAGATGAACTTTCTTTGCTTCAGAAAAGTGGACAGAAGGCCCCCATGTTGCCCCAGTTGGTCTGTAACTTTTAACTCTGCTGACTTTTCCTCCCTTAGCCTCCAAATTTCCAGCGCGCCTTGATCCAGCAAATGATTGGACCGTGCAAACCTTGCAGTGATCCCAACCTGTCCGTGGCTGAGAAAGGTACTCCTTTTCCAATTAGCTGCTTGCTAAAATAGTATTCTTCTGGTCATGCTACAGCAAGTAACAAATGGGCTTCTACATTTCCTGGCAGAGTGCATTCTCTCACGCTTTTCTAATTAACAGTTTAATTAACTGGGCCTTCTGCCAACCTATAGTCATTTCAGAAGGGTGGGGTTGCACAAACCTCTCTATTTCAGAAAGTTTTCTGAGTTTAGCACTTTGTTATTGAAACAAATCCTGTAGCTTTTATCAAGCAAGACTTCCAAAGCAGCAAATGAGAAGATATGTAAGAAGAGTGTAACATTTGAACCATATTTTTTAATAATAATGTATGAGGTTTTTAGGATGCATTTATTGCTCTAAATATGAACATTCTTTATAATCCCTCTCTGAGGTAGTTTTATATTTATTTAGCATTAGGAATATATGCATTTTTAATTGGTTGTTCTGAAAACAGGCAGAGGCCCTGCAGGGGACAAAAAATAACAAAAAAAGAAAGAGGAGAATGACTTTGTTTGATGTAACAGAAAAGGAGGAGCTTGTGAAAGGGGTGCCATGGACAAAGCGATGGGCTCAAAAATTACCTGAAAGGCAGCATTCTGAAAAAGCAGAAGGCGGCAAAATTCCTGAGTCAAAATCTGAGACAAGGATGCTACCTAAGCAAGCAACAGTCATGTGTATGGCTGGGAAAAATGATATCTTAAAAGACTTTTAAGGCCAGGAAAGACCATTGCACCTTTCTAGTCTGACCTATAATACACTCAGATTTTTACCAGTCTTTTTGTTTCAGTAACTGTGCCAGAAGTAAACTGTACCTTCTTGAAAAAAAATCCAAATTTCATCTTAGAATTTCCAGTGAATCAGAGTCCTCTAACAATGTGACAGCCTCACAGAGCAGTCCAGATCAAAACCAAAAGCCAACATCCAGTTCTGATTAAATGCAGAATGATGACTTGATGACAGTAATGAGTGATGACAACAGAGAGTTAAAAGACTGGGGGGTGAGGGATTAAGAGCTCCATCTTAGTTTGAACAAACAGATGCCAGAGATGGTGAGATCTTTATCCTGGAGAGGAGAAAGATCTGGAAAAGGAAGGTAAATAAATATTTATTGCCTGTCTAGGAAAAAATACTTGGATTTGTATTTGTGGGAAATATTATACAAGAGTGTGATAATCAGTGCAAAGAGATCAAAGACAGAATCCCCTTCAGGATCCTAAAGAAGCCACAGATGTTGTTCCCTAATTGTTGTAGGGGCTGGTGGGACAGGACTCGCAGTTCCTGTGCCAGGCTGGTGGCAAAAATGCAGTGACAGGCACTTTGGCAGGCCTTGAACCCCCATCATCCTTTGAAGTCAGGGTGCCATCTGCCTTGGATTTTGTTAACAGGCAGGGGATTCCCCACCCACTCCTTGCCCTTGTCGGGAGCTCCTCTCGGTAATTCTCACTGACAGGGGTGACATCAGTCGCCCCGAGCAGAATGGTTCAAATGCAGCTTCTCTGCTAATTAAACTTGGCCACTGAGCCACTCAACACTGTCATGGAGAGACACGGGCTGGGACAGAGCACTAGGAGCTCCCTGCTTAGGTTCTTCCCTGAAGCATTTCGGAGAAAAGGCTGGTTTTAACAGGCAGCAACAACTCTCCAAAATCATCTGACCTTCAGATGATTTCCAGCACTCATAAGGCTGTGAATGAGGGAACAATAAGAAAATATAAATGGACTGTGCACTGGGATACCATGTGCTCTTCATATTCTTATTCCGCATCTCAATGTTCAAACAAACAAAACCAAGCACAAGAGTTTTACATCCCAGCAAATCAGGTTTTCTCTCTTTTTCACTTGAGGCTGGGGTTTGCAGGCAAGATGAGTGGCTGGCACTGCATGCATCCTGTGCCTCCATTTTAGCCCTTTGACACCAACTGCAGTAGTGCAAACTAGAGCACTCTGCCATATGGAAAGGGAAAATCCATCTGCAGCCCCTGCTCTGAACCTGTTCTCTGTCAATATTCTTAGTGTCTTCTTCATATTCCTTTCTCAGGTTGACAGTCTCTTTAAAAATAACATTTACTTTTATATTTTTATGAGGTTTGTTCTGCCTTATGAAGATGTCACTTTGTGATCTTTTTTACTTTAGGGAATTTTAGGCCTTTGGGAGCCTGTGCTTGTGCTAAAACATGAACCAGGGAGTTAAAAAAAAAACAGAGAAACCTTTCAAAAGCATTTTAGAAAAGAAATGCACCAAAAATGGCTGCAGGCATTTTAATTACAGAGAAATCCTCTTCAGATGTCAAACTCCATGTTTATTTCTCCAGGCTTCCATTTTCCAAACTAAGATGGAAAAAGCTATTTTTATCCCAGTTTTCTTTGACAGGCTCAGTGAATTACTTTTTCTTTCCTTTGCTAATCTGAAGAAATTGCTTATTTGTTTTTAAACAAACATACAGTTATTGCACATCTCTTTTCAGAATAAACTCTTATTTGTAAGAAAGGAAGATGCATTTTAATAATGTTTAAGGTTGATGGAATTCTCAAGATCTTGAAATAGGTTTGTGTTAGAAAGAGCAGCATCTATTTCTATGAAAAAACAAGTTCATGAAGGTCCTTCCCCCCTTGTCTGTTGTATGAAGGAAATGTTCTCTCTACTTCCTGATTCGCAAAGACTTATGAATTTTACAAGATACGTTCAGGTGACTTTGTGATACGAGGCCAAAATGCTGTCCTTAAATATTTTGTGACCTAAATTCTTGATCAGCTCTAGAGCTTAGTACATCAGGGCTTTGAAGTCATGATTTCTTTTGCAACGGATTGAGGTGTAATTGCCTTCATGTCCTTTATTCAGTCCTCACTTACCCTGTAGTGCAGACACAGCCTGGTCCGTGTTTCCAGAGGGTTCTGCCACATGTTCCCTTCTGCTCTGTCACCACTCGTCAGGGCAGCTCAGCTCCCACCTGAGATACAGCTGCCCTTCCATCAGTGGGATTTCATTTTTACCTACTCATTGGCTTGCAAAAAAACCCTCCCAGAGTTCTACTGCTCTTCCAACTTGCTTGAAATGAGCCAAGGGGTGCTGGAGGGGAGCTGGGCACACTAACCCTGCCATCACCTAATTCTTGCTTCCTTAACAAAGCCTCTGTAAACTTAACTCACTGTAGACTAGCCGGTGCCTTTCTGTGCTTTCAATCCTGCCACTCACCAAGTCCCTGGAATCTGTCTCTCTGCTGCTGAAGAGCACACCTAAAAGCCTGGCCCCACACCCCCTGTAATGTTACCCCAGTTCCATCTGTTTCAATCCTTCAGCTGTGCCAGCAGCACCCAGTAGCTGGAGCCTGGACAGTGGAACCCGAGAGGCCCTGCCATTCCTGTCTGCCCACGTTGGGAGCATCCTGGCCCCACCAGTGCCTCCCCGAAGCCTGCCCCATGGTAAGGACGTGCCCAGCAGGCCTGCAGTCATGCACACAGAAATCCAGACCACCTAAAAGCTGCCCTTAGCCTTTTTGCCCCATAAAAACAATCAGAGCAAAAACCCACAGTCTTTCCTGGTCTGCTAGGTTTCCTTTTTTTTTTTTTCCAAATCTTCAAATTACTGCACTCCTTACAGCAATGCAGACTTGTGCATATTTGGGGACTGGAATTACGTGTGAGAGCACTGAAGCTTGGCTTGGCTTCTTACCCATGACCAACTTCAGCAGTAACTTAAGGTTAAAAAGCTGTTAAAAGAAACTTCATATGTTCATCATTTACGAGCCTGTTGCCTTGCCATGAGATCCCTGATAAGAGGGGTGGGTGGAAGTTTATCACTGCACTGAAGTTCTCCTTAGCTCTGTGTGTGTGTGTGTGTGTGTGAGACAGATGCACTTGGCAGTGCCCATCGGACAGGCAGCCCTAGGGTGGCGTTACCAGCATTTGGAGCTGTTACCTGGCATTACAGATCTGAACCCAGCTCTGTGGCTGCAGCACAAGTCTGCATTTCTGATCCTTGTCTCGTTGCAGGACACTACTCACTGCACTTTGATGCCTTCCACCACCAGCTCAGTGATGCTCCTCCTGCACTGCCTGCACGAACACTGCGCAAGGTAATGGCAGGAGAGCAGAGGGGGATGTAGGACAGTAACAGACTCCTGGAGGAATCCCTCTCCTCTGCTCCCACCAAGCAGCTTCTGAATACAGAAACACTATTTTTAACATGGTAATAACTTGCACATGAGAAAATCCACTAAAACCTCATAACCTGTTCCAGAGTTGAATTCTGTAGAAAAAAACTGAAGTGTTGTAGGCCCTTCCCTTTTCCCTCTTTGCACCATCTGCTGTGATTTCAGCACCCTGATCATCACCTCAGCTACTGTTTCTCTAACAGCTCTGGTGTTGTTGAGTGCACTTGTCTGCCCACAAGTGGTACTTGCATACCTGTAAACCAATAATCATTGACATTTTGAACACCAATGGAACTGCTCTGTTGTTCACAACACTGTGAAGAGCTGAAATGGGGAACACACACAAGATGCAGCATTGCCTCCTTCTGTCACTTCTAACACGGTTTTGTTTTTCTCCAAACAGTCCCCTCTTCATCCTATCCCTGCATCGCCCACCAGTCCGCAGTCTGGTCTAGACGGGAGTAACTCCACTTTGTCCGGCAGTGCCAGCAGTGGTGTCTCTTCCTTGAGTGAGAGTAATTTTGGACATTCTTCTGAACCACCTCCTCGCACAGACACCATGGATTCTGTCCCCAGCCAGACCTGGAACACTGATGAAGATCTAGAGACACCCTACCTCCCTGTCAGGTACAGTCTCTCTGAGCCTGATGTCCTGGAGTCGCTCAAGTCCCAGCCATGCCGAAGCCACTCTGCTCCGTCTGGAGTCATTCCTCAGGACACCATGGACCCTCCTGCTCTGCCCCCCAAACCTTACCACTCCCGGCTGCCAAACATGGAGAACGAGGAGGGGATGATCATTGAAGATGATGACAAGCACCGCCCGTTGCACCGTAAAGTGTCCCAGCCAGTGAGCGGTGGAAAGGAAGAGCAGGCCAGGGTGGCATGGGAGCACGGCATCACTGAGCAGTAGGGACAGCTCGTGGAACACGGCTGGCATCGGCATTCCAGGTCTGGATACAACCGAGAGAGAGAGAGCAGGACTCGGAGAACAGCAAACCGATTTTCTACTGCCGCAAGTTTATGTCTGAGGCCCACACGAGCAACTGGGCCAGCATGGGAGGTTGCTGCTTTCCTTTTTAAGTTCTTTTTACACCTTTCCGTTTCGTTTTTTAACTTTCTGTGCAGTGGACAGTTTATTCCTTCTGCAGTTTCCTAACCACATCATATGGCACACGAGCCATAGAGACTTGCAGAAGCTGAGAAATACGATTTTAAGCGGAGGGGGAAAAAGGGGGGAATGTGGCAAGTTTTGAACCTGCTTTCCTCCCGGTTTTGAGACGCACATGAGTAGAAGCAGTTGCACTAGGGACATATCTCTTTGCTGTACAGAATTGAAAGCTCATTGCTGAAATCAGGGATTCTATGAACTGTCAGGCTGGAAGGTGCATGAGCTGCAGGCAGTGGAAAGATGGCAATTCAAAGAAGAAATTGGCTCTTTTGAGAGCAGGATTGTACATATCTGTGCAGTGATCTCCCTGCATTGGTTCATAGGTGCTGAGGCAATCTAACCAGTGCTGATGCACTGATCTCCAAGATATCATTTCCAACAAACTCTGCCTCCTTTGTTTTTTATGTACTGTTTGATTTCTTAAATTTTGCTTTCACTGGCTAAGCCAACCTGCTTTCTCATGGGAATCATGTGTTATTCATCTGTGCTACAGGATGAGAGGAGGTTGGTAGCTACTGGAGCTACAACCTCATTGTAGGCCTTTCCCATGCCCAGCTTTGGGCAGGCTGTTGACACCAGCATTTCTATTCCAGTTTAAAACAAAACCAACCAAATTGAGTTTCTCATGCCACAAGCTGGTTGATGACCCAGCCAGTAAAGAAAGGGTGGCTTAAATGCATCATATCCAACAATCTTTGCCTCAGGGCTGAACATCACAATTCTCACCAACTTCCATCACCCAGGAGCTGAGATTCATTCCATGTTAACTCAATATCCTCATCCCTCCCCAAAACTCGCTGCAGTGAGAAGGAATCTCCCATCTCAGAGTAGACAGAAAACACCAAGACTCAAGCAGTGCCCGGTATCCAGTGTACACCCCAGAGTCAGGGACCTTAAAGGCAACCTGTAAGGAACAAGTGTTTGTTTCCTCTTTTGCTTCTTTAGAATGTGCAGTAAGAGCTGCTGCTTCTCTCTTCTGGAAGGTTGATTTCTTTTTTTTCTTTTCTCCTCAGGCAGCAGTGCAGCCTTTCCCCATCCCATCTTTTTTTTTATGGCTAGGCCCCAGACAGGGCTGAAGAACACTGAGGGGTTGGGGAACAAACTACACCACACAAACCAGAACTGTGCAGAGGTGAAGACAGTATGAGTGTGTGACCACAAAACAAGTCTTTTAATCAGTATTTGCATAGTTCAGGGAAAAAAATCTGTGGGTAATAGTGTTCTTTACAAAGAACAGATCTTGGTTTTAAGAAACCTTTTATTCTTGTTTTCATATTTTTCAAGAAACTTTCAATCAGGAGAGTATAAAATATTTAATGTTTTTAGATAAACAAGCCATGTTCCTTCCCCTTGCCATGCCCACACACATTTTAAGCCTTCCTTATAACCCTTTCACCTGCAGACTGCAAAGCACACTCCGTAGGATGGAAACACACCTCCCTCTTTCCTACCACTGAAAAACCTGAAGCACATTCAAGTAAGACACTTACCTCCATATAAATTAGTGCCAGAAACAGGAACAGCACTCACCTTTCATCTTGAATTCTTATCCTAACTGCTCAGTTTCTCCTGCTAAAAACAGCATAAAGAAGCAAAAAAGGATATTATAAATCTTTTACAGGTCACCTTTAGCACTACCTCTAAATACAGTGACTGGGCAGAGTACATGGCTTCTGAACTGGCTAAAAATGGTCTGGCTGTGTAAAGTCTGGTCTCAGCAGTTGTGTGAAGGGGATTTTAAGAGGATTTGTTTATTTTCTTTCTCCAGCTCTAGCCCATGCAAAACTAAGTTAAAGATTTGTTTCTTAAATGGCCTATTTGGCTGGAACAAAGTCTCTCTTGCTTCCTCTATTTTGTTACTAACACAGGCTGCTTGTAATCATTATATCCTTCACAATTAAGACAATGGTAATAAAATCTGGCCCATAGTGAATGCTTCATCTCTAGCAGGAAGGAGAGTTTTCCAATGCGAGGACAGTCCTCAATGTTAAGGAACTGAGCTGGATCTCTGGTATAGAACACATAAATGAAAACAGTTCAAAATTATGGTAAAGGTAAGTCAAGGAAATTCCTTAGAAACGGGTGATGTGTTTTCACATATGCTGTTCTCCAGTCCCACTGAGACTCTTCCAGTGACATTTTTAAAAGAACTTACTATTTAGTTCCAATTCCCTTGCCCCTGGTTTTGTTTTTCTTTTTGGCAGCAAGACTAAAAGTAGGAAATGTAGTGACTTACCGAGCTTCCTTAACATGGAAAAAACAGCAGGTCTTGCAAATAAAACTTTGCAGAACCAAGAATGCAACTAAAGTGGGACTGAGTCCCAGGCAGCTGGAAAATCTGCTCACTAGAGCTCTAATCAGTCTCTCAAAACACATCATCCTGCTCTGATTAGAGACACAGTACAACAGCGGTGAGTCCATGGGGAGTGTGACATTCCCATGTATTTGTAAGGGTTCGAAGGTCAATCAGGTGATGTATACAAATACCTAATTTATGGCAGGTCCACACAAAGAAGGATGGAATAAATTGCTGAATTTACCAAATTTAAGCCTCTCTGGAGTTAAATTTCTGTTATGGTTCTGAAATCTACCAAGTATTCTGCTCCCCTTTTCAGTGTTTGCCTTAAAGGGGACAGAAGATAGAAAGACTATTATTAAAATATTGTGAATCTTGGAACTAATATTGCTTGGAACTACTTCTCTGTATGGTGAGGTGTCTTTTAGCATAGTACAACTCCAACATCAAGCTCAGTCCTGGAGTAGGGGGAAGCAACAGCAGTTGTTGCACTTGCCCAACAGGATTTGAAGATTCCTTGTATAAACCACAGCAACAGGATGTTTTGAACAGGACCTTGACATTCTATACCTAACTCTAATTCAAACTTCAGTGTACTTGCCTTCATTGGGTTTTCTTTGCATAACAAAATAGCATGTGCATTCCTGAGAAAATTGGTGGAATTCTGCTATAAATCTCTCCATCATCCGTGTACCTGCTGGCCCCATCTGAAACAAAATTGAGAAGGAACTACAGTGATAGAAGAAAAGCACTTAATTTCTCTGAATCCCTTTTTATTTTTCCAGTGGTTGGGTTGGTTTTATTACTGTGTACAAGACTCAAGATTCTTTTTTGACTTTTCCCTCTTTGGTTTTTAGCTTACCCTTTTTTAGGTAAGGGATATTGCATATCCCTTCTGTGGGAGTATCAGCCAAAACTGGGGAGGCTGGAGAGAGCAAGAGCCTTTGGGAAACAAATTATGTGATATTTAAAATTTCCTCTGATCATGCTTCTTTGTAAATACCCCCATTTGAATGCTGTGTATTTGTACAGGAAATTGAGCAAAAAATGTATAGATTGTGACGTCTGACTGGTATTCTGCCCTGTAAATGTGTTTTTAACCTCTGGCATTCTGTGCTTATTTAAAAAAAAAAAAAAAAAAGGCAAAAACCTCTAACCACTTCTCTTTTGTGTATTCATGTTTAAAATAAAATGAAAACAGCTATCTTATCTATAATGGAAATCAAATTCAAAAGGAAAAATTAATTTGTACAAGTGTCCTAAAGGTACTTCATTGTATATATTGTGATAGCATGTTTCCAGAACCAACAAATAAGTGGTGTGAATTTTAGATGTAAATATCTGCCGTTTGTTTTGGGTTCCTTTCCCTTACCCATTCACTCGACTGCTGTGATGTGGAATTAAAGATTAATACCTGATATTAAAACAGTGCAGCTGTATGTTCATTGCTATCCTCCAGGCAGGGGTATCCATGGGCTGCTCCAGACATCCACAAGGGACAGGGGAGCAGCCATCGCTTCCCACCTTGGGGTGCATGAGGAAAATGGGGAGCAACCAGAAGGACCTTATGGCTCGTGTGTGTGGTGAGGGAACAGCTTCCACTTTATTCTTTTAGCTGATAGTATGTTATTTTATTTAATATTAATTTCCTAAAACAAGCACCAGGCATATCCACCACCTACTCTAGTCAGGTAGATGTACATGGCACTTGCAACAGCCCCAGACAAAGTTTTGGGATAATTGTTTCAGACACAAAGGCAATGGGATTAGCTCTCCAGCAGGTATCTGTGGAGTGGCTGTGTGCCACTCCAGCTGGGGTTAAACCACCACTACCTCACTGTCTAGATTGCTAGTTTTTTATTGCAATAGTACTTAAAAACTAATAATTTTAACAGCATAGATGTGAAAAAAAATAGTTAAGACAATGAAGGATCACAGGATTTGGGAATACAAAGCTACAGTGCATTTTCTTCATTACCACTAATGAACGAGGTCAAAGCACAGGAAATAAAAACTTATGTCTTGACAAACCAACAAAAAAAACTTATGAAACCTGTCTCAAGAGATATTTAGCAGTATTTAGAGTATTTAGCTGACTCTTCAGCTGGTCACAGGGTATAAACATGGACTGCCAAGCATTCAGTACACACCATATCCAAATACAGCAAAGAGAAAAGCTGTAACAAGGTACTTCAGAAGTGCAGCTGAGATACCATAGTGTGGCTCAGCTAAAGGGTTCACCTGATGCCTGAAGAAGCCTCTATCAGTTATGGAATTGAATCACAGAATCAGCCAGGTTGGAAAAGACCTCCAAGATAAGTCCAACCTTCAACCAAATACCGCCATGCCCACTGAGCCATATGGTGAAGTGTCACATCCACTCATTTTTCTGAACACTTCCAGGAATGTGAGTCCACCACTGCCCTGGACAGCCCATTCCAATCCAAGCCCATTACCCATCCTTTCAGTGAAGAAATCTTTTCCTAATAGCCAAGCTGACCCTCCCCTAGCACAGCTTGAGGCCATTTCTCTTTCTCCTGATGGTAGTTGCATGGAAGAAGAGTCAGCCCCCACCTGGCTACAACCTCCTTCCAGGTAGTTCAGAGAGCAGTAACTGAGCCTCCTTTTCTCAAGGCTAAACACCCCCAAGTACCCTCAGCTGCAGGATTTACTCTCCAGACCCTTCACACTATCTTCAATCAGACCCTTTCAGACTGTTCACAGCCAGACTTACAAAATATTAAATATTTTTTTTATTCAGCTAAAAAATATTTATTAACCAAGCACAGAAAATAAAACCTGCATTTGGCACAACAAAAGATGTGTGAGGCCCTCAGCTTTAAACAAGAGTTAAAAAAATATTCCAGTTTCTGTTAAAACCAACAGAACAATTTTTTTAGTGCAAGTCAAATACTTTATTTAAGCCAAGGCGACACCAGTCAGATTGAAATATAAATCCCATGTCCAAACACCTCTCCTTATCTAAATAAGAAAACTTCAGCACAGTTTCAATATATGACTTGTGTGACTCACTCAATATGAATTTCATTGCAAAGCTGATTAGAGGAGACACAAAACCTCTAGAAATGACTCTAACCTGGCTGATAAAATTCAGCCCTTTACACCCTCTGCATAAACAGGCATATCTGTAGATGCCTCTTAACAAACCACGGGCACAGAGACACAGCATTTAGGAGGAAGAGGTCTGAGCTGCAGGTCTCCTGTCTGTCAGGAGAAGGTTCGCATACCACTGCTTCCTTTTAACAGGCTTTATTGTCAATCCCACATAAATCAAACTTTGAGCAGTAGATCTATTACACTTGAGCTTCTATTCCACATTCACTCATGGCAGTACTGCGTTCCCTTGTCCCAAACTAACCTGGTTTCCCCTGCACCCTGACAGGACCTACGTCTTTAACCCCGCAGACCAACACCTGAGGATGCACCCCCAACAAATCATCCAACAGATCTGTGTTCTTGGACTGCAGAGCCAGCACAGGTCCAGCCCACACTGCAGCCTCACCATGAACACGCAGCTTCCTCCATTTACCGAACAAACCTCCCAACAACTCCGATCCCCACAGAGCCACCGAGCCCAGTCAACGTTCCTGCTCACTCCAAACATGCTTGCAAAACACTGGCCAGAAGTCCCTAGAGGTTTACTCCTCACTCACCCACAAGTGAGCTCTAAGTCTGGGATCATTCCCTGGCACAGTAACTCTCCCAGTTCCCAGCACCTCACCTTTTCAGCACTCTTTGAGTTTAGTTCATGCTCTGACCAAACCCAGAGCCAGACACTTCACAAGCACAGGGAACAAACACAACCACCTCTGTCCCTCCCAGCATCCTGCAGGTACAGCAGTGTTAGAACACAGCACTGAGACCTCCCTGGGAGAGAGCTAACACTGTTTCATCACTAACTGCACAGTCTGGGACAGGAGAGGGAACCCTCATCACTGGCTTCTGCACCCTCTGCATCTTCTTAATATCACTATAAAACTCCACAGGCATTTTGTCTATCTTGTTCTCACACACAAGAACTCATCCCTTTGTTCTTGTCAGATTCCTCTTTATTGTGCAGAGGGAATAAACTAATGAGTATCTTCCTGCAGCTGTAGGTTTAGCTCAAACATTGAAATGTGACAGTAGAAAGGAGCTAAAGCTTCCTTAACAACTAAGGAGCTTTAAACAGTAACACCAGCCAACTTCTGCATCCAGAACTAAATCCTTAATGTCCTTTTTTTAACGACAGCCACTAGGAACCACAGATGTAGATGCAACTCCAAGGATCCTGAGCACATGAGGCTCAGCCAGTGTTCCGTTACCACTTACTGCTTACACATGTGGAAATAAAAGACAACATTTAAGATAAAGGAAAGTAAAGAAATAGGGTTTTAATTTTTCAATACCCCTCCAACTAGAATTGGCAGCAGTCTGAATGTCCCAACAGCACAAGTTCTCCATCACTCAGGTTTCAGACAGAACAAATCCCTAATGCTCCAGAGAGACAGTGACTGGAGGGTAGTGGAAAGAATAGAGCCCCAGAACCTCACCATGGATCAAAAAGCAGCAGAAGGTAAAAGGAAGGCAAACCTCCTAGCTGCTGGAACATTGGAAAGTAAACTATAAATAAAAAGGAAAAAAAAACACGGTTCTTTTTCAGACCCAACTGAGGGTCCCATATTGAAATCGAGAGAGAAGCTCGTTTCCTGATCCAAAATGAAATAAAATTGCTCCTATCCTGTCAAACAGTCTGTTCTACAAAAATGTATAAAGCTCCTACTTTGTTTGAAGATGTTTCATAACTGCACTACTTTGGTAGTTAAACTTCCTCCTTATTGCGAAGCTCCCAAATTCTCCTAATGCCAAATGTAAGCCCTACTTCCAGTTAATTAATAAGCACTTCATCTCAGGGCTGTTTTGTCTACTATCCTGATAAGAAATAAAGGCATTTTAAGCACAGCTAAGCAATCAGCATAAGGTTTAAAAAAGCCAATAATCTTCCTAAAGTGCGCTGATACTGAGTAATTCTGGGAATCATTATGGACTGCATTAAAAATAAATAAATAGAACAAATCAATAACATTATTACTGATCTTAATAAACAAATTTTGAGACATAACAACACCTAGAAAGGTGCAAAACCACCTTTCTTGATAAACACCTGTGATGTATTCACTCTGGCCAGACACAGTGTCCTAATTACTGCACACCTGCTGAATCACATGCTCCTCCTCGTCTCACCTCATCAGGCTTTATCATTTGCAGCTGAGGATCGGCAAGAACATTCTGATCAGACACTGAAAAATGCCCCACAGCTCCCACCATGGCTTTGCTTGGGTCAGGCACAACCAGGCTGCCTCAGGAGCCCTTCTGTGCCAAGAGAGCCCAGCGAGCTCCACGTGGGGTCCCTTGCTGTAGCACAGGGCTGTGAGACTTTGCCTCTCCCTTCCTCGGCTGGAATGATATCCCAGACACACACAGTTAAATACACAGCCCCCAGGGAACTATTAACAGGTGTGTGTTCCCCCAGCTTCGGGGCATTTCAGTTATGAGCTCACAGGGTCGGGGATTGTTCAAGGTAGTTCCCGGCACATTCTGTGAAGGCTTTGGGAACAGAATGAGAACCACAAAAGATTTTGAGTTGGAAGGGATCTGTAAGGATCAACAAAGTCCAACTCCTCGTCCTACACAGGACAATCCCAAGAATCACACCACGTGCCTGAACAAAAGGTGACTGGCCCAGTGACTGGGATATAAAGTTGGAATTTTTAAAAAAATAACAGTAATATCTGCTTTTTACTTGACTCTGCAAAAGCACCCACCCAAGAAGCCATACACAAGCCGCACGCTGGTTGTTATTTTAACCTCTCAGGTTAACCACCTGAAAGCAGCCATTCCTTGGACCTCACAAGGTGTGCTCAAAGCCACTGAGCCCGTCCCATCCCCTCACAAGATAAACAGTCATAGAATCATGGAATGTTAAGGGGCTAGAATAGACTTTAAAGACCGTCTAATTACCTGCCACGGGCAGGGACACCCTCCACGAGACCAGGTTGCTCCAAACCCCATCCAACCTGGCCTTACCACAGAGAATGTGCCAGGGCCTCACCACTCTCACAGGGAAGAATTTCTTCCTCCTATCTCATCTAAATTTCCCCTCTTTCAATTTGTACCCACCACTCCTTGTCCTAACTCTACAGTTCCCAACGAAGCGTCCCCAAAAGCTGCCGACGCGTGCAGCTCCTCTGCCCTACCAAAATCCCTCCCTCCTCAGAGAGACGCAAACACATTTTCACTGACCGTGCAGTGTCTCACACAGCTCCTGTCCTCGCCGTGCCGCCCCACCGGGCGCTGTGAGGCGGACCCAGCGTGCAGTAGTACCTCACACAATTCCTGTCCCGGCCGTGCCGCCCCGCCCGGAGCCGTGAGGGCGGACCCGGCGGGCGGTGCCTCAGCTCGGGCCGGCCCCGCCCTCCCACAGGTGTGAGGACCTGCCCCATTCCAAGATGGCGCCCGCAGGCCGCCCTCAGGCAGCGCGTGCGGACGCGTTATCCCTTAACAAACATGGCGGCGAAGGGAGGCGGGTCCCGCTGCCGGCGCCCAACCAGCGGCCGACAACTCTCCCGTGAAGGCTGCCGCGCGGCCAATGGGAGCGCGGAGCGTGGCGGCCGCGCGGGGAGCGGGCCAATGGGGCGGCGGCGGCCGGGGCGGGCGGCGCGCGGCGGCGGTGCCGGGGGTGGCGGGCGCTGCCGGGCGAGGCGGGATGCGGGCGGCCCACGGGCTCTGCGCGGCGCTGGCCCTGCTCTTGCTGCCGGCCGGCGGCCGGGCGCTGCGCGACGGGGACTGCGAGGGTGAGTGCGGACGGGCCCGGCCCGCGGGCACGGCGGGGGAGAGGCCACTCGTCGCTGCCGCCTCCCGCTGCCCGGCCCGCCCGCCCGGCGCGAGAGGCCGGGACGCGGAGCAGCCTCGGGGCTGTGGCAGCCCCGGGTGACAGCCCGCCCGCCGGGGCCGGGCCGGGCCGGCGGAGCGGTGCCTTCCGGCCGCAGGGAAAGTCTCGGAAGTCCGGTCAGGTGCGGCCGGGCCGGGCCGGGCGGTGCTCGGGGTGCCCGGTGCCGGGGCGGCCCGCGGAGGAGGCGGGGCGGGGCTGCCGGCCGTGCCCCTCGCGGGACGGAACCTCCTTCCCGGGGGTGCTGCGCTCTGCTGAGAAGTTGCCGGTCCTTCTCAGCTGGGTCAGCGGTAGCGCAGAGTCCCCAGGGAAAGGAGCCCGAGCCCGGGGATCTCGGGCCGGGTGATTGGCACTGTCGCCGCTCGTTGCCCGCGGGCAGCGCTGCCGGCCGGGTGAGGTGGCCGGGGCAGGGAGCAGGAGAACGCCAGAGCGGTTACTCACTGGGACTCCCTCTTACTCGTCAAACTGTTCGTTCACCCAGCGCCTGCTGAAGTGCTCCGAGTCTCCTCGGTGCGCGCAGCTGTGAGCAGCTGATCTAAATCAAACCGAGACCCTCCGTGTACCACCGGAATACAAACGCCTCGGGGGTGGAACCTGTTGAGTTGCACAGCAAATTAAACTGCTCTTGTGTGGTGAACTGAACATTCCCCAGGTGGAGCAAGAAGAACTCGAGGTGGGGCCATAGTAGCTGGTTGGGAGTTTGGGGTACTAACACCTCTCCTCCTCTTTGTAGGGAGAGCAACAGTAAGACAGGAGGGGAGGGAACTCGGTAAATCAAAAATTCCAGCTGCTGTCCCAGCACTAGGTTGGAAACTTGTTTCCACCGTACTGTGGCCACTGGTGCCACTGCCTGCAGCAGCTTTGTTCTTCCCAAGGTTTTCACTTCCTAACAGCTCTGAGTGGACCTCAGTGCGTGTCTGTGCCTAGGGACAGACTGGTGTGAGGTAAAACATTGTATGTATACAGTGTTTCCCTAAATGGCTTGTATTTCCAGTTTTAATATAACGAGAGTAAGTTTCTACTGGGTTCCATGGTGGCCATACTCCATTTTCTGCACTGCCCAATTCCCATGCCATGCCATGTGTTCAGAGTTGAATACAAGTTGCTAATGACAGTAATATTTGAAGGCTCTTCCTGTTGTGGTAAACAAATCCCATAAAAGACATAACTCCTACCTGTTCCCTGGAGGCAGGTCTGGGCCTGGCACTTGTCTCACACCGGGAGTGAGAATCCCCAGGTCCTGCTGCAGGAATAGGGGGGGACACAGAGCTCTCAGTCCAGGTGATGCTGATGTCCACAGGCGGGTTGTGAGCAGGAGGATGACCAGAATCTGACACTCAGGGTGTCCCTCAGTCACCCCATGGCACAGATCCTATGGACTGTCTGCCCTCCTTCCCAGCCACACAGGGCCGCTGTGCTTTGGAGTGTGTGGAGCGACTGCTGCCAGGGGAAGGAGTGACTGAGCTGTACAGCCCTTCCCGCAGGCAGGAATCTGGATCCATCCTCTCAGATGCTGCTGCACTTGTGGAAGTTGCATTTTGTTTAAGACTGTTCCCTCTTTCCATCTGAAACCGCGTCAGAAGCTTGTGGGAATGAAGAGAGGAGAAAAGGACCATGAGGGCACAGTGCGGGATCAAATAATTCCTTTTTCTCTTGGAAATAGTTTCCACCGAAGCAGCTGGGTAATCAGTGATCCTGAAATCCGCACACGGGGAGTCTGCAGGATTGTGTACAGAGTTGGTTTTCTGCCAGCACTGGGTTTGAAGACACTTGCATGGATCTGGCTTCTCAGATTGCCACAAACCCACCAAAAATGTCAGGGTGTGTTATTATTGATTCACATGTGCTCAGAAAGGCTGTTCTGAAACGTGGGTGACATCAGTGACTTACAATGCAGCTTCTAAAAGTTCTATTCTCCAGATCCTCTGTTCCATTTCCCTACAAGTGTCCTCTAGGAGGTGCCACAAGATTACTGCACAGGCCAATAACTCCCTCCATCTTCCCTTCCAGTGTGTGTCACGTTCCTGGGAAGGTTCTACCAGGGTTTAAAGGACAACGACGTTGAATTCACACCTTCCAGTATTGAAAAGGAGCTCTTGAAATCCTGCAAAGAAGCAAAAGGCAAAGAGAACCGCCTGGTAAGTAGTGGGAGTCAATGATACTTGCCTCCTGAGGGAATAAGTTGCAGGATACTTGGCAAAGGGAAACCAGTGCTTCTGAGTTTATGATATGGCTTCCTAGGGGCTGTTTGTCCTGCTTCTGTGGCCACAGTGGGTCCTGTATTTTTTGTAAGAGAGGACTTGAAGAGTTTGACCTCTTCACCTTAAAAAAAAAACCAGAAAAAACCCAGACCTGTCAACAGACATCAGACTGGCCTCGTGTCTCCCTGTTACTGAAGCACTGGGGATTACAAAGCTTTTATTTGCTGTAGGACTTCCCTGTCCCTTAAACGGTATTTGGGGTGCTGTATAAGCTGTTAAAATATTTATACTCTCTGGCTGTTTAGCTGCAAACTAAATAAAGAAAAACCAAATTGCCCTAACTAAAAACCAAAGGCAATCTGTGAATGAAGAGCCTCAGGGAAAAGGCCCTGAACTAGAGGCACCATCAGACATAGAGAAGGGGAACACTTCAGAGAGTCTTTTCTCCTTGAGGGAAGAGGACTTTATTCTTAATCCAGTTCAGTTTTTATAAAGTTGAGAAACAAGAGAACCAGTCTCAGCAGCTGTAAAAGCAGTGAAATGGAAAACACCTACTTGGTACCCTGGGTTCAGAGTTGGGCTCCTTTTTCCATCTCTTGCCATCATTTGGAGAGGTTCTGTAATAGCAAACATCCAGCTGCCAAAACAAGTGAGGGGAGGGATAGCAAACTCTCCTGTTAAAAGCCTTTTTCCATACATCCCATCACTCTTATCTTCCCTCTAGTGCTATTACATTGGGGCCACAAGTGATGCAGCCACCAAAATCATTAATGAGGTGTCAAAGCCCATGAGTCATCACATCCCGGTGGAAAAGATCTGTGAGAAGCTAAAGAAGAAAGACAGTCAGATCTGTGAACTAAAATACGGTGAGTCGCCAGCACAAGGGGGAATGCCTATGCTTTTCTGGGTGTAAAAGCAGCATGCTAAAACTACTAGGCCAAAATTGTGTAGCCTAGATAGGTTGCACAGCCTGGGTTGCTCTCAATGAATATCCAAGAGTTTTATGGAGGTGCTCAGGTAAGATTGTAGGCCGCTAACCCTTCTTAGCTTCTGCAGGGGACTCTGATCTGTCCTGAAATAGCTAACTCCCAGGTGTATCAGCTCTCCTGTGCTCACACTGCTGTTGGGAATATCGTGTTTGGGAGGGTGTGTGGTCCAGCCTGTCCTAGGGAGCAGGCAGGGGTGTCGCTGTGGCTGGGACTTGAGCCCTTGGCTGAGCTCTGCAGTCTCAGCTGCTCTCCTGTTTCCAGCAGCAGGGCGTGCTGCTTTCTCACCTCCTCTGGTGTCTGCTCACAGCATTCCACTCTCTATTTCTCACCACCTTCCTTGAACTCTCACGTTCCTAGATGACTCCTCTTCCTGAAAAGACTAATATGAAGAACAGGCATGGAAATACCTCCTGCTGCTTTCCTATATCTCTGCCCTTACATGCCCCGGAGACACCCCTTGGATTGCGGGTCTTTATACTTCTCACTTCTGTTATGTCCTGTTGCTTCCTAAAAAGCTTTTTTGTTATTGTCACTTGCTTATCTTTTCTCTAAAACCACCCTGCTGCCTTTCATTCATCCAGTGGAAGAGAGAAGTGTCGCTGCTGATATAATAAAGGGGCTTTCAGGGCTATTGTGGAAGATTTACATCTAAGCTTCAGCCAAGCATTCTGGCTCCTAATAACGACTTACAGCGTTAAGAGCCTTACCGCTGTCCGAAGCCTAACTTGGGCGTTCCTCCCCCACCCCGGCCCCTCTCCCGTTCTCGGGCTGTGGCTTCCCTGCCCTCCCGCGTGTCTGAGCGCGGATCTGCTCTCCCCGCAGACAAACAGATCGACCTGAGCACGGCCGACCTGCGCAAGCTGCGCGTCAAGGAGCTGCGGCGGATCCTGGACGACTGGGGCGAGGTGTGCAAGGGCTGCGCAGAGAAGTCTGACTTCATCCGCAGGATCCACGAACTGATGCCCAAGTACGCGCCGAGGGCGGCCGGCGCCCGGGCAGACCTGTAAGGGGCGGCCCCGGGGCTCTGAGGGGCCACCCCGAGGTGACCGCGGGGCTCTGAGGCGCCTTGGAGGGGCGATCGCGGGGCTCTGAGGGGCGATCCTGGGATGACCCTGGGGCTCTGAGGGGCGATTTTGGGGCTCGAGACGGGGTCTCCGAGGGGACTCTGAGGGGCGATCCCGAGGTTGTGAGGGGCGACCCCGGGCCCGCGCTTTGTATGGGACGTTCATTAAAGTTCGCCGGTGTGCACCGGGCGGAGCCGTGCCGTGTGATGTGATTTCGGGACACACCCGCACACCCTCATCCCGTCCCGCCCCGCCGGATCCCGACATTTCCCCCTTTTCCCCCTCCCCTCTCCCGCTGTTCCGGCGGGCTCGGCCCCGCGCGCCCCCTCAGCCCGCGGGGGGGAGCGGGGCCTCGCCGCCCTGCCCTGATTGGCCGCACCGCCCGTCGCGCGCAGGCGGCGGGAAGTGCCGCGTGACGTCACGGCCCCATGACGCCGGGCTGCGGCGCGCGCGGGGCAATGACGTAGGGCCCGCGCGGCGCGGCGGCCGGAGCCGCCTTCGCTCCCTTTTGTCCAAGATGGCGGCGGCCGCCGGGGGCGCCTCCTGAGCCGCGGGCCCGGCGCGATGAAGCGCGGCAGCGACCGCGACTCGAGCCCGCCGGGGGCCGCGGGCGGGCGCGCCGCCGCTGCCGCCAAGCGGCCCCGCGACCGCGACCGCGAGAGCAGCAGCCGGCGCGGCCCGCACCGCAGCTCGGGCGCCTCCCGCAGCAGCCGGGACAAGTCCACGCCCGGCGGCGGCGGAGGCGGCGGCACCACCACCACCAGCAGCGGCGGCGGAGGCGGCTCCAGCTCCCGCAGCCACCGCGGCGATGAGCGCGCCGGCGGCGGCGGCGACTCGAACCACCGCCCGGCGGGGAGCGGCTCGGCCTCGGGCGCCCGCGGCGGCAGCCAGGCCGCCCCCTCGTCCTCCTCCTCCTCCTCGTCCCGGGCGCTCGGCGTGCCCAAGGCCAAGGCGCTGCCGGGCGCCGTGGTGGCCCCGTCTCTGCTGCTGGCCGGGCCGCCGCCGGGCGCCGCGCCCTCGCTGCTGCTGGCGCCGCTCGGGGGCTCGGCCGGGCTGGCCGGGGAGCCGCCTGGCTCCTGCGAGTACAAGACGCTGCTGGTGAGCGGGCTGAGCGCGGCCCTGCCCGACCAGCTGCTGGAGGACGGGCTGTTCCGCCTCTTCCAGCGCTTCGCGGGCGGGGGCGCCGGGGACATCAGTGTCAAGCTCTCGCACACGCCCGAGCTCGGCCGCGTCGCCTACGTCAACTTCCGACACCCCGGGGATGCCCGCGACGCCCGGCGGCACGCCCGGGCCCGGCAGCTGCTGCTCTACGACCGGCCGCTCAAGGTGGAGCCCGTGTACCTGCGCGGGGGTCGCCGCAGCCGCACGCCGCCCCCCGCGCCCTCCCCGGAGCCGCTGGGCTACCTGCCGCCCCTGCACAGCGCGTACCAGTACAAGCAGCGCTCGCTGTCGCCGGTCACCAGCCCCTTGCTCCGGGAGCCGCGGCCCCGCCACGCTCACGCCGCCGCCGCCGCCTTTGCGCTGGAGGCAGCGGCCATCGGGCTGTCCCGGGAGCGGGAGCGGGCCCTGGATTATTACGGGCTGTACGACGAGCGCGGCCGCCCCTACAGTTATCCCATCGTGGCCGAGGAGGACCTGATGCCGGAGGATGACCAGAGAGCCACCCGCAACCTCTTCATCGGCAACCTGGACCACAACGTGTCGGAGGTGGAGCTGCGCCGCGCCTTTGAGAAGTACGGCATCATCGAGGAGGTGGTGATCAAGCGCCCCGCACGTGGCCAGGGCGGCGCCTACGCCTTCCTCAAGTTCCAGAACCTGGACATGGCGCACCGAGCCAAGGTGGCCATGTCGGGCCGTGTCGTGGGCAGGAACCCCATCAAAATCGGCTACGGGAAAGCCAACCCCACCACCCGGCTCTGGGTGGGGGGCCTGGGCCCCAGCACCTCCCTGGCTGCCCTGGCCAGGGAGTTTGACCGCTTCGGCAGCATCAGGACTATTGACTACGTGAAGGGCGACAGCTTCGCCTACATCCAGTACGAGAGCCTGGACGCCGCCCAGGCCGCCTGCGCGCAGATGAGGGGCTTCCCCCTGGGCGGCCCGGAGAGGAGGCTCCGAGTGGATTTTGCCAAAGCAGAAGAGACGAGATACCCCCAGCAGTACCAGCCCGCGCCGCTGCCCGTGCACTACGAGCTGCTGGCCGACGGGTACAGCCGGCACCGGAGCCTGGAGCAAGACTTGAGGGTGCGGGATAGGACTCCTCCGCACCTCCTGTACTCGGACAGAGACAGGAGCTTTGTGGAGGCAGAGTGGGCCAGCCCTGCCAAAAACGCCGAGCGCAGGAACAACCTGGAGAGCTACAGCCGGTCCGTGCGCAGCCGGAGCGGGGAGCGCTGGGGCGGCGACGGCGACCGCAGCGTGCCCAAACCCTGGGAAGAGAGGCGGAAACGCCGAAGCCTCTCCAGCGACCGCGGGAGGACTACTCATTCGCCTTACGAGGACAGAAGCAGGACAAAGGCCAGTGGGCCAGCTCTAGACCGCAGCCCTGACAGGGCTCGCAAGGAGAATCACACTACAGAACCTGGAGCCGAGAAAGAGCAGAGCAACTCCCTCCAGAACAATCGCCACGCGGCTGAGGAGAAGCCCCATCGCGAGCCATCCGACGCTCCCCAGCCCAAAAAAAGGGACAGCGAACGCAATCATCGAACTGGTGAATCGGAATCAAAAACTCACGAGGAGCCAAAATCCGAGACCAAAAAGCTAAAGAATTTATCAGAATACGCTCAGACACTGCAGCTTGCTTGGAACGGGCTTCTTGTGCTAAAAAACAGCTGCTTCCCCACCTCTATGCACATCCTGGAGGGAGACCTGGGTGTCATCAACGGACTCCTCAAAGACCATTCGTCCGGCGGGAAGTTGACGCAGCTCAAAATCGCGCAGAGACTCCGGCTGGACCAGCCCAAGCTGGACGAAGTCACCCGCCGCATCAAACAAGGCAGCCCCAACGGCTACGCCGTGCTCCTGGCCACCCAGTCCGCCCCGCCAGGGGCAGGGGCCGAGGGGACCTTCCCTGCTGTGGAGCCTGGCTTGCAGCGACGGCTTCTCAGGAATCTGGTCTCCTACTTGAAACAGAAGCAGGCTGCTGGGGTTATCAGCCTGCCCGTGGGAGGGGCGAAGGGCAGGGACAGCACAGGCATGCTTTACGCGTTCCCTCCTTGCGAGTTCTCTCAGCAGTACCTCCAGTCAGCACTAAGGACATTGGGGAAGTTAGAAGAAGAACATATGGTGATAGTTATAGTCAAAGACACTGCCTAGCCCACACTGTCTTTTCAAATTCCATGTTTTCTTTGTGTGTCACACAACCCAGTTGTTTTTAAGGCTGATCATTTTGGCAGAGGCTCAAAACACCTCGGCCAAAGTGGTAAGATTTTTAGTTTCTAATTAATTTTAATACCTATAATATCTATTAAAATTTTAAATAGAGCCCATTTTATTCGTTTTTAATATGTGACACTGTCCGCTGTTGTTCTGTATTTTTATTTTTTAACTGTATGAAAAGTTGTCAGTAAAGCCTTGTTCACTGATGGATTTCTAAACTTGTGCGGTATCCAAGTTCTTACGGCCCAGGAAGGGCCAGTTCCCCGTGCAGGAGCATCCAGATGAGGCCCCAGCTTGGTTCAGTTTCTCAGACCCCAGCCTTCTGCACCTCCTTCATCTTTATGTGTGTCCTTTGAGGTGGGAGGGGAAGGGGATTCTTTGTGCTGCATGAGAGACTCAAAGTTTGGTTATCTATTTTTATTGTCCTGTTTGCTTTTTATTTCATAACTTTGAGTCTGGATGCATTCCTGTTGAGTCTCTGTTTCAGGACAGAAGCTTCCCAGAAAGCCCAGCTACCAAGGAATCAAATCCCAATCCAGAGTAAAACTGGGTTTTATACACAGCAAAAAATTACAGTTGATTATTAATTGGCACAAACTTTGCTGCTAAGGAGTCAACCCTGTGTTGAAGTTGGTGAGCTTTGAGAGCACCGGATACATCTCAGCCATAGAAGTTCTTGGATAAAACAGGAGAGGTTTGGCATTCCCAGTTTTTATAAAAGGAAAAAAAAACCCAAACAAGCAGGTGGAAAAAAAAGTGATTTAAGGGGGAACCCTCTTGGGCCCACAGTAGGACAAGCAAAGGGCACAGAGGTATTTGGTGAGCTGGAGCTGCCATTTGCATAGTCCATCATGTTGCACTGCCTGAAATCCTTTACTGAAAAATGGCATTTTTTTTTCTTTTTTTTTTTTTTCCCCTAGAGTTAAAGCTTGTTTAACTCTCGTAAGTTTGTTAAGGCTTACAAGAAAAGAGAGAGAGACCTGTCTGTCTGGCTGAGAACGTGTTATGTTACTGCAGGTGACCTGTGACTGCTGGAGATCAAAGTCTGGGATCTGAGATGGGGTGGGTCGGTCACCTTTGCTGTCTGTGGTAGGAGGTGGTTGTTGGGAGAGGCCACGACCTCTGCACCTCTGAGTGCTCAGCAATGTAAGGATGCGGTAACGAGTCCAAATTGGAGTTAAAATCCACACTGTTCAGTTTGGGGATATTTTTACTTTTTAAAATGATGCCTGTAGATTTTAGGAAGCTTACAGAAGATTGTGTGGGTTTAAAAACACTAAAGTTTCTTTAAATTTGCAGGTGGTTTTTTTTTGTTTTGGTGGTAAGCAAGTGAACAAAATCCTGGGAGAACCAATCTCTGACCCAGCAACTCACTTGCTGATGGCTGCCAAAGGCCCTTCTAAAACTGCTCTCAGGTATGATTGGTGTCAAAACCTATTTAGCAGGGAGCATAACTCAGTCTAATGATGCTTTTATTTTTCTATTTTTTAACCCTGCAGTGTCACAGTAGGGACATCCTCAGCTGATGATGTGTGAGCAGTTGCTTAATTTAATAATGTGTTGATATCAACAAGTGTGGGTTGGTTGGTTGAGTTTTGTTTTGGTTTTTTTAACATTCAATACTGTGATTATATTAAAAGTAAATCTAACGAGTTAGTGTGATCAGGAGGGGGTTTGCAGTTCATTTGATGCATCTTCTGTACC